TAATATTTATTTAACATTTTTGTTATGTAGCAGTGAATTGTAGGGGGCAGGGTGTGCCACAACCACATTTAAATATCAAAATGAATCCCCAACATTATTATCATCTGCGTTTATGGGACACAACTTGCCTCACAAAGTTGTGAGGATAGACACTGTGGTAACCATTGCAACATTTTAGATATCAAAGTTTACTACCCTTTTTTCTGTACAAAGTACAGCATCAGATTTGTTTGTAGCACACTCTTAAGGCTTTGCCATACCATCCAACAAGCATTTTTGGCCTTTTGGCTCAGAATAATTATGTATCTGGAGTTATAGAAGTGGACAAATGTGGGTCATGATATTTTAGTCATAGTTTAATCAATGATCTAATAATGAGTGGTCAGCAGAGATACATTACTGTTTTTAACTGTTTTGAACTCATGTTAATGATTTCTAATGACCATTTGTGTTCATTCTATTTCATGATGCACAACAGTTCACAGTAGTGGCCAAATTATGTTTGTAGCGAGTGAGGTCTGGCCAAGAGCCGTGTGAACGGGGTGATTCCGCAGTCACACTAGAGTTTGAGCATGCAAAATTGTTGTACAGTGCTGTGAAAAGTAGCGGGATTAAACAAAATGATTAAACATAAAAAAAGGACATCTGAGATCCCCCTCAACCTTCTTAAATAGCAATGGTCCAGACTCATTCAAAAGTCAAAAAAGGAGGCAAAAAAAATATCCTCAAAACAGTCTATATGTCTTCAGTGGTTCAAGCTAAAAATTATGAAGCTACGAGAATACATTTGCATGCACATAAAACATTCATAACAACATTCTTCAAATTTTTGTCCTCAGTGTCAGTATAGGGTGCACATTCATGAGTGCTGTGCACTTATATATACCCTGGATGCCTGTGGGCGACTTACTATTTGAACAACTTGCAGGTGTATCTGAGGTATAAGTTAGAAAAGTGACCGAGCGTGTGAACATGCACTAAGGAGAAGAATAGTTGAATAGATGTTATTTATGATTTAGGTGCACTCAAACTTGATAATATTTCATTGAACCACTGAAGGCACATGGTCTGCTTTGAGAATGCTTTTATTTTGTTTGGAAGGTCTTGGAATTTTTTCTAAATATCTATTTTGCGTTCTGAAGATAAATGAAGAACTCTGAGATCATTAATAACAATTAAAACATTTCGGAGTGAACCTTTTAAGTATTAAAAGATTAACTGATGACAACATTTAACCCCAGTGTGTACATGGCATAAAGGACATTTTGAGAAGTAAACCTCACCTCCACCTTGGTCATCATCTTCATCATCCTCCTGTCCCAGGCTTTGGCTATTCTGCTCTTCGTCTTCATCGGAATCTGAGATGATCACACACTCATCTCTATTACTGCTGCCCTGAGGTTTAGGAGCACTGCTGGAGAATGGAAGTTGGTATACAATAAAAAGAAAATCAGAAATGGATGTTTTGAATGAGGAAATTGTACATGCTTTAGGCTGAAATTACCTGCCATTCTCTCGTGGCTCCCAAAGTGGAGTTAAATAATACCTCAAAGGGTTTCTATACAGGTCTTCCCTCAAGATCTAGAACAAGATGAAAGTTAACTTTTTTAAACTCAATCATTACTGTGTGCATGTAACAATTTTGAACTGCTCTCGCTGATTCGCTGGATTATTCATTTTCTGTATGTAACCTCATGAGAGATGTACCTGTGCTATGTCATCCCGTCCTGGGTTGCTGTGGTCACTGAACCAATGGAAGAAGCTCTGATAGACCCCCTGCGATGTTCGACGTGGTTCTCCACTCCCAACCAGATTCTGCCCTCTGTGCCACAATATTGGGTTTGAGAAGGACACTGGAGACCCTGAGGAATAAATACAGATGTTATCGCATTACTATTGTTGTGTGTATATTTATGAAAAGGGGTGAACTGTGATCAAGTTTTGCTCACCTCCCATACCGAGATGAAGCTCTTTCACAATCATTTTGTTTTGAAAGAAAGGATTTCGCCGGAAATGGAAGCAGATGCGGTATCCAAGTTTGTTGTTCTTGAAAGACTCAATCTGTATAATGAAAAGCAAATTCCAAATCTAGCTAATTTGCATGATTTAACACCAGGTTTCAACAAGAAATACATTTTATGAAAAATGTTTTACCTCTAAGTTAGTCATGTAGCTAAGAGCGTCTTCATCAGTCTCATCGATATGTGCTGATAAATGTGGATGATTCAGAAGCTGACGAGCTTTAAGTTAAGTGCTCAAACACCTGGAATTCAGACCTCTTTAGTGCAAACCTTTTTACGTATACACTTCCTGACAAAAGTCTTGTCGCCTATCCAAGTTTTAGGAACAACAAATAATTACTTGACTTTTAGTTGATCATTTAGTATCAGATGTGCCTTATATGAAAGGTAAAGGCCTCTAGATTATGCTTATTTTACCAAAATATGATCATGCCAGGCTGTTGATGTTGCCATCCACTGTGCAGATCTTTTGCACACCCCCATACTGAATGTAATCCCAAACCATGATTTTTCCTTCACCAAACTTGACTGATTTCTGTGAGAATATTGGGTCCATGTGGGTTCCAATATGTATTCTGCAGTATTTGTGATGATTGAGATGCAGTTCAACAGATGATTCATCAGAAAAATCTACCTTCTGCCACTTCTCCAAATGATCAACTAGATGTCAAGTTATTATTTGTTGCTCTTACAACTGTGATCGATGACAAGACTTTTTGCAGGTAGTGTACACCTACCTAAATTTTACTACAAAGGTATGATCGTCCTTGAACATTTAATCTTGAACCAATGATAAATTCCTTCACTCTTCTTTCCCTTTGAGATAAATTTGATCCAATCAAGAAAAAGTATTTAACTTATTTAGAACAGTAAACATTTGATGACATATTATGAGATGCTATTCAAAGAGAAAATTTCACCATTTTTTTTTTAATTCTGCTATCATTTACTCACCCTTCACTAAAACCTATTTGAGTTTATTTCTTCTGTTTAACACAAAAGAAGATCATGTTGGCAACCATTGGCTTCCATAGTATTTGTTGTTCAGCTTTCTTCAAAATATCATCCTTTGTATTTAACAGAAGAAACTCAAAGACTTAAAACTACTTGATAAGGCAAGTTTAACTTTTGGGTGAACTGTATCCTTTTAAGGGCCACTAGGCACAAAATAAAAAAACTAATTTATTAAAATTTTAAATCTTTATACTTTACCACTATCCTTCAAAACACTAGGTTGTGCCTTTTTGTCAAACTTTCTTCATTTAAAAAAAAAAATCAACAAAATCTTATACATTCCCTTATTCTTACTATTTTAACAACCACATATCAGAACAAGCATTATAACAAGCAAAGATTGTCTAACGTTACCGAAGTAATTAACATGATTCCACCCATATTTTGTCATTAGTAAACATTAAACATTGTGTGTTAGTTTGTTTTCTATCTCGCACGAGGTAACTGACAAATAAAGAATTATGCTAGAAGCTAGATGACTTCTGTTCCAATAACTCAAAGATCCCAAGGCCACTATTACGAGCAGTGTTAAAGGATACAGCGGTGACCCAGAAGCCCGGGACGGCCTGTGTGATGGCGCTGCGCTGGTCCAGGTGAGGGCGTCTCTGGCGGCTCAGCTTCATCTCCAGGCGCTGATGCAGACGCGCGCCTTTCTTCTCCAGCGCGTCCAGCCGCATCTGTACCTGTGCGAGCAGCGCCACCGACTGCCGCACCTCCGGGGCCATCTTCACGGACACTATGGCACACTCGCCATCCTCGTTATCTTCATTATCAGAAGCGACAGACGAACTCGCAGTGGAGGAAGAGCCGGGCAGAGAGTCTTCATCCTCCTCTTCCTCCTCATCGTCATCCACAAATGATGGATCTTCTTGGTCCTCGCAGAGCAGCAGGGATGAGGAGCTATCCGCAGCGGCAGCCTCCGTCCTCCTATCGCTCTGAGAGCAACCGGGACGATTAGACTTATCCCTTGACTTCTCTCTGCTGGCTTTTTTAGACGAGCAGGGCATTTCTTTACAGTCATCGTCCGCGTCTCCGCCGGTCAAACTAGCGAGTGCTTCTGCAGCGGCGATGGCAGCGGAATCTGACGGCTGGCGCGCGCTCTCGCCTCCACTCACATTAGCCTGTCCAGTGCTCTCCTGAGCGGCTACTTCGTCCTCAATCTTCGCCTCTTTCTCCTTAGCTCCTTCAGAGGGCTCGGCTCCATCTTTTGGTTCACCATTCCCAACTTTCTCGGGCTCTGCGTCCTCTTGAGGCTCATTTTTCTGTTCCTCGACACTTACTTTCGCCTGTTTGAGCTGCGTGGACTCACACTCTCCGCTCGGACTTGCACTTCTTTTCCTCGTGTTAGTTTCGGACGGCTGGCTGCTGTCCGAATTAGTACTCATGATACTGACTAGTTGTAACTTTATCAGACGTATATGATTATTTCCTAGCGGACAATTATTTTACCTGCGGGACTCTATCCGTAGCCCGCTCTCGCATTACAACACTGCCAGTTTCCAAGTCTGCGCAAATGTCAGCAGGCCTAGCCAGCTATCTAACGCTGAAAGATGCTAGTTCAGGTCCTCGCTGACTGTCGCATGTCGAAAAATGTCCTTTGTATTTGTGCACAGAATGAATTATGTTGAGTACATTCCCACTTAAGAGTCACAATTCGCCTAAAAACGTCCAGTTCTGTTGTATTTGTTTACAGTTTGTCCTTCCGTTCGCCATTTATCCGAGGCTTTACATACGAGAGAGAAAACAATGCTCTGATTGGCTGAAATGCACCGCGCAAAAATCTCTCGGCCAATCGTAGATGATGTACTGCAGTAAGTGACTAGCCATCGAGTACGTCAGCGTAGCGTTGCGTTGACGCATTGTGAAACATTTCTGAAACTAACTGTTGTATATTTTCGTTCACCAGAAGCACAACTTCATGTTGTATAATGTGTGTATAATGCACTGAAAAACAGCCCGACAGTGCTTGATTGGATTGCTTTATTTGGACAATTAGTAAAAATACGATGTAAAATAAAATGTTTAAGGACATATCATCAACATTCATTTATCTTATTGAATGTATTTACACACTTAACGATATCATTAAGCATTATCATTTTTGATTAAATTAATTTTATTTAAATCTATGAAAGATTATAACAATTACAAACTTTTACTTTGGTAAATAATATACATTCTTACAATATTTGTGACACAAAACATTCAAACTAAACAACAACTGATTTCTCACATAGACTGCCAGCATTTATGTATATTTAGACTGCACATTTATGTAAATGGTGTCGTTTACATCGATCGTGTTTTTAATGTAGCTAATAACATTAGTTGTATTAATGTAAGTCAGAGGCCATTTTGGGGCCTCACATCTGGTAAGATTCACCTTGTGGAGTCAAAGGAAACAGCTGAAATGGTGCCATCCAGTCCATATCATGATCCCTGAAGTGAAAAGGGGTGTAATTTGATTTGCTCATTTATATAATTATATAATCAGAACCTCACCAAACGCCTCCAACGATAAAAGCAGCTTAATCAGATCCATTTAAGCAGATGTTTTTAATTTACAGTAGGCCTAAATCAGCTTTTTTTAAACATCTTGTACATATACAACTAACTATACAACAACAATGCAGTTGCAGTCATCCATATAATGAGTAAATGAGTTTACCTGTGTAACTTTTGACCTTTTCTTCTAAGAAATTCCTCTTCATCCACAGTCCAAACTGAACCTTTCCTTCCTTCAACACGCACAAAGCACTTATGAAGGCTGAGGTTATGTCGAACCGCATTCTACACACAGACAGAGAGAAGAAGAATTACCTATACACTGAAGTTACATATTAGTCATCCACAACACAGTAATTTCACAGTCGGGTCATCAAGTCATTCATTCATTGACATGCAAGTGCAACTTCTGAAAGTTTTCAGGTGTATATACAACAGAGGCTGTGGGTTTCGGGATTGGCTTGTTTGTGGCCAATGAGTCATGGAATGACAAATAAAAGTGTACAATACAAACATTACATCTCATACCTTCCATGTAGCAGTGTTGTGACGGAAGTAGAAGAACATGCTGGTAAACCACTGATAAATTTCTTTCAGTGTAAGCTGCTTTTCTGGGGACTTCAGGATTGCCTGACATAACATAACATTGTTGATGTGACTGACAGGAAATCAAAAGGTAACATGCAGGATGTTAATTCAGCAATACTTACCCATCGTATCATGGAGGCGTAGGTGAAAGGTGGCCTCATGTTTGTGAACTTATAATACTCAAAGCTGGGGATAATCCCTATGGGCAGAAATAGAAAACAATAACACATACTGTGTTGTGTGTGTAGAGATTTGCATGACTGATGTTATTGAGTTAAATTTACAAGCTAGATTTCTAAATTGGTGTTTTATAGTATAATTTTAATGACCTGGTATAACTTGTGAGGTAGAGATCTGCCAGTATCCTTGTGTTAGCGCTTCAGTTGCTGCTCTCTCACAGTCATAGTGATCATTTGATGATGCAGGTTGCAGAAGTCCTGACAGATGTGCCGGCTTTTCCACAATGTTGCCACCCTAAGATCAGAAGGAGAAAATCACATCAATATATAATTTTTGGCATCAAATATCACCTGGCCTTCATCTGGCCCTAAAATGTAGCTAATACTAACCACAAATGACAACCAGAACCTAAACAGATCCCACAGTCATGATGGCATAATTTGATTACCGGCATTAAAGTATCGGTCACTCACACAAGGTTTTGACTTGGTTTTTATAACTCTCCCTGTTTTAGTCTTGTAGGTTAGCTGAGGATCATTGATGTCTGGTGTGATGTAATTTCAGGTCAAAACTTTAGTCTCAAGAATACAGTGGTGTGAAAACTAATTAATTAAGGAGTTAAAAAGCAAGATGAATATCCCTTTTATAAGCATACATGACAGTTAGCTGATAGGAGACTGCAATGTTCATTACATACATTCCTAAAATGCTACCATTTTTCCTTGCTTCCATACACAGATATTATAATTTTTTACCATAGACATATTTTACCTTATTCCATACACATATTCTTACCAAGTGATTTTGAAATTTTCACAGTATTACCTATAATATTCTTTTCTTGAGGAAAGTCTTATTTCTTTTATTTTGGCTGTAATAAAATCAGTCTTTACATTTTTTTAAACAATTTTAAAGGTCAGTATTAATAACTGCCTAAGATTTTTTTTCTCCAGAACAAACCAACGTTGTCCAATAACTTTTATATTTACAGTATACACTCACTGGCCACTTTATTAGGTACACCAGTCCAACTGCTCGTTAACGCAAATTTCTAATCAGCCAATCACATGGCAGCAACTCAATGCATTTAAGCATGTAGACATGGTCAAGACAATCTGCTGCAGTTCAAACCAGTTCTCACCAAAAATTGGACAATAGAAAATTGGAAAAACGTTGCCTGGTCGGATGAGTCTCGATTTCTGCTGTAACATTCAGATGGTAGGGTCATTTGGCATCACCAACATAAGAGCATGGATCCCTCCTGCCTTGTATCAACAGTTCAGGCAGGTGGTGGTGTAATGGTGTGGGGGATATTTTCTTGGCACATTTTGGGTCCATAAGTACCAATTGGGCATTGTGTAAAAGCTACAGCCTACTTGAGTATTGTTGCTGACCATGTCTATCTCTTTATGACCACAGTGTACCCATCTTCTGATGGCTACTTCCAGCAGGATAATGCGCCATGTCATAAGGCGCGAATCATCTCAGACTGGTTTCTTGAACATGACAATGAGTTCACTGTACTCAAATGGCCTCCACATTCACCAGATCTCAATCCAGTAGAGTAGCTGGAATGAGATATTTGCATCGTGGATGTGTAACTGACAAATCTGCAGCAACTGCATGATACTCTTATGTCAATATGAAAATCTCTGAGAAATATTTCCAGTGCCGTGTTGAATCTATGCCACAAAGGATTAAGGCAGTTCTGAAGGCAAAGGGGGGTCCAACCCGATACTAGTTATGTGTACCTAATACAGTTGCCAGTGAGTGTATTTTTCTTATAAAATTTTATTAAAAAAACTTACCTCAGAGGTAGATTTCACATCAAGCAAGTGTAGCTGCATAGCCTGCAGTTTTTGTCTTTCTGCAGTCAACTATCAGTAGTGTTCATAAAGGAAATATAATGCAGGATCATAAACAAGCATCCATTTATAATACAATTATTAATATTGTAACCTCCTGACCCCTATTTATTTAGTCCCTGTGACATAAGAGGTAAAGATACCTGATTCTCCATGTGCTGTACTCTGTCTTTCTGCATCCTCAGCTGGCCTATGCTTCTGTCTCCAGGAGCATGGTCAGTAGAAAGGTGCCTAGATTATGAAACAGACACACTGCTATAGGATATTGCTGTATTTATTTAGATTGTTTTAGTTAACTTTGTGTCTCACCTTAAGAAATGTCCATATTCTGTGAATACATCTTCGCTCTTTGAGCACCCTGGCCATCTGCATTGTCCTTTAACACACAGATAGTCACCTGAAAGACTATATGGATGCCTGCGGATAATAATAATAAATGCTTAATTTAGCTCAAAACATATTGCATTATATCTTATTTGTAAAAGTGAAATGAATATAGACACAATAATGTTACAAAGTGGATGTCCACATTTTCATTCCAGCACTGAATATCCTAATTTGTGTTTGTTTTCTCAAACTACATACTCACTTCCCAGTATACTCCGGGCTGCCAGGCTGAGGGCTTGACGCATAAGCACCGATTCTGCTTTCAGACTGGCCAGTGTAAAGAGGGATGGCATCTGATGGTTCACTGTCAGGTTCTGTCTTACACACGGTGTCCACAACCCAATCATGAGCACTGCATGCTGCAGAGCATTATGAAAAATTCACTTTCAGAGATGCACTAACTGGTCACTTTATTAGGTACACCTGTTCAATTGTCTTTTATAGCAACTCAATACATTTAGGCATGCAGACATGATCAAGAGGATTTGCTGAAGTTCATTAGAACAGGGGAAAGGGGGATTTTAATGACTTTGAATGTGGCATGTTTGTTTGAATGTGATGGGTTTTTCTGAAATTTCTAGATTCTAGATTTTTATCCACAATCATATTACAGAAATTTGTCAGAAAAAAAGAAAATATTAAGTAAGTGGCTTTTTTTTGAAAGCTTTGTTGATGACAGACGTGAGAGGAATGATCAGACTGGTTTGAGAAGCAAAACAACGCATCAAACCGTGAAGCAGATGTGCTACAGCAGCAGAAGAGCACAACAGTGCCACTCTTGACAGCAAAGAAGAAAAAAAAACAGGAAACTGAGGCTATAATAAACAATAGCTCACCAACAGAAGAATAATAAACGGTTGCCTGGTTTGATGAGTTTTAATTTCTTATGTGACATGATGAAAGCAGAAATTGGTGTAAAAATATGAAACCATATATTATAAAGCGTAAAATGGTGCAAGTACAGTAGGGAGTTTATCCCAGTACTACAAAGTGTACCTAATAAAGTGGCTGTTGAAAGTAAATAGTTTTCTATATTTTATAGTCTACAGAAGCAGTACCTTGTGGAAAAGGCTGGTTGCCTTTACGTAGCACTGATGGTCTGTGTTGTTTAAAGTATTTGGTTGTACTTCCACTGGCACTCTAGGTAAAGGAAGCAGAAACAAATCAAGGATCATGTTTTAGATCAAATTATGCGACATCTTAGAGTTTTTAATTTATTTTCAATTCTTTGTGATCCTTTAGTGTTGATTTAAAAGTGAAACCTATTACAACTGGACTGTACCTGCTTTTGTAGAGTGAAATTCTGATTGCGAGATGAGCCGAGGCCTCTGAGGTCACTCTCCAAGGCAACAGATATCTTTGAAATCCCCAAAAAATACAATCTTGAGCACTATAGCACTTAGCATAGCATAGCATAGTATAGTAAGGACATTTTTAAATGGCATGTTAGCCCCAAGGCCAACATTAAACTACTTTAATGAACTCTCTTAAATGTGTCATCTTTCATTCATTCATTAATTTTCTTTCGGCTTAGTCCATGATCGCTGCTGTGGGTTGCCACAGCAAAATGAACTGTCAATTTCTCGGGCATATGTTTTACGTAGTGGATGCCCTTCCAGTAAGAAAACAGCACTGGCCACATCATTTAATGATAAAGCATTTAATATTTGGCAGAGGGCAAGAATATCCACTGTCAGTGATTTTTATGTCGATAATATTTTTCTCAGCTTTTCACATTTAATACAAAATTGTCTCTTCCTAGCACTCATTTCTTTAGATACTTGCAACGCAGAAATTTTGTTAAAACTCATATCCAGATTTTGCGAACCTTCCACCAAAATCTCAACTTGACCACATTTTTTAAGTACCCTTACATAACAAAGGTACAACGTCTATTTTATACAGGCTGATCTCCTCTTTTTCTACTACCTCTCTTTCCTTTATTAAATAACAGTTGGAGTCAGACTTTAATCTTACATTCGAGGACAAGACGTGGGACCAGATTTTGTCCCGTGCTCATACCTCCTCTATCTGTGCACGACATTGCCTCATCCAATTACAATTAGTTCGAGTTCGATTATACTGGACAAAAGTGAGGTTGGCAAAAATAACTCAACACATGGACTCTATATTTGATCACTTTAATCAAGCACCTATGTTTTGCATGCATATACATATGTTTTGGCTTTGTCCATCAATCATTTCTTTTTGGCTATCAATTTTCAAGTGTTTCCCTTCTGTGACAAAGATACACATCGAACCGTGTCCTCTTTTTGCACTTTTTGGACTTTCTCTGAATATGGTAGGGTTATCGAGCTGTACTGCAAACGCCCTTGCATTTTTGACACTGTTAGCAAGACGGTGTATTCTGTTATTATCAAAGATTTCCCCTGAGTTTTGACAACTGGATGCAATGAACTTCACCATTTGAAAAAAAAAATCAGGTTTACAATAAATGGCAATACTAGAGCTTTTTCTGAAACATTTAGAATTTTCTTTTCTGAGCATGTAAGTATCTCTACAAACTGTAAATCTAAGTCTTAAGGCCTTTCGATTGCAATGCAAACATAATTAGGTACGTTATATAAATACCTGAGGATTAATTTTTGTAATATTGGGTTATCAAGGTATGTGTGTATTCTGTACAGATGTTATTTTCAATTAATTTGTTTTTTATTTCGTAATTTATTTATTTATTTATTATTTATTATTTTTTTATAATTGTTTGTTTACTTTCTAAAATTATCATTATTTTTTTCTTCTTTTCTCTCTTTCAACTTGTTTAGAGGCTAGGGGTGGAAATAATATTTGTTTAAATTTCTCTGTAAAATTACTTTGTTATATCTGTAAAAGTTTATTAGATAGATCAACAAAAAAAAACTTGTGAACCCCCAGTGCTGGGTAACACCCACACATTTCTCATTCACACACAGACTCATGCACTACGGCCAATTTAGTTTATCCAATTTACCTATACCATATGTCTTTGGACTATGGAGGAAATCTTTCTTCTTAAATTTACATTCATTTTAGAGTCAGGCATTGTTCACCCATAAAGTGATAATATCCATGCATTCTGTTTAAATTGTTTATGCAGAAGGAAAAATATGTATTTAATTTTATTTAAATAGTTCATTATTATTTCCTATTTATTAAGATCAATTATTATGAAAGCAACAAAATTACATTCTCAAGCACTCTCAACAAAGACTATTGACCTTATTCTGCAATGCGGAAGTGCACTAATTTTTGCGATTGTTTTAGAACTTCCGATTCAGTTGCTTATGGGAGAAATGACTAGGAATAATAAACGGCGGAAAATGGTCAAACTGCTTGCTCTACAAGCAAGTGTGTTCATGCCTATACCTAAAAAGTAAAATATTATAATGTGAAAATCTCAGTTTGCAACATGAAACAGCATAACAAGCCATTTAAAATGTCTATATATCAATGCAAGTGAATGAGAATGGATGTCTCAAACAAAGAAAATTCAAATGGCTGTACCCGCTCAAACGTAAAGAATAAGGTCAATATAATGCACAAAATGTCTCACTCGTATAGTTTTGAATGGGAAAAATTATAACGGTCAATAATGCGAATGAAGCCCCGCCTTCTAGTACAGGAGCCAATCAGTGATCACTATATACAGTACTGATGAGTCTCTAGTGGAGGGGCTTGAACCAGACATAATTTCAGCAGATTTTGTGTGATTCAACTATTTAGAAATAAAACTAAAGAGAGGTGACGCAGTGGCGCAATAGGTAGTGCTGTTGCCTCACAGCAAGAAGGTCGTTGGTTCGAGCCTCAGCTGGATCAGCTGGTGTTTCTGTGTGGAGTTTGCCCTGCTTTCACGTGGGTTTCCTCCGGGTGCTCCGGTTTTCCCCACAGTCCAAAGACATGTAGTGCAGGGGAACTGGGTAGGCTAAAATTGGTCATAGTGTATGAGTGTGAATGTGTGTGTGGAAGTTTCCCAGAAAGGGGTTGCGGCTGGAAGGGCATCCGCTGCTTAAAAACGTGCTAGATAAGTTGGCGGTTCATTCCACTGTGGCGACCCTGGAATAACAAAGGGACTAAGCCGAGAAGAAAATGAATAAAAGAATAAACGAATGAAAACTAAAGAGATAGTTGTTGTTTAATTTTATTGTTGATTCTTAATATGAAAATAATATGAAATTTAACCGCAAGCTTGTCAAGCAGTTTTGGATAATTTGAAGTTGGCCCGAGTATGTGTATTTTAAAGATGGCCGCCAAGTGAAATGACTTGCCTTAAATGTACTTTGGTTTCAAGCACTTTATCCAAAACCTAAGCACTTTGTCAAACACTATATTAAAATTAAAACATTTTCAAGGATTTCCAGCATCCATATTTTAGTTGGATCATGGATTTGAAGTCAGGCGAGAACCAGAGAACAATTATTTATTCTGTTGAATAAGATTGTTCATGTAGTAATACAAAGAAATGACAGCTTCTGCTTCATTACCTTGGTAGCCATTGGTTTTGGTGAGGTCAGAAGAGAATTGCTTATTCTGGACTTCATCTGTATGATGGAAAAGGTGGCACAGTCTTCATCTTGGTACAGATGTTGGTGACTACTCCTGTTATCATCCCCTCTGTGTGTTCCAGTAGCATTAAGAAGCATACCTATATAGAAATAAGCAGGAAGACACAAATGACTTTTAATAACCATACTACTAAATTAGGAGTGAAATGAATCAACCTCCAAATACTAACACAAGGTATTTCCTGCTTAGATAGCTTCACCTTTTGCTTTGTTTCCAAAAATAGCATAATTATGCATTAATAAATGAAATGAGGGTTGTTTTTCCTTTTCTTGTTTCACATTTGCAGGTGCTTTCTGAACACAAACCACATTTCACATTGAGCAAGGACCAAGAGGTCAGGAAAGCGGAGGTGGGCCCCACATATTTTTGCAAAAACATCATTTGCACATACTGTGAAACAAACATTTTTCTAAGTTAAATGCATGATATGTATTTTAATACTTTATAAATGCACTGGACATTTAAAATATGTGCAATTTTTTATGCAAATAGTTGAATTACATAATTTTTGTATGTTTGAAATCCAGTTAGATTTGTGAGCGTTATAATAAATAGGTTATAAATAGAAATAAAAACGCAATTATACAGATTGCAACAGCACATTTAAGTAATTTGACGATTGTAGTACAAAATTAATAATTTTAGTACCACTAAATTTCACAAACCTTCACATTTCACAGAAATGTATGCATGCTTACTCGCCTTTTATTATATCTTAAATTTGTATTTTTACTGAACTATTAAATGAACCCTTTGCAATCTGTTCTCATTATTAATATAAAAATTTTAAAAAGTTGTGATTTGCTTCACTTTGATAGTTAATTACACAAAATTGAGAAATTACCCACAATTGATTATAAAAACCCAGGATGGACTTACGGCAAGGATGTTGCATATAACTTCTGAGAAATAATTTTAAAAAAAAAGTTTTTGGATTTTAGAGCACCATTTCATTGCGGTTTTCTGAAACTGCTCAAGAAGTCGTGTGTTGCTTATTCTCTTTGACATTTCACATTAACCACATCAAATGTAGGATAAATGTCATTTTTTCACCTGGGGGGGTTTTCCAAGCAAGCAACTAGATGTGATCAGAAGGAGACTTAATAGATGCTGAATAGTAAAAACATTTTATTTTTATTGTTTTCAAATAATGCTAGAAATGCATTTTGTATGCTACAAATTAACTATTTTATGCATCACGTTTCTAAAAGCAGTGGAATCCCTCTGAATTTAAACTAATACACACACTCAAAAAAACTGACATTTGCTGTTTGTCAAACTGCTTATTAAAACTGAGCCGAATTCTTTTGTGTTTTTTTGGGGGGGACAACTTAATTGCTTTGTTTAATTCACTTAAATTTGTAAAAATGTTAAAAGTTAACTTCGATTTAACTTCGAAATTTTAACTTTAAATCAAAAAAATCGATTTGTGTTGGTGCAACATGAAGTAACTGCATGGAACCCAGCATTTTTGTACAGCGTACACAAAAAAAAATTATATTTGCTGATTGTTCAAACCAATTTAAACTTTAAATTGAGCTGAAACAACACAATTTTTTTTACTTTTTTGAGTAGAAAACTTAATTGTTTTATGGTCAATCTACTTAATTCCTTCATGTTGTCCCAACACAAATCAATTGTGTAGAATCTATCATTCTTTATATTGTACATGCAAGGGGATGTCATTTTTGGTTCTTTACATTTCAGTAGTTCTCAGTGTTGTTGTCATTGTATTTAGTGAATGCGCACCAATCATTTTTCCTCAGAGAGTTGATATTGATAAGACCGGGATTATTCAACCCAATGAAACTCATTATTCATCTCTCAGTCTGAATACAGTCTTCTCTCAGTTCCATTCACCAAAATTAAATCCATCAAGATATGACAACAGTCTGGACTGACAGTTTCAAGTTTCATTTTGAAATTGCGATACTTTAGAAACTCTTCTATTCAGTGAAGTCAGTTTTAACTTTCATGTTCTTCGGTGGAATTTATAGTCACAACGATAATTATTAGAGCTGAGCTGTGAGTCACCTGACCTCAGAGTGTCGGTATGAATGCTAATGCTATCAATCAACAGAGATGTGGAATTAAACCTGAAACCTGTAATTAATGATTAAAAAACAATTACAAATATAGAACACAAAGTGCATTCTGTCCTCAATGCTCTCCCACGAACATACAAATTACATTTTGACTCACTTTTTTTCCATTTCTCTGGTCATACCCACTCATTTACGCTTACATTTCTCTGAACAAGTGATATGATAAAAATCAAAGACCAGGATATTTAGGGTATGTACTGTACTGTACTGTAAATTTGAGAGTAAAACGACAGTTTTGAATATTTGGGCAGACCCAGTTTCGCCATCTTGATTTATTACTGTTGATAATTACTGATTTTAGGTTTGATTTATTTATTGTTTAATTTAGGGAGTTCTAAATTAACTATTGCATTAACACCCATTGCATTGTCTGCGGCAGTTGCTGAACATGTGCAAATTGAAGAAAATAAAACAAATAAATGGGGGACGTTTAGTAAGACGTTTAGGCACTATGGCATACAGTATGCGAAACAACCAAGGTAAGAACTTGTCTCTTCATACAGTAATTGTGTTTCATTAGAATACAAAAATAGCTATTCATCATTTTTTTATTTACTTAAAAGCATAGTTCACCCAAATATGAAAATTCTGTCACCTTCCACTTGTTCCAACCCTCTTTGAGTTTCTTTCTTCTGTTAAACACAATAGAGGTTCTGTTGGAAACTGGGAGATATTTGAATTGCATTTTTGTTTCCTGCTATGAATGTCAATGGCAACCGGTTTCCAGCATTCTTAAAGATATCTTTTATGTTGAACAGATTAAAGAAACTAACAAAGATTTGGAACAATTGTGGGTAAGTTAACGGTGAGTAAATTTTAATTTTTGGGTGAACAAACTCCCACTGCACTGTGAGATGCTGACCAATTAATAAACATCAAATTACAATGCATCAGTTCGACATTCTGTGATCCAGCAAACACAGATCGACTGCTAAAAATGAACACAAAATTGCAGCGTTAATACATTTATCCAACAAAACTCAATGAAGTTTGTTCCTTTTGTTGATGACTGTCAGTTTAGTGCCCATCACTGTCCTTTATAAAAACTGTATAGAATATGTACAATATCTGCCAATCAAGTTATCAACAATAACGGGAATATATTTATAGTTACCAGCCTATCGTATGAAGAGTAATATCAAGGTGTCATACACTTAAAAACAAAGGTTCTGAAATTGAATTCTGTGCAATGATCCTGTAGAAAAACCATTTTAGGTTTCCCCCCAAAAATTGAACAGCTTTACAAGTATAACAGTTTGTTGGTTTTAAAAAACACAGTTTATTTTACAGAGCATTTGTCTGCTCTAAAGAATTGGAAAATGTCTTTGATTTTAAAAGTTCTGTATAGAAGCATCAATGCCAATAATGAAAACAAATTTTACACGTTAAAACACATATTTAAGATGTTGAACATAAAATTAGGTGATCCAACCCTTAGAGATACTGTTTATTTCACAATTATACCTAACTAATGCTATCAAACTCATAAAATAAGGGTTAAAACCAAGCAAGTCATTACAGCCTGATGCAAAGCAAAATCGTTACGATTTCCTCTTAGTACTGTTTGTCCTCTAGTTATTTTGAAGACCCATGTGGCACCGATATTTTTAAGAATCTCTTAAATGAATTGTAGTGCAAGATCAAGAACTGTTATAAAAATTAATAAAGAAAACTTTAGAACAACTGAAAAACTTACTCAAGCCAACAAAAATGTTCTTGATATAGATGTTTGTTTTCACAAGAATAAATTGCAATAGAGTTTTTTAAAACAACATTCAGAGAGACATTACTTATATTAGCAACTTGATTTCTTGGTAAAGAACTTGAGGCGTCGACCTTGTTGTTTGTTTAGGTTTTTTTTTCTCGAAAATGTCGCACCTACTCATTTTCTCCTCAGATACGCTAGAAGTGTATTTTTAGTTTTGTAACTTACCCTTTACATCGGTCTGTGTGGTGATCCTCCTATAGTATGGAACATTGATTTCATAGGTAGTAGCTTAGCTAACACATGATGGAATTGCTATGATAACTACAGGATCTCTGTAGAAGAAAGGATGTTTTACCTCCCACACCTTTCTTTGTCTGTCGCCCTTTTCCTTGAGACTGTCACTCTATATGTTCTTTAGCTTTTCTTTCCTCAGCAACGGGGTTTGTGGTGCATCTGAGCAGGAAAGAAAGACCAAACCCTGAGTCTGACTCTGTGCACAGACCTCATTTTGCATCTGCACTTTAGGAAAAAACAGTTTGGTTGCTAGTCTTTTTATGCTAAGCTTGTTAAGTGTTTTTCTGTCACGAAAAGAAAAAAAAATAGGCTAAAAAGTGATATGACAAAAAAAGTTTTATTAAAATAGATTTGTTAATTTGTTAAGGTTTTACAAAGTTTAACTTAATATTTTAGTCAGCTTGAGATGTTGAGATAAATAGAAACATCAAGTTTATAACTATTTTTTACAGTAGCTTTAGTGTTGTACATTAATCTAAATTTCCAATGCGATTTTGTGTATAATGAATGGCAATATAAAGAAAAAAATATATGAGAATATTTTAAGAAGTCAAAATATTGACTTTTAAAATCTGTTTTAGCACTGTTTGAATTGTTTAATCTTGCTTCAAATCATCCATTGATAAATAAATGATTAATAAATTACTTTGAATATGAAAAAAGTCAAAGCAGGATGTTGTGTCAAAAACTGACCAAATATTGTGCACATTTGATGATGCAATGCTGTGAGTCAATCGTAATCATAATCTAACAACAGATTTAACAAATTAACTCTTTCATTTCCAAACACTGCTGTCAATTATCTACAAAGGGCAACAATTTTAGGAAAGAAATAGCAAAAGTCTCTATATTATAATATATTGTATATTAAGCTTTTAAATTATGAAATTTCAGTGATTAAATGGCTTTTTTATTTTATGCAATAAAGGCAATAAAGGTTAAAGGCAAGTAAGTCAAATACAAAAACAAAAAGAACTTACCTGTTGTGCAAGTGTCGGATGCATGCGATGAGTGAGCAATTAGAGTGATCTGGAAAATGTTCAGGTCACCCCTTTTATAATGTTTAGCGTGACATTCAGTGGAAAATAGACACAGTTTCCCTACTGGGTGTTGGTGTGTGTGTGTGTGTTTTCAGATACACAAGTGTGTAGTTTTAACTCTCTTTACATCTTCTTTAAAAATTATGTGGCATTTTGTTATTTCTGTTTCCTATTTTAGAAGCTTCTTATTGCAGCAGAATACGATTTTATTTTCCTGAGTGATTTCTGATGGGGTTTACACTTACATTTTTTATCAATATTTGGTTTTACTATTGTTTTTTGTATTGCTTAAAAGTGGTTTACAATCTAAACAATTTTTACAAACTATCGCTTGGATGTTGAGGTGTTCAATCCCAAAACCATCTTAACTATTACAAAAAGACTCTGCATGTTTTGTTTGCAATATATATTTTCTTATATGTGTTTCATATATTTTAAAACATACTACTTATTACTAAAAAAGTAATTTTTATGGACCGCATCTTCCATTCTGATTTAATAGCTGAGATTAAATTACAAAATTATTAATAATTAAATAACACTGAACATTATTTATGTTAGTTTAAGGCACATGATGGCTATTTCACATCAAAACCTGGTAAAGTCCATTCCGGAAGACCGGAAAATGAGATTTCAGAGAAAATAACCTATTACGTGTTCGGAAAGTCCGTTTGCAGTGTGTGTGTGACGTTGTATTCGGGTTCTGGGGGGGAGACTGAACATATGTACATGTCGATCGCATGTGTGTCGATTAGAATAACGCAGGAAAAAAACATCCTCATCCTGTGGTTGAAAAGGTTATTTGAGTGTTTTTGAACAAATTGTTCAACAATAATGACACTCCAAAGCGCATGTACCGTAATGCAGACTTGCAAACATTTTTTTTTTAACCAGCTTAATACATGCATATAAAAACGAACATTCAGAACTATTTATGAAGATGAAAAGCTAATAGATTGTTTAAGCATATGTCTTAGCAATGGGAAGATCAAGTACAAAAAATAAATAAATAAAATAAATATTTATATATATTATATTCTTATATTCATAATTCAAACCCATATGAATTATTAAAGGACTTTGAAAAGTAAAAATAAAGGAAAATTAACACCAAATTAGTTTTTAATTATTTCAAATGAAACATTTACTCTTTGTAAGCTAAAATGTAATCTTGATATTTCCTCACATAGATTGAACTGCATTATACTTCATATACAACAGTATTTATGTTAGTCAGTTTGAACATCCTATAAAATTATATAAGCCATGAATAGACAAATATTAAAACAAAACTACTTAGTTTGAACATTTTCCTTATTAATTGTCTATATGTGACTTATATTACATCACATTGTATTTCATAAAGGGTATTTCGTATACTTTTTTTACTCCTGGTTTAAATATAGGCATAAAAAACAACAATAGCTGGTATTTCCTGATAAATATGAGTATTCTTTATTATGGTTAATCAAGATTAATCTCTAATACAATACCTGACAGAAATAAAAAAAGCTTTACCAACTGCAATCTCCATCATAGTCTCCTTTTTTCAATCTTTTTGATTTTTCAGCAAACCTAAACAGAGAGAGGAAAAAGACGTGTTAGAATACAATCTGACTGCAGCTGTCAGTCAAGTCAACATTCAATGTGAAGAGTGTGTAAGTTTTACAGCAGCTCATGTCATCTTGAGTATGTTCCTGCGCTAATGATTTAGACAGAGATGTAGTAGATACAAAAACACAAGTAAGATTAAACATTAAAGCAAACTGTGTTGTCATTTTTTAATTAATGTTTTTTTTTGTCATATTGTTAATGTAGCACCATATAATAAGTTATAGGTTATAGCAATTATATCTTTTGTATATATAGACCATTTTGAGGGATGTCAACAATAACAATACAATAACTGATGTATTAACTAACACTGAGATGTGATTAAATTGCCTCTTTTTACGGTTGTGAAGTTGTTTGACAACAAGCAGGAAATGTTCATGACCATTGACATTACCACATTGAAACGGTCTATTCCACATCATTAAGGTCTATTTTATAAACTGTGAGGGATAATTCAAAGTGCAGACAGCTTTTTTGTGTTTAAGGACCAAAGGTTAGACATAAATGGTTATGAATGCATTCCTGGTTTCTCACTATATGCAGCAAGTCGAATCCTTGATGCAGCACTTGTAGCATATATTGATTTCAGTATATTAAGCAAGATTGATTGCTCAGTCTAAGTGTTAAAAAAAGCTTAGCAATCAATAACTTTAAACACCATCGGTCTGTAATCGAGCGCTTTCTTTCTCACCATTTGATCTTGTTAGCTGACCTAATAAAAGCAGTTGCATCTCAAAAATCACCGATTGAATTACGCAATAAGAAATGTATTTTAAGGGGCACCATTTGTCTGTGAAAATCTTGTTTGGAAAAATTGTTGGTCTTAAATTTCATAAAGATTTTTAAAGCTATTGGAACGTTATAGGTGCCTGCTTCCCTAAAAGGCCTTAAAGGGATAGTTCACCCATTTTGTCATCATCATTTATTCATCTTCCACTTATTCCAAACCTGTTTTGAGTTTCTTTCTGTTCTTTCTGAGTTTCTGTTGAACACAAACGAAGATATTTTGAAGAATGTTAGGACAAAAACATTTTATGGTATTTTTGTACCTATTATGGAAGTCAATGGTTGTTTTCTTTTCAACATTCTTCAAAATTAATTATTTTGTGTTCAACAGACAAACAAATAATTGTAATTTTAAAACCACTTGAGTGCGAGTAAATGGTGTGGAAATCTTCATTGAAATGCTATAGCTGTTTGGCTAAGACTTTGACTTTGAAAAAACTAATATAATTATCTAAAAAGTAAAGTTTTTATAAAATACATTTAAAAATAGTGACAAAAAGGCTGGAAACTTATTTGAATAATTCTAATAATGCCTGAGAGCACAATCTGATTTAGCAAAAATGCACTGTAATTGTATAAATTTGCCTGTATTTGTTTTTTTTCCTATGAGCATCTAGTAAGTATTTTCAATGTCTCAAAGAGACTCAATTTGTTGTAAATTCTGAACTTAATCTTTACATGTGTTGATATTTTGAATAATTTATAACTTTAATTTGAAATTGCAGCACTCTGTGGTTTAATGTGACACCAAAGAAAGAAAGAAACTAATATTTGTTGTCTTCTGTAAAAATGTAAATAATTATGACAAAATATAAGCGATCATAATGCATCCCTTAATACATCATGTTTCCATTGAGCATCAGTGAAAATTTGAACCTTTTTAATAGTGTAATAGTGTCCCTCGATTGTCCTCAGTATTAAAAAATGGATCTCAAAATTACACAGTCGCTGCTGGAAAGGGTTTGAATATGCAAAATATGCTGGAAGACTGAAGAATGTGCAGGACAAGGAGGATTTTCTGAAGAATGAAAGCAGTTTAACTGTTTAGAACAAACAAGGCACTCATGAATAAACATTAAAAAAACTGATAGTATTAAAAACCAAAGGTTGACACACTGTAGCAGGGGATTATTTGAATGATTTCAGCTATTTTCTTCTGCCTTGTAGAATATACGTAAACATATTTTCTGTAAAATGCTTTACTCAGGACAGTGCTAAATAAAAAATAACATTGTTTCATCTCTCTTATTTTGTTGAATATTTTCATGTTTTTACAGATTCTGCAAGGGGTTGCCAAACCTTTGCATAACACTGTTTAAAAACAATTTGCTGTTTTATAATGTGTAAAACATATTTATTATAATATAAATATACACTTATTGTAATATAAAGTAATTCAAATTAATAATAATAATAATAATTATTATTATTATTATTATTATATGACTTATATGTTTGTAAATGTGTTCTGTTTATATAAACAAATAATGAAATAAGAATTTTAATGGACAATAATATTAGTTAAAAACACATGTTAAGCACGTAAATTATCCTGCACTGACATCATTTTAATTAACAACACAGACAACAATAAAGATTAATTGTTCCTGTTGTCATAATATTATTTTAATATTTCTTATTTGTTTTAGACCTAATAGAAAGATCATAACATTAATATATAACACATGATTTAAAAAAAGAAAATAGGCCTAACAATAATTAGTTACTGAGGAGATAGTAATAACTATTGATATTGAAGTATCATTAGGGTGATAAAGGTTTTTTTTTTTTTTTCTTTTGCAATTATTATGATGAGGAATGTTTATTCTCACAATAAACCCCAAGTTGTCTTTAAACTTTAAATAGCTGAGGGGGGCGTGTGCGGTTTGGAGCGACCAACAGGAGCTCGGTGGGAGGGATAATCCAGCAGAACCCGTCTTCCTACTGACCTCTGGAAAAGCATGGACGTTCTTCCTACTAAATTTAGACATTTATTCGCGTGTGTGCAGTATGAGCTCCAAACCGCGGTTCTCGTTTATGTCAATGATTCAGGCCTAGATCGGTCGAGGCGAGGACGGTGACGGACCCTCTCGGGTCTCCGGTGGCACTATGTAAAGCAGCGCAATCTGACAGCAGCAGAAACAGACGCAATGGCGCAGGGAAATAACAACAATTTCCTATCTATCCCCTCACAACAGGGTCTTTTCAAGACGGTTAGAGTTGAACGTTCTGAAGACAATAGTAACGATGAAGATGAAGAAGAAACAGAGGAAGACGTCCGGCTTATACCGAGGTCTTCCCCCGTTCCCAGGAAGCGAGGTTCGTCCATCGCGGATGAAACCGCCGAGTACATGCGAATTCGTCTCGCGTTAACTGATAGAAGAGTCTCGTTTGTAGACAGTATGGGAGCCGAGCTCGCTGATGTCAGAATGTTTGTCCCGTTTGATTCAGACGAAGAGGACAATTCAAGATGGGAAGAAGAGGAGGCGAAATACCGTAAAGCCTACAGCGAGCCCACTTACCGTCTGTGGCCGGAGTTCCAGGTGCTCACCGGCCCGGAGCTTTTACTCGCGGTCCACACCAACAAGCTGGAGGTGGACAGCGTGACACCTGTGCCAGACGAGCCTCTATCCTTCGACGTGGTCATTCGTGTGCTTAACATTTCTTTTCACAAATCAGTCTATGTCAGGTCGACTATGGACGGTTGGATCAATCACTTTGATTACCCAGCCGAGTACGTCCAGGACTCAAACGACGGCGAAACGGACAAGTTCTCCGTGAAGCTGTCCTTTGCTCCGCCGTACTTGTTCAACGGAGCACGCATTGATTTTGTTGTTCGATATGAGACGTCAGATGGAGAGTTTTGGGCGAACAACTCTGGAAGGAATTATTCGGTAACTCTCCTACAGTCTTATGATGAAGACTCGGTCCAGACCTGCGCGGCGGAGAAGCCAGAGCTGAGAGGAATCCTGAAACCTCCCCGGTATCGGTAAGTGGGCGTCAATATACTTATTACAGAGGTAAAACCCTATTAAAACTATGTTTAGCCAGCTTTCAGGATTATTCTATCTAACAACAAAGGGTTTAACCGTTACTAAGAATAAGAACAAATATTTAAGCTGTTAGAATATTTAAGATTTATGTATTTAACGTTACTAAATATCACAATAATTTTGAAAAAGGAAAATATCTCTAAATTTGTCGTTAATTTTTTGTCGGCAACGAACTTCAAACATTCAGATTTTTGAATATCGCCAAGTAAAGCGCAGACTAAACGCTGGTGTGGAATACCGTATGAAGAGACGATCACAAACATTTGTGAACGCTCCACCTGAACTCCACTCCGGCATTTGCATTTCCCACGAGAGAGGAGGGTTACTGGAGTGAGTGTGCGAGCTCTAAATGGCATTTAAAAATTGTATCCCTTATTAATACTAAAATTTGACGTTGCTTGTCTGAAACTGTCTTGTAACGTCTAATATTGTCATTGTCAGACAGTGCATGTAAATTCATTCAAAGTTCACATTTGCATTTTAAGAATTATGCATTCTTGCTTAAATCGCACCCTCAACCTTGGCGTTACTGGCACTGCGCTCTACTGTTTCTACAATCTACTTTTACAGTTTCTACAATTGTTTTCATGATTTAAAGTCTGCTTGAGGAGAATTTTAGCAAACTGACATACTTCCAACTTAAACGGAATGAGAATTTTTGTGTGTATCATTTGCTTTGTAGCAAACTAATGGTGAGAGGGGCGTGGTTAACAATATTGTGGCTGAAGCCATCAAACTGACCTCAAGAAAGGATCCTGCTACTCCACATGTGGATGTGAAGGTTCAGACTTTGACTAAAAATGACCAAAACATAAAATTTCTGTGGATAAACGTGTACAATTGTTCACCTAAAGCAGCAGGTCCTAACAGGGGGGTCCCGGCCCACAAGGGGGTCCACAGTGAGCTCTGTGGGGGGTAATTTTTTTTAGCAGTGGATAATTAGGAGAACGATCATGTTGCCTTAGTTCATTTTATCCCCTGGCTGACCTAAACAATGGACAAACTTGTAATTTGTCTTCCACAAGAAAGTCTAATGCTAATGACTGAAGTATACTCGACCCAGAAGAGGAAGCTCCAAACATCCTGGGTCACAGCACTAGCAATACTGGAAAACACCAAATGCAGGAAATACTAATAGTTACCTGAACTATGTTTTTATTCTATTTTCTCCAAGCAAAGAGTCCCAAACCAAGCCACTGTGTATTATCTGTACCAAAGTTTTTGCTAATGAATGCATGAGGCCGTCCAAATTAATGAGATATTTGCAGACGCATTCCCAATACAGCGACAAGAAAAAATTAACTTAAAAAAATTTACAACTTAAAAAAAATTGGCAAACTAATATAGTCAATTTGAAGGCCAAAGGCTTACGTTTTCAGTTACAAATGGCCTACTGATGTTTTGCTTTCATATTTTACGTTAAGCTATTATTTGTGCATAAACATATACAGATATAGATATAGTAGTAAATATATTTTCATTCTAACTGCAAATTTATATGAGTGATAGCATTATTAAATGTTAAGGGGGCCTTACAATATTTTCCAGAGAAAAAGGGGGTTTCAGGCAAAAAAGGTTGGGGACCTAAAGAACAACAGTGCCCACTAGGGCTGCATGATATTGGAAAAAACTGACATTGCAATATTTTCATCCACTGCGATATATATTGCAATATAAATGCAGTTTTACTAGATGACTTGAATAGCTTTTAAAGAAATCATAATTTTTGATTGGTTGGGATGATTGTGTAGGGCAGCGTATCTGCATAAAATATCATTTTAAAAGTTCATAGTTAAATACAACAGACAACGGAGGCAAATAAACAATGATTTATGATTTTTCTCAAACTGTATTCAGAAGCAAAAATGTAATAATCACTGTATAATAATAATAATATTAATAACATTATATTGTTTTAATTGAGTCCAAATGTACAATTAGACTTTATGCTACAAACGTTTAGTTTGTTGTGCTCAAATGTTTCAATTTGCTCAAAATTCTAAACCTTGACTTTTTTTTTAAGAAAAGTCAAGGTTTTAAAACTCAAAAAAATTCTGTTATATCGTCCCTAAGGTAAATGTAAAGTTTTTTTTCGTGTGTTTTTTTTTAATGTGTTGTAAAGAAATCTGTGCTTTTGAAACATAGCAGTCAGTCAAGTCAATAATTTATTTTAATTCTTTAGCCTGACATGTCTACAATAACAGCAGCAGTTTCCTATTGTGTTAAATGGGGGGAAATTTTAAGTTTTTTCATTTTACCCAGACATTTAAAAGGAACTTGTTTTAGAGCATTTATCACAATACCGTGATGCAGTGATATTTTTATCCAAGGTTATCATACTGTCAGAAATTTGTACTGGCCCATGCCTAACATTGCAGATATCTGCAATGTGACTATTACGGACGTGCACATTGCAGTGTCAATGATGAAATGATATATTGTGCATACAGCCCGAGTGTCCGCTACCAAAATTGTAGATTTTGATTTCACACAGAATTTAATAATAAGTCTCTTGATACTTTTATGCAGCATTTCTTTTATTCTCCTCAAAGTCAGCATGCACCGGAAGTTAGGATTGTCTTATTTTCCCCCATATCATGATGTACATCCAATTGAAACAGTCCTGAAATAAGGAAAAAATGCAGGGCGGTGCATTATTTCTTTTAGAAATTGTTTGGACTGTTAGAAAATGGGTGTTGCCAACAAAATAGACAAAAGCAGGGCAGAAATAAGACAGGCACTGATTGCCCTCCAAAAGGCATTCCATGTGACCAGAAGTGAAGAAAAGTCCTTTTGAGTGGGGAGGGAGGTTATGGTATTTCATTAAAAATGAAGGCAACATTAAATATTAAAATAAAAAATAATGAAGTGCATAGAAACAGTAAAACAAATCTTATGGAAGTAAACTACAAGTGTGAACACGAGATGCAATTGTTGCAATGATTGACTGTAGCATGAATAAAATTTTAAGTATAGTTGACCTGAAATGAAAGCTTACTCACCCTGCTCGAAACCTTTCGGTTTCTTGTGGAACACAAATGATGTTTTAAAGAGTATTAGTAACTATAGTGTCCTTTGATAGGAAAAGTCAATAGCAGCCAGTTTCCAACAGTCTTCAAAACATCTTGTGTGCTCAATAGAACAGACTCTGTAAGGTTTTAAACAGGTTGAGTGTGAATTAATGATGACATGATTTTCATTTTTGGTTAAATATTCCTAAGAGCTTACTTACTTGGACATCCATGACAGTCTGCACACTGTGTGATATAATTTTTTATCATTAAGATTGTCCATGGATGTTACAGTTAAAGCAGTAAGCAAATGATGATGTAGACCGAGTCAACTAGGTAGTAGTGCACATTTGTCTAACTCATCCATCCATGTTCATTCATGCTAGATTAAAATGTGAAAGCTGTACAGACATGGCTCTGCATGTGAGATGAAATGGAAAAAATTGGACAAACACCGAAAAAGAGGTATATCAACGCCTTTATATCACATCTGTATATTGTTTGAGTTTTGGGGTTGCACAGTCTCCCCACCCCCTCACTCCCTTTTAAGAATGGCAGCCATTCAAGGGTGTGCGAGGAAGATGAAAATAGGACAAGGCAGGTGTCACTTTCAGCTCTAGCATATCTAGACCTTACCTCTGACCTTTCTGTTGGGGTTGCACGATAGAGACACAACAAACCAACAAAAGAAGACACAAACCTACGCCGTTTCCCTCACATGATCCATTTTTTCCACTTTCCATATTCGGTCTGGGATATACAGAAGAACAAAGAAAACTAAATAAGCTTGGTAAAGATGCCACACACAACATTGTGATGCAGATAAAAATCAGAAGTGAGTTTCGATCCACAGAGTCTCGCAACCTGTCCTCAAATGTCAACTCTTGTTTCTATTACTTTGCTTAAACATGCTACGACTATAAGGTCATAAAAAGGATGTCAGGTACAGTGTTTCACACACACAAAATACTCTATATGTAGAGACGATTTGGAAAAAGGTTGTATAAATATTATATTAGTTTGCGTAGCGATATTTGGACTGGTCCATATTTCTTCATTGGATTAGTCATGTGGTTTAAGGGTGAGTGAGGGCGAGACAGTCTTTACCCACAGATGTGAAAAAGCATCTCAAGCTCTGGAGGAGGTCAGATGTTACCAAAGCAAGAAATGTCACAGAGGTCACAGTTATTTTCCATTTAGTTAGTAAAGCAATCTTGTGGCAATCTGCCCAATGGATGAGGAGTTCACTTTTAAAGGCGTAGCTTACCCAAAGATCACCCTCATGTCATTATAAACCTAATTTTTGATTGTGGAATACCAAACAAAATATTTTCATAAATGTTGGTCACCATACACCATTCGTTAGCCTACATATTTAATTTCATTTGTTTATATATTGCGTTTGGTTCTATATTTGTTTCAAAACTATTTCTAAATTTAGTTCTAATTTTCAGTTCTATCCAAACACTCCTCCAAAACCAGACAGGTGGACAAATCTAAACTTGTTTTTATTTAAACAAATATAAATACTGTATGAATATAATAAATAATACTGCTAATAGTAATATTATGCAAATGCAAATTGTCATGAATAAACTGAAAAAAGCCCTTAGAGATGAAGGCATGGAGGTAGTGTATATATATGCAGTCTATTTCAGTTCTTCAAAATAGCAAAGCACCAACAATGCGCATTAACACCTCCTTTTTAGACTGGAACACCCATGAGTCCACAAAGTGGCATAAACGGTTTTGCTATTTAATCAATGTTAAAGAGGGAAAATAGGGTTGCACTGGACTGAAAATAGCAACAAATTACACCAAGCACGTCTTGTGCCTTATTGATAGGGTGTATGATAGTGCCGTTCGGGTTGCATTTGGGACAACACTAAACTCCACCCAACAAGGCTGAGTGTGTAGTGTGTAAGTGCACACTACAAGTGCAAAGTACAGGGGTTGCATTTACAATAAGACTTCACACCACACCTTGTATTTCTCAAGCTGAAATGTAATAATATTCCAATATTAACATCTACTGTGGCTGCATTGTATTAAAATCAAATTGTCAAAAAGCTACCTTTTTTTTTTGAAGACCATGTATTAGGATTTACTACATACATAGGTAAAAGATCAAAAAAATGTAATCCAGCATTATTTGTGTTCTGTTTGATTAGTCATAATTTTTGCTCAGAAAAAATAAATGATCATACATTTTTACCATGATTTACACAAGATTTATCTTCCAAAAGTCTTTCTTCTATCTTATATGAAAAGGGCATGTTTGATTACATTTAAAATATAATTTTGTATTTTAAATCTTTATTATTTGCCACCATACGTTCATTGAATTCTTTTATTCTATCAAGTACAATTCAGTATAAGAATGCTGCTTTAATTATGCTGAATGAAGATTGAACGTTATTTTACCCAAATTTTGACCATTTATTTTCAAAAAATGATTTCAGAAAGGTGCATTAAATATGCTTTTTATGTAAAATTATTATTATTATTTTTTTTGCTCACTGTTTAAAAGGGAAGCATTCAATTTTAAATGCAGTTACAAATTATATGGATTTTAATACTTTTTTAAATGTTTACTGACATGTGCTAGTTTCAGTTTGTTTATGTTTGGTTTGCTTTTTAGAACGGCCAGTGGTTATGATGACTCTGATGACAGAGAAGATGGTATGTGTTAATTGTGATAATGTTATTTATCTCAGAATTAAACATTTTATACTTTAAATATCTCAGAGTTTTAAAAACAAACTGTAATTTTTTTTTTTTTAGGAAATCTAAGCAATGACGAGTGTGAAGCACCGGAAAATCAAGACTATTTTGCACAGCCAACCATAGTTCAGCCAGAGATCGACATCGAGGTGAGTGAGATTTGCTTTATATCACTTGTTCTAAAAGCGAATAAAAAATGCAAACATACATAAAAAGTTTAAGCATAAGCTCATTTTCCCCACCTGATTTTAACCTTTACCAGATTTCCATGATGGTTTTCATGTGCGGTATAAAAGCAATTTTTTTTTGTAATTGCGGTATCGGAAAACTCTGTGTGCTGTCTAGACACTCTTACAGTGATTCATTGTATGTTGCGGTATACAGTTATTTATCTTATCACTGCTGCAGTTTTTTTTTCTCTGTCTATTCTTATGCATAGGATCCCTGTCTGTCACTATTGCAACAAATGCAGGGCTCTAGTGTTTTTCAGAGCAACCCAGGCTAAAGATAACTCAAGAATCTCGATGTTACATTCAACTTTTACCTCATTGATTGCCTATTGTCTTTTTAATGCTAGCTAAAATACTGATTACGGTTTTCATCATGCATACTCACACAGTCCAATACGCTTGTTAAAATTACAACCAACATTTCACTGTTCCAATAACCACTTGCTTGTCTATTTGCAGTGTTGATTTGAAGCTGTTTAAAAGGGCTATGTGTAAGAATTTATGTGCTTTAATCACTTTTAAATTAAACAAATACTTGTATAATATTTTACCATATCTAGAAATACTGATTGATTAAACATTTGTCCTATATAGCCTGATTAATATAGTATTTAATATTTAATAATACTTTTAAAAACCACTTATAATAACCAGGTAATTTTAATTACCTCAGCTTTTGACATGATGCTGGTGAATTGGAGAGCTTATGCAAACATATCCATATTGCTATGATCTGATGATTTTTTTAACTGAGGGTCTCTCCTTTCTGTCATGTTTCTTCATTGTGAGTTTGATTTAGAAAATTGGGTATATGCACATTAAATAAATTAATAAATAAGTTAAATTTTTAACTTTTAAGTTAATTAAATAACAAGGACATTTAATTTATAATTAAATAACAATGCACATTAAATTTAATGAAATAACAAGGACATTTAATTTATAATTAAATAACAATGCACATTAAATTTAATTAAATAACAAGAACATTTAATTTATTGTTAAATAACAATGCACATTAAATAAACTTTTAACTTTTAATTTAATTAAATAACAAGGACATTTAATTTTCAAGTAGTCTGCTCAGGTTGTCATGCCATTGATATATGATATAAAGTAGTTATCAGACCAAACAAGAAGCATTTATCTCTAGCCATATCTTTAATATAAGGAAATTTATTTTACTGCAGTATTATTAAGGGTCATCTGCTGATGCTGATGGCGCTTGCAATGAAACAGTCATCTTGTTTTACAATTAAAAATAGTCAAATTAACTGTTCTTTGGAATTTTATCAGTGGTTGTAAAACACTTGCTGTGAATATAGTCCATCGAATCATGTAGTTTCTTGTATGCAAATAGTTTGCCAGCTGCAGTTCACTTAATGGCCAAAGTTGTCGCTAACTAGTTTCGCATCTGTTCTCAACCATTTAAAAATAACAGACTTAATTCATTCAAAGAGCATAGAATCACCAAGGGGCGACACTCTTGCTATTTAAGAAACATTCACTAGATGCTGCTAGTGTTGTGCGGCGGCCATTTTGGAATGAAAATTCCAATAAGACAACAGCACAGATAACTAACGTTAGACAGAATGAATCAAAATATTGAGTTACATATGAGTTAAAATGTTATACTATATAATTTTGTGCTCTCAGCATAAAAGAGTACACCCCCTTTGAAAAGTAACGTTTATCTAGTAGTTTGTATGGCCTCCATGGTTTTTAATGACAGCAGCAAGACTTCTGTGCATGGAGTGAACAAGTTGGCTACATTTTGCAACATCTATCTTTTCCATTCTTCAAAAATGACCCCTCTTTCATAAAGATGCTCAACTTAATGTTTGTTTAAAATTCCCCATTTTGTTTTCAGTTGGATACAGATCAGGAGCTATATTTAAAACATGCTAACATATTTGACATAAAAGCTTTATGAGTCTTTCTTTAACAGACAACACTGGGAAATGCTATTATAACGTAATACTTCAACAAAAAGTGTACTGTCAGTCTGTTGTCAACATTCCACTTTAAAAGTCATTATTAATTTGTATGATAGAACAAAAACTATTAAATTAAAGTAATTAAAAGTTTAAGTAATATCAAGAAATCAAGTATGGTTAATCTATTAAACATTAAGTCTGTGAAATAAACTATTAAAAGTGCTGATGATCAGCAGTCTTGTGATTGTAAGTGTTGCATTGTCGTCTTTCAGTTTGTATCTCAGCATTAATGTGCTTTTTAAATAAATAAATAAAAAACAAAGCAGCTGCTTGCTTTCATGATAGCAATGAGATCCAATGGATGGCCGATTGCTTTCACTCCAAAATGGTGGAATCGTGGGGCTGTTAGGGAACATTCCATAGAGTGTGGCCTATTGGTGATCTAAGCTCTTTGATTCATTACCAAAAGCCTTAATTCAAAATGACAGTTCTGTTGTTCAGTTGTTCTAAACCTAAATGACTTTTACATGAAACCATAGTCCAAAATAATACATTATTAAAATGATTGAAAACTGAAGAGTTCTGTTTACCTAAAAAAAGAAAAAAATCAAGTAGAAGAATATACTTTTTTGACCTAGCATGAGAAGAAATGTTGTTTCTTGGTTGAAATATCTATTTAATTGTTGACTGTAAGCCTTAAAAAAATTATATATATATATATATATATATATATATATATATATATATATATATATATATATATATATATATATATATATATATATATATATATATATATATATATATATATATATATATATATATATATATATATATATACATACACACGTGATTTTCAAATATATATTTTTAATTTTAGTGTTTGTTTTTGTTTATAATGCTGACAAAATGGCCTAGCCTTTTGTAAATTAGCCCACTAGTCAAACAAATCCTCTTCTCCAGTCTATATTAAATAACAAAAACAAAGATATGTATTTGTTGATATTGTTATTCTTTTCATCTGTCTACCTGAACAGCTCATTGAAGCTTCGGCATCAACTTAGGTAATGTGCATGTGACTTGTCGACTTGACGCCTTGCTAATGTCACCCATTCATCGTGTTGCATGTAATATGCATCCTGTATCATGTCCCATAATACATAATGTCTAGATCAACAAAGTAGAAACTGTTTATGTTCATGTTTTTAAAAAGTAAACTTTGTGTATACTATGTATTATGTTTTGTGTATTATATAGGCAAGTTAGTCGGGTAGTAAAAAAGGTCCTCTTTGCAACTCTAAAGTTTCCCACGTAGGACAAAAGCTGCTGTAAAAGTGGAAAAATCTTGTTTTTAACTTAATGTTGGTCTGTTTTATTGGGTTCCTGGGCTGTTTTCCCATAGAGTGTTTTGGCAAGTAGTCAGTAGGAGGTGAAACAGCCCTTTGTAACTGAAGTAAAAACAAAACTGTTAAAGTCTAAAAATGGTACAACATAAGCAGCAAAAATGTTATTGCATCGATTTGATTTTGTGTATGTAAGTATTTTCAGTATCACAGCATGTTTACCCTACGTTTACCTTGCACAACTTTAAACAGGCTACATTTTAAGCATCACAGTTTAAACAGGCAAAATGGTAGCATCACCTTTTTAATCTTTAATTTTTTTTAAACCTGTGTAATTTTTTTTCACAAATGTTCATAACTGTCTTTTGAATATTTTGTTTTTCATTAAAGTATTCTCTTCTCACTGGCTTTGGCTACTGGGAAAGAGTCAGTGGGAACTGGCACAAACTTCATTCTAACACAAATTACATCTCCATTTGTATTTGACATTTTAGATAGTTTATCTAGTGCTTTTTATTAATTGATTTATGTAAACAATAATGATAGAGTTTTTACACTGATAGATTATTCATATTTTTCAATTATATTTGGTTCTAGTTTTTGCATACATTTGTTACTGATTATTATTAATGATGAAAGAAATAACATTTATAAACGGACATGGTCTGAAACAACAGCATGAATAAAATGCCAACAGAAAACTAATAATACTCATATCAGTAGTTAAATTGTGCAAATTAGTGCTGGTTTCAACAGTAATATCAATAGTAAATGTGATTAACAATAATAAGCAAAGGTAATCACTCTTGATTCTCCAAAGAGTTGCAATCAAGAAATGATTACTGTGATGCATTTTGAATTTAGATTTTGTGCCATTCGTCTTACACTTTCTGTTAGTCGGTAGCAATTCAAATTCGTAAATGCAAAACAAAGGCTCAGTTTTCACCTGGTTTTAAGATACATTTTCAGTGATCTGATCACAAGCGGTCATTTAATTTAAAACTCATTACTGTTTTTACCTGGTACCAAATTTTGTTCATTTTATAAAAATGTTATATCAAATGTCCAAAAACTAGCTTGGGTGCAATTTCTCACAGCACTTCCCATAGAGATCACGTTAGATCAGTAGGCGAAGAGTAGGTGGTCACTTGTGGCTTTTAGAACGCATTGGAAAATGAGATTTACATTGTTAACAGCTTCTGGAAGTGGTCAGAAATGGACGATCTAGTGACCAGATTCACAAAACCAAGGTGTAAAACCAGATGTAAACAGTGTCAGTGTTTACTGCCTATATTACATTTTTTATTAAAAGTTCTTAAATCGTTTGGAATGCAAGTTTCGTTACTTTTGCTCTCTGTTGCAGACTGCCAAAAATCTGTCCAGTTCCCCAGAGTCCACCAAAACTTCCTCCATGGCAGGATGTTCTCTTTCCACTTCAGATATTCCCTACGGAGAAACACTTCCACTAGAGTCAATGTCATCCATAAATTCTCCCCAAATAGAAGAGTCTGGCCTTCATCCATCAATTTTATCCATCCCCCAATCACAGTCAACCCAGGAGTCCTCAGAGGCACAAGATCCAGTCTATAATGTTCTCCCTTCTGTGTCTTTTTTGGTTCCTGCAGTCCTTGTCCACTCCTATGATAAACAAGAGGCTAGCAATAATGAATCTGAGGTGTCCAGCAACCCCAACACACTGTCTCATCCACAGAATGGGATGTTAGCGCAAGTGCCTTTCGAGTTGGGCCAACCTTTACTGGCTGCGTTTCCAGACACGACACATACCGAGAAAGAAGATCTGGAGGAATTTCAGGAGAAGAAGGATGTTGTGGAAATGTATGACAAACTGTCAGACATTCAAGAAGAACCAAGTCAGAATGTAGAAGGAGATAAAACTTGCATTCAGACGTCGGAAAATCCCACACAGGCCTCTTTCTCAAAAAAGGTAAAAGTTGCAACTGAAGATGTAGAGAAGCTGATTTGGTCAGAGGGCTTGGAGAATCCACTGAATGAAGGAGGTCTAAAAGATTTTCAGGAAAAGGAAGATGTGAAAATAGACAACAGATTGGCAAACAGTCAAGAAGAATCAAGTCAGAATATAGAAGAAGATAAAACTTACATTCACAGGTCAGAATTTCTTAAACAGCTTCCTTCCTCAACACAGTTAAACCTTGCAAATGTAGATTTAGAAAACGTCAATTTGTCAGAGTTTTTAGAGAACCGTCTAGATGAAAATCCCAAGCAGTCTTCTTCCTCAATACAGGTAAATGTTGCAACTGAAGATGTAGAGAAGCTTAGTTTGTCAGATGGGTTAGACAGTTCTCTGGAGAACAGTCTGAAGCATCTAAAGGAAAATGAAGATGTTGTGGAAATTGTTAACAGCTTGGCAGATATTCAAGAAGAACCAAGCCAAAGTATAGAAGAAGATAAAACTTACAATTACAAGTCAGAATCTCCCAAACAGCCTTGCTCCTCAATACAGGTAAATGTTGCAACTGAAGATGAAAAGCTCACTTTGTCGGATGGGTTAGAGAATCCTCTGAAAGAAGGTCTGAAGGATTTTCAGGAAAATGAAGATGTTGTGAAAACGGTTGACAGTTTGGCAGATGTTCTAGAAGAACCAAGTCAGAATATAGAAGAAGATAAAATGTACAGTCACGGCTCGGAAGATCCCAAGTCACTTCCTTCCTCAAAAGAGGTAAACATTGTTACCGAAGACACAGCGAAACACAATTTGTCAGAAGAAATAGTGATTCCAGTGTATGAAAAGGATCTAAAAGATTTTCAGGAAAATGAAGATGTTGTGAAAACTGATGAAAGATCGGCAGACATTCTTGAAGAACCAAGTCAGAATACAGAAGATGAAATGTACAGTCACAGGTCGAAAAATCCCAAGTCGCTTCCTTCCTCAATAGAGGTACACATTGAAACTGAAGATGTTGAGAAGCTGATTTTGTCAGAAGGCTTAAAGAATGTTCTGGATGAAAAATGTCTAGACGATTTTCAGGAAAAGGAAGACGCTGTGAAAACTGACAAAATATTGGCAGATATTCTTGAAGAGCCAAATCAGGATCTAGAAAATAACACTTGTGATCAGCTGCTTGAAGAACCCACGCTGCCTCCTTCCTCTAAGGAGGTAATCACTGCAACAGAAGATGCAGAGAAGCTTTCAGATAGCTTGGAGCATCCTCTGGAAGAAGGAATTAAAGAAGTAGATCTTGTCTCTTTGATTGGAATTAAGCGTGCCCAGGTGTTCGAAGTGGAAAGCACCAAAACAGGGGATGAGGAATATGATGCTTTGGTAGCTTCCTATTTAGATACCACTTTACAGGACAGAGAAACCCAAAGTTTACTAATCAATCCAACCAGTCAAGAAGAAGGACTCTTGGATCCAAAAACCCTGGCCTCAATCCTGCCTGAGGACCCAAACATTAAAAACCAAACTGTTTCTATGTGTACTTCAGAGCATCCAACAAGCCAACCAGAAAAGCCAGCACTGGTCAGTGGTTCTGAAACATCACCAAGAGCCTTCGATCATCAGCCTTCAACTGTTCAAACCTCAGCAGAAGAAGATTTAACGTCTGAGCCTGATGAACTTTCCCAAGAGGCATGTAAAGACCTTGAACCTCAGCACACACTGCCAAGAGTCGACAGTGAACTATCTCAAATATCAAAGGATCAGGCTGAGGTCTCTCTGAGCACGTGTCTCATGGTCTCCGTAACCTTCTTCACTGCTGTTATCTGCCTGGCTGTAGGGATTCAAGAGCCCAGCGCTTTTCTGTGTGTGGGATTATTCCTGTTGTCCCTTTGGTTCTTTGGTTCTCCCATCCACTTCTCATAAAAGCCTTAAGACTTGACCTTCTTCCTTTCTACCCAGTGCCTTGAGAAATTCCCAATAAGAACATTTTCATGCAAGCAAATCTGGTGTCATATTTGTGTTCGCTCGTGGTTGTAAACATTGTGAGAGTTGGTGTTTTCAAATTTAGGAGGTGAGCTTAAGCTTGGTATGTTGTTTATCATTCAGACCTCCAGTATTAAATCTGCTGTGGATTATATATTACTAAAATAATCGTTCGAGCAACAAGTATGTTATTTAGCTGAATGACATCACTGTGTATTTCATACATGATTGGTCATTACAACTGTTACTCGGCTTAATGTTTCATCCTCCATTGCACAGCTGCTAGTCCTAAAAAATGAATCTAATATAGAAACTTGTAAAGGGGATGACTTGGTGGAGAGTGTATGTGGTTATATGTGTGACAAGAAATGAGGTGGACTGGACAATTGATGCAGGTCAATTCAAAGCAGGAATTTATGAAAGTGTAACTTTCAGGTTGTGTAGATATCTGTGGTATATGAGGAATTAGTCTATTTGTCTACGGAGTCTATTTGTCAACCAATTAAGGAGAGCATTAACTAGGTATCAAATATAAGGCACTACATTTTGTCACTTAAACACTGTGAAAGGGTATTTGATGTTATGTGTGATCATTTTGTAACTGGGATTACTCACATGCTGACTGTGTATAAACTTAAAAATAAGTGAATATGATTAAAGTGTTTGTTTTGTCATAACTTACTCTGCTTTATTGTTCCAAATCTGTAAGAAATCTTATTCATCTTCAGAGCACAAAACAGAGTACTTCTAATAGTAATCGGATATGGCCATTGAAAGTCTGTTCACCATAAACATTCATACACTGTAAAAAGCCATTAGTTGACTTTACCTAGTAAACTTATTGCATTATAATTTTCCAGTAAACAATCAATGCGCATAATTATAAAAGTTAAGCCAATTGGTATACTTCAAGTTAAATCAACTTGTTGCTTTTAAGTCAGTTGGTTTACTCACTTTATTAAAGTAACTAAACGTTTTTTACAGTGTACGTGGTGTAATGATTCAATCAGTTAATGCTTTACAATCTGCATTTACAGTATTTAAATTTAGTCGTGGAAGGCTGGAAGCTCTATCAAAGTTGATGCGAATTAACCAATGGTGTTCATTCCTGCACCTTATTGCACATTTCAGCTTCTGCATGAACCAATGAGGCTTGTTCCTGCACATATAAGTGGAATGGCTGAGATTATATTTGCAGATCTATTTGAATAAAAGGCTTAATTATCCCGTTCATCTTATACACAGGGTTCGTTCGGGTGCTGGAAATCCTGGAAAATGCTTGATTGTTAATATAGTGTTTTCAAGGTTAGAAAAGTTCTTGGATTTTGGACAAAGTGCTTGAACCTGCTTGAATTTAAAATTGGAGGGCTCGAAATTTGTACATGTGTGCAGATTTAGGAGACATTCACGCAGAATGCATATTTGCACCTAAAAACGCCAAACACAGCGCTCAGGAAAAGTTTAAAACAGTTGACCGGTCAACTTGTAATAAACAAAGCCTGCAATGAATAATAAAAAAAAATAATAATAAAAAGTAACATTGATGATAGCTTGCAAACTATTGTTTCCATATTTGGTGACAGATTTTCAAAACAGGTGACATAGAAAAAGTTCATTAATTTGCAGCAAGAATATTCTCAGACTCATAAAGATTTAATTTGTTACATGAATTTTGAATAGCAATGCACATGAAATGTTATGAACGGCTGCTATTGAAAGTTTGGTACGACGCCCAAACAAAATCTGACTGTAAGCTCATTTTTTGAGATATCAGCTTTAGGTACGAGACCAAACTTAAAGATACTTTAACTAATAACTGAACTTTTAAAAATTTCTTTAGCATTTTTAGGTGAACTATCCCAATAAATATATGCTCCAAAGTATACAACAATTTAAGTTAAAATGTTATATTGTGTTTTTTTTAAATAGCACAATGGATTTAGATGTGAAAAAGTACATACAGCATATATATATATATATATATATATATATATATATATATATATATATATATAAATGCAATTTATCATGCTAAAAAAGTAGAAAAATGCACCTTGACAGTGCTGGAATTTGAAGTTGGAAAATGTGTAAGAACCCTGTATACAGGGTATATACAGGAATCAGAGTTAAATTCACTATCTTTCAAGACCTTTAATTAAGACTCTGTCCATACATTTTAAGATCACTTTAGATTTCAACACTGTTGTGATTTTAACTTGTAGTACATATTTACTAAATATTAATGTAAGAAACTAATCCAAAACTAAGACATTCTTCATATACTGAATACAAATCTATTAAATCTAGCTAATTCAGCAGGTTGGCGCCTATAGAACTGCAGAAATAATGGTGTTTCCTTGGTTACTGCATTAAACAAAGGAGCATGATGTCAAATCTAACAGGATTTTATAAACTACATAGCATCCTGATATTAACCGATTTGATTCAGGCAAACTTTACCATACAACCAAACATAGCATAATCAAAAATGACATAAAATGTAATACCTTGCAAAATAACATTTATGACTTTTTAATACTTTTTAAGGGCCTTAAATTTTTCTACATTGATTTATTAATTTATTTAGGACCCAGCGAACACCCTGATATAAAGCTCAATTAAATTGCTAGATTGATATGGATTGATCGTTTGATAAAGTGTTTTGAAGTGTCGGAAACAAAACAGACTTTAAATGGGGTGACAAACAGATCAGATTTCATTTCAAATATACACATTTTCGTTGAGACGATGAACAGATGTCTTGTGGATTTAGAACAATAAAGTGAGTAAACAACTGCAGAGTTTTTGTTTTGTAGTGGACTTGAAGAACATGCAGTTTTGCACCCATCTGCTTCGGAAAAAAATATAAAGTCTCCAAATTGTCTTGTCAGTTTGTGGGCAAGCATATGGCCTTTTGCAGTGCTCTTTTAAAGCGTGCCCCAAGCCTCTGATATCACCCCAAAAGGTCACGCATTGCACTGAAGTCACGGCATCAGGTTACCGGGTGACTACACTCCATTGTAAACAGAGAGGATTGAAGAAATCTTTCACCCCTGGATATCCCTTCTTCCAAAACTTGACCCTCCAAATATTCAGTCACTAATTTATTGCTTTGTCGTCTCACTGAATTAATGTGTGAACAGGGTTGTGAACACATTCTGTGGTCAATATCAGGTGTTTTATCATGTTAGTATAGAAATAAAAGTCTATGATTGATAAAAGCGGATTGGTTTATTTCATTAAGTGTACAACCTATGCTGTCATTGTCAACATGGTGTAAAATGATCTCACTTTTGTGCAAGTATAAATGTGAGGACTGACAAAACAACTTGATTTTCTTTTTTAATACAAAGCCAATAAAAAAACAAAAATTATAGTCCTACAATATATACAACATAGTTTGATTTTGAGGATGACAGTTTCATAGTTGTGTGAATGTTAAAATGTTTCTGAGCATGTGAGAATTGCAGACTTAAAATACCATCTCTCAGGAATCCACAGAACACTCCAGCTTCACGGTCCATTTTCCAAAAGCAACATAAACATGAGGAGGCTTTATATGTCAAGGCCAACAATAGGATTACTTTGCTTTTGGGAAATGCAGCCCCTGGATACTAACCGGATCTGTGAAATAATAATTCAACTTAAGCACTTGAACTCATTTATGCATCCAGTCTTGCTCTCAAAGACAGACTCTAAAATATGGGTTTGACAGTATGAATGTATTTTGTCATTTGTTTGACTATATACACATAATGAAAGCATTTAGCATGTGTAAAAGGCAGCTGATGATGGTCCACCTTCTGCAGTCCAACAAACACCCCTTTCTGTGCATTAATAGGTATATTTTGCCCCCTGGTGGAAATTTCATGACAAGCGAAAAATCAAGGAGATTGTAGATTTTAGAAATGTTACACTGGTCTAAAATATTTACTAAAAACAGGGCAAAAAATACAAAGCAGAAGTAAAAAACAATCCATCCCAATTTGAGCAAATAAAGCATGTTAAAAAGCTTTTCTGTAAGAATTTTATGCGGATCATATGATTTTATAAAAATGATTTAGTTTTAAACCGTCACTTACATGTTTGTTAACATATAAAGTGAACGATTAATGCCACATTTGATACTCTTTTGAAAACACGTCTGTGGTAAAAGTTGAGGTTAATCTTGAGGAAATTAAAAAAACTTAAATATTTACTTAAAATTCTAAATTTGCAAACTGCAGATGCTTTCAACACATTCCAGTTGAACACATGATCTTCCATCAGTCTCTCTTTAGCATGCACTTGCTCTAAAATAGGTACTTTCGACAGGTCGCCACCCCACATTTGCACTCCACACGCATGCGCTTCTTAGGGGAGCCTGGGAGTCCCATCACACCGAAATTAGTATCCATCTTTGTGCTCTCGGCATCTACTGGATCAACTATGGGAAAAAAGAAGAGAAACAGAAAAATAGATTACACAAACATATCATTTACTCTTTCAAGAAAGTATTTATATCAGAGGCAGACACATAGTTATAAAATCTGTCATTTAAAGAAAACATTTAAAAACTTTCATTTAATAAACAATGCACTGCTTTTTATTACACATCTACACAAGCATTGTGATATCCTCTAGTGTCAATTTTGCAATAAAGACATTGTATTAACTTATTTAAAAAAGGCTAAATCCTTTTATTAAAATCTTTTCTTATTGCAATAAATAATTCTAAAAATCAATGTGATGAATGTTTGTAGGAATATATGCATCATAGCCACATATTTAATCAAAGGAGACATAGGTATATTATACAAGCACTAATGGGTAGGAAATATCTTAAATATTTTACTTAAATATCTTAAATAAATATTTCGGGCGAAAAAACAGATATGAGATGTTTGTGGTAGGTTACAGAATTATGGATTCAGAATATTCACGTCATCATGTGTAAAGGTGAAGGTTTCTAGAAATCAATGCATAATTTCTTTAAAGAATGGCTATGTGACTTTAATAGACACCAAATTACCTGAAAATTGCCATTTTGAGGAATATTACTTTGCAAAATTGCCTGAAAAACCACTTCATGTTAGAACTGTAAAAACTTTATAGCAGCTTTTGATTATTATTTTTTGCATTTAGTATATTTTAATAAAGTAACAATCTTGCGATGGCAAAAGCTTCTGTTTTATCATGAGCCATTACTTCAGTCTATATAGTCACATGATGCTCCTCTAGAAATCATTCAGATATGTTTAATGTGTGCTTCAGAAACATGAAAATGAATAAAGTTTTAAACAACAGAATAGAATTAATATAAGAAACAATACAAACATCACCTTTAGATCAAATATAGTTGCAGTGTATGTTTAGTTGCATTACTTTTATTAGCTCTATTGTCACTCGCTCTACTAATTTTCATTAGCTCTACTATCCAGTTCTATACATACTCTTCATGTTGTAGTCAAAGGTGAGCTCTTCTCCAGCCTTTATCCCACGAGTGGCGAAGAACGCGATCCGCGGCAGCCGCTCATCCAGGTTATCAATAAATACATTATATACCTGGAGGTTGGGGTCACACTGGGGATGCAAAACAACCATGTGATTCATAAGAGAGCAAGTAAAATGTGCTGTAATCCACTTGTTTATTTATGGTGGATGAAAATCTGTTTTCAGGTCCAAGGTTGATGCAACTGAATAGAGAAAGTAATCTCAATAGCCGTTTATGACCACTGTTAAGTCATAAATTGCACATTAAATGCAAATCATTTATATAATTATTCTGCACCCAAAACACTGATGTTTCAACTCTTTTTAAAATGTGATGTATTATTGTTGTGAAGAGAAGTTCTCTCTTTTGACGTTGTATAAATCCTTAAAAGACTCATTAAATAATTCAATATTTTGTTGGATTACCAATTGTTCACAAAGTAATTAAATTAAATTCCTTATCTACTGTTATTTGTATTTAAATTATTTACTATTAGTTATAATAAGGCCCACACATTAATCCAATCATTATTTATTGTCTCATTTAATGTGTAAATATACATTTATACAGTTTTTACAATACATTTCATTTCATTTACATTTCAGTAATATTAGTAACAGTTTTTAGTTACTATACTATCAAAATCATTCTAAAATAAATCTGCAGGTTTTGTACAAAATTCTGCAAAGAAATAGAAAAAAATGTCTGCAGATTCTGTCTGGCCCCGGATTAAATATACTTTTCTTAAATATTGTAAACAACGTCAACAGTTTTGAATAAATCAATTCAGAGAAGCAGAGGAATTTCTTTTCTTATTACACAAATCTTACATTTAGCAATTATTTATATTATTTGACTGAATAAAGATACATTTGTTAGACAATTGCACATACTCAAGTAAAAATGAATTGTATCAGTGACATGTGAAATGCTATATTGTTTTAAAAAAATAGTTAAAATTTAATAAATTTAATGTTTAGGATTTATTTATTCAGAGTAATTCTACTTGTTAAATAAAAAGTGATGTTTTCTATTAAAATGCTTAAGTTTTAAAATCATATAAAGTTAGAAGTTTGACTTAAATTTAAATTCAAAGTTTAATTTGTATTATTATTTAATTGGGACTTAATGAGATTAAGTAATGTTGAATTAGGTAATCTAATTACTTTTCAAAACAATTAAAAAAAAATATCTTAAATACAATTTTAATGACGTAATTTTTAATTCATTGTTTAGTATTACAGCACACTGAGAGCATTTCTTTTAAAAAACTGTCTGCTTTTGGTATCTGATAGAACATTTGGTCCCAGAATCTGTACAGTGTGACCTCAGACTAAACAGTAACATTTAAAAGAAATTTAAGATTCAATTCATGCAGATTAAATTTGAACATTTATTTGAAGCTGATCAACTCACGCTGTGGTTGACGAAGTGGGAAATGTTTCCATAATGAGCAGCATCCACGGTATACTCATCGTCCACATAATCCAGGTCAAACAGGTAAGTGGCGCCCTCTTTATCGTATACATGACCTCGGCGTTCTGCTTCTTCTGTTGTGATGATCTAAAGCAAAACAGGGAAAAAGAAGAAAATTTAACAACTACAAAACTTGCTTCTTTGATAGACAGCCAAACACAGCCACAGCTATCAGACGGAAACTAAACTGTTAGATAGCTGCTAGACAATGCCATTATCTACTAGTGAAGAACAACATGTCCTGGTGATAACAGGGCAGCAACGACAATGTTCAACTGAAGAAGAGTTGAAATACAAAAATTAAATACAATAAAATGTAAATAACTACAATATTAATCGACAAATTATTGATCAACTGTGTGCTGTGTATAGAAAACATCAGCTAACTTTAATAACATTATTTTTAATGAATTTATCCAATTAAGTGAAAAAAATAACAGCTGAATAACACTTTATTTGGCATTTAACATTTAAAAATAGTTGCATTATAATTATTATATAATAACATAATTAGATCAGGGTTTCTGCAGGTTTCACCACCATTTTTAGACCATTATGAATAAAATTGTAGATTCATACAGGGCTAATTGCAAAGGATTTTTTTAAATATCCCGTTTAGAAAAGATTTTCACTTGCTCTATCTAAAAATTATTAAAACTCAATACATTCAATAATACAATAATAATTTAGTTATTATACATTTATTTTATATTTTTTTATTAATTTTCAAATATATCCATTTACAAACTATAACCCTTACCAAGAATAGAACAAAGCATAGCTAAGCTGTCAATTGCTTCAGTCTACAATAACAAATAATAATAAAAAAATAAATATTGTATCCTCAGCAGCAAACAAATGGAGAACTTTAAAGCAAATGCTAGTGTGAGGAATGTAATTAGTTGCTCTTTTTAAATAAAAAGTTAAAAGTTTTATTGAGATTGGGATTGCCGGTGAATGTATGGGTGTAATGGTCAGATACATGAACAAAGGAAAATTAAGACCTGTTAAAAAAGATCCTGCAACACAACATTTCAGTAGATTTAAGACTTTGTAAGGCCTAAAATATAGCTTTAGAGATTGAAGACATTTTAATACCCTGCGGAAACCCTGTTAATTAATTAGAATTATGTTTTTTTTTTTTAAGTGTTACTTTTTGCTGAAATTAGGAACTTTAAACCAATCCCCAAACTAATAGCATAAATAATCAGAAATAAATATAACAAACAACCTAATTGGTAAAATCAATAATAAAATTTCACCGTTCAAATAATTATGTTTTAATCTAGTGAATAGAAAAAATAAATCAACAGATTTACGGATTATCAACTAATCGTTAGTTACAGGCCTTAAATAAAAATAATAGAATGTTTACATGCATCTAATCCAGACTACAACTAACAACCCAACTCAATCCCTCTCACCTCGCCGACATACTCCATGACGAAAGTGTTCTTGCGAATTCGCTCCATGGTCCGCACTCCCCATCCCCTGCCATTGTCCGTCCTGAAAATGCAGAGCGAATACCGGATGCCCCTCTGCACCACTCTGTTGGAACAGTCAGGCCCACAGCGGCACCTCTTGTTGCATTCATAAATGGGCAACCCAGGCCGAATGCGGACCTGACCCAACTCATTGTATGCAAACTTATGCTGGGACGCTCCGGCACAGCAACCCTCCACAGGGCTGGCCAAACAGTCTGTGCACTCACAGCCCACGGACACCTCGTTCAGCAGGATCCCATCTCCAACTTTATAGTCATTAATGTAGGTGAAGCTTTTGGGTGGACCCTCCAGATCCACCTGGTTGCGGACAGAGATGTAGCCCTTATGGGTGCCCAGGCTGTTGAGGTGAGTCTCCCATTGTTTGAGGGTCTGCCGGAGTTTCGCTCGCTGAGTGAGGTGTGTTACAGTGGCGGGGTCTAGACGACGAGGGGCAGAACGTTTATTCTGTCTCTGCATCTCTGCATTCAGATCCTCCCAGAACTGAGAGAGCAGGTTGACGCACCTCAGGTTCCTCCGTGGTTCCCATGTGTTTCTGGATTCTGGGTAGCCTTTCCATTTCACCAGGTATAACTCCTGGGACAGAGAGGGAAAAACATGGAAGAGAAAGTAGGATACAGTTTTGTTTTAAGTATTTTTACTGTTTAAATTGCACAAATTTTACCGCCATTTCAAGATTTAAGAGAAGTAGTTTGTGTCTCCAGAATGTGTCTGTAAAGCTTCAGCTCAAAACACTCGTCAGATTATTTATTATACATTTTAGAATACTGGAATTTTTTGCTCTGAACATAATGTAGCTGTTTTTGTTGCCTGTACCTTTAATGCTAGTTCTCCCCACCCACCGCTCCCACGTGCTTGTCAGAGTGTGCCTCAATCTCCGCTTCAGCTGCATCGGACACAGGGCACAGCGACAGACAAGAAGGAAGCAGATCTCGCGGAATGTTTGTGAGAAATATTACAAAAAAAACCTCGCAATGATTATTTGATGTGTGATTTGTTGTGGAGTTAATTTAAGCTCTTTGGTGAGTCACACACAATGCTGTTACAAAGTTCACACTCACATATTTATATCTTAAATTATACAAGTTCAATAGATATTAAGAGTGAAATGAGAGATATATACTCATTGCAAAAAAAACATTATACAAATATTTACAATTGCTAGATACAGGGGATGGACAATGAAACACTGGCCAAATTGGTGTTGGAGGTTTCATGGCTAAATTAGATCAGCCTTGTGGCCAATGTTCATTGATTGCATATTCCACCAGTAAGAGCAGAGTGTGATGGTTTGATTGGAGTAATAGCACAGTTTTGCTTTAAATATCGCAATGCACACAACAAGTCTTTGTGATGTGTCAAGAGCTACAGCATCCCGGATAATGTCAGATAATGTCTGTCTGAAAGGCATGTCTGTTTGCTAGGGCTGTGCGATTATCGAAATCGAATCACAATTTGAAACGTTACCATTACTAATTGCGATTTCGATTACTAGCACAGCCCTAGCACCCAGACATCCCTTTCAGCCAGCTTACCTTTGCATCCACAGTTACTCTTGTTGTCTTACTAGCCAATTGAGTGAGCACACTTTCGTTCTGCCCAATCAAAATTAAATTTCGCAACCGAACTATGGCCACAATAAAATAAAAAAAAAAGAAAACAAACAGGAAATTGCTGACAAGTGGCATTATGGCATCTCCTGCTTCAGAAGCATTGATAGACGAATTACTATCAAAGAAAAATAGCACTTGTAATATGGGAATATTTTGGTTTCAAAGTCATAGACAGCGCAGAATGTTGCCTGTCACAGCATTGTTGCCACGGCTTACAGATTATTGAGCTAAAGCTTGACTACAAATTAAACCGTTAATCAAATTGCAATTACCATATCCTTCAAAAAAAATTGTTTTGTATTTTGAGATATTTTTTATTCAGTGGCAAAAAGAAGCATCCTGTGCTTGGTACAGAATAAAAGCTTGTTCAAATAAACCCCAAGTGCTGTAAGTAAACTCACTTTTAAATTGTGTATGTAATAAGATTTAAGGTTTTATAAATAAGTAAAAAGATCAGCCTTTTAATAGCACTTCTATGTGGTTTTCCATCAAAATAAATGTTCTATAATACGAAAGTTTGCTGTTGTTAAATACAACAATTACTATTATTACAGAATCATCTAGTTTAACAGTATTATCAGTGTTAAGAATAATTACAGTGACATTTGTTTTAGGAATACTTTATTAAATGTTATTTATATTGCAAAATATTAGTTTTAAGCTCTTATTTATTATATATGTTTGCATATAATAAAAGTATATTTTAAAAAAAATTACATTTGTTATTACTAGTATATGAATAGCAGTTCCGAATAGGGCTGGGCCAATAAATGATATTAAATCGAATCGCTCCAATCACAGCAGAAATGTGCAACAACAGAAATCTAGAACTTTGTTGATATTAGACATGCAGCAAATTTTTGCCCACCGACAATTCATCAGCTGAATTTATGTTATGCCATTTAAAGTACCCTCTAATTTTTGTGGCTTCAGTCATTGTTGGGCTACTCTTTTAAATCTGGATGCATTAACAACTTACATAGAAATGTATATCGTTACGGTTCAATATAGAAAACAATTATCAAGACTGCATTTTTGCCATATAGCCCAGCCCTTGTTCCGAATGCCAGTTCCTCCTATTGTAAATCTGAAATCCTTTCTCAATTGTTATGTAGGATAAAAAAAATTGAAACTTGGATTTCAAATAAAACCTAATGCTTTACAAATGTGTTGTTTTCTGCTCACCTGTACTGTTTGCCTCTTCCCATCTGTGATAACTTTTCTTTTGTAGTCACACAAATATTCCACTTCATAATCACACAGGTTGTTCCTGCTGATGCCGAGCTCTTCGCACACCACTCCCTCATCTCGACAGACCACCTCCAGCTGCTCTGTCGTAGCAATGCATGCTACCCTGCAAACTTGAGCTATAAAACATGATTACATGTCAATTTTAGAAAAAAAAAGAGGTAAAAACGTGGGTAAAATCTAGATTACAGATGCGGACACGCACATCAATATAGCTTCATTTTTGTGACACTGTACAAGAATATTTATACAGTACTGTGATGATTGGGTTTAGGGTTGGAGTAGACGTTATAAGATACAATTTATTGGGTAATTTAATAAATTACATGTTTAATACTCAGTACAACTACTGTTTTTACATAAAAGTGATGGTTGGGTTCAGGGTTTGGGTAGGAGTAGATGGTAATAAAATGCAATTAATGGGAAATTATATGAATAATAAATACAATTTTTTTAACTTTTGGCTGCAACCATATCCGATCTAGCAACAACCGTAAAATTGGTGATGACAGATGTGTGCACGCTAGTAAACACGGCTAAGCTGTTGCTAACATACATGTAAACTAAAACTTTGCAGAAAGAAACATGTCAAAATAAATAGCATGTGAAAATAATATTATTGGTTAACATGCATACACACACACACATGACAAAATATAATTTTCTTTAAAAAAAAATTTTATGAAACAACCGTAATCACTACTTTGTACATATTTTGTTATGTTACTTAAACTATTAAGTTGTTTTGAAATAATATTACAAAAATGTATTGTAATGTACTGTGTATTTGTAAATGTATTTAATTAATTAAAAGTGAAATAGTCTTCAAATAATATTATGTAGCTAATAACATGGACTACAAACATTTTCAAGATATTTGATCATAAAACTCTAAAAACCAACAACAAACCAAAGCCAATTAAACCAACTTACAATATTGTCATGTTATCAAAGTAATAGCAACATTAAAACTTCTTATCAAAATATATTGTGAGAATAGACTCCCTAACAAGATAGTGATTATAGTTTCTCGTATAACTTTAATAAAATATATAACGTTAGATCTACAAAAACAATACAAAAGAGTAATGTACAGATCTGCTTCCTTCATGCTTTATGGAATAACGTTACATTAGTAAGTTAATCTTTACAGGGCTGGTCGCGAGCATCTTCGCTAACCAATGGGCCATTTAAACACTTTAACAAAGCTAAACTAAGAGTATTCACAGGCTGAATTGGTATTTTAGTGTATTCATTTGCTTTTAAATATGAATTACTTAGCAAAGGAAAATAAAAACGTTAGCTAAACACCGAAAAGTATGCTAAAACTGCGCATATGCGAGATATGTAACATTGTACAACTTAACAAAACTTCAGAAAACAATCTGGACAGGGGAACAAGCGATTGTCGAAGAGTTTGTTAAACGTGTTTCAGGAGCGCGCGCTGGCCATAACACCGACCTACCGTGAATTTGTATCAGCAACTTGCAGCAAATAATGTTTTAAAACTCGGGGCTTATTTCCGGGTTACCTCCGAGAAAACATGTCGTTTAACCAACTCGGGCTATAGATCAGACTTATATTGAATAAACTGTTGTTTGTGAACGATTAACACGGCATATTCTTACCTTTCAAATTTTCCGCCATCGTCTCACGCCGCCAAAACTATGGAACTAAAGGCTGCTCGGTGGTTGGATGCGCCCCGTCTGAGTGACGGGTTGAGCAACCAATAGTGGCAGAGTATTTAAATCGGGAAGAGTTTATGCAAAATGCCACATTCGTTAAATGTGTGAACTTTGAGGAAAAATAGATCTTAATTTGACTGATTTTACAGGCAGATATGGATAATATTTTGAAGACACTAACGTTAGTTATCTGTGAGATGCTTTCCATTTAACGGTTACCCATTTAATTACTCTAGAATGGTTAATTTTTGGTGTCCAGGCGAGACAAAAAAGTCAATACGATTTTTTGAACTAAGGCTTTAATTTCATAATCTAACATCTAGGAAACAAAAAGGCTGTTTACGTCACTCAAAGTAAAAACGGAGATGTGCTGTAAAGTCTTTTATTTTGCTTTTCGCCGGTTATGAAGGCGGCATAGATCTATCTATGCGAAGGCGGGACATGTAGAGTGTCATCGTCACGTGACAGTGTGACGTAAACATTCATGAACTTCCGGGAAAAGTCAACAAATGCGTTGATGTAAATACTGTCTGTATGTTTGTGCGTTTAGTTTTGCATTTCTGCGTGTAACATTTTATGTATTTGTACCTCCTTATGTAATTTTATTTCCTCTAAAATACGCAATATAGACAGGAGAAGGCCTAAACGGCGAAACCGGTTGTCTGCCAGCCTCTTATTAATGCGGCATAGACCATTTACTAACTGATTATAAGTACATTGTTTACAGTACAACCATCACCTTTAGCTAAACGACAAATAATTTAAATGTATTATTTTACAGGCGTCATGTCCTTCATTGCACAAAGTCTCCGGACACCAGTAATTTTCCTGGCGTTTCTTGTTCTCATAGAAGTGGTGTCGTTTGCTTCTGCAGATAAGGTACAGTTTTACTGGCTTATTTTCACCTGTATTCTTATGTTTTAAAACCTCTATATGTAAATAAACGTGAAAAAAGGCAACATTTCGAATGTTACCAGGTTTTGACATGTTATTAATGCAATTAGCATTTTTCATTCATTTTCCTTCGGCTTAAGTCCCTTATTTATCAGGGGTCCCCACAGCGGAATGAACCGCCAACTTATCCAGTAGATGTTTTACACAGCAGAAGCCCTTCCAGCTGCAACCCAGTACTGGATTAGCACTTAGCATTTTTTTATAACAAAAAAAAACTAAAACTAAATCTTTGGAGTATTAACCTATACAAACTACTCCAGAAAAGAAACCTTAATAGTTTGTCAATAGGTTTACATTTGCACGTTAATCAGCAAAATTGTGTAAAAGATGTCTGAGATATGGAGGAAGGACTTACTGAGGTTGATGATATGATTTAACAAAAGTTTTTTTGACCCCCTATATTTATACTAATGTGCTTTATATACCTATCCTAAAAATAAATAAATGAGCATAACTCTAACATGAATTGTGTATAATTTAAAAAAAGTTCAAATTCCTTGCTAAATACTGTGCCTTTCTTCATTTTAGAGAAATCATTTGTCTCTTTCTGAAAATAATATGTTGCTTTCACAGAGTTTTGAAGATGTGCGTTGCAAGTGCATCTGTCCACCTTACAGAAACATCACTGGACATATATACAAAAAGAATGTGACCCAGAAAGACTGGTAAGACTCTAGACCAGGGGTGCCCAAACTTTTTCTTATGAAGGGCCAAAAACCAAACTTGATTGAGGGTGGTGGGCCGAAGCTAAATATACCAAACTGTATTACGTTAAAGTTGTCATAGAAACTTTTTAATTTAATAATATTTTAAAATATATAGAAATTTTTTATTTATCATATAATCATCATATATCATATAAATATAATGCATTTTATAATGTACTACCTACAATAAAACTATAAACAGTCTAATTTATAGCACAATGTAGTTCAAGGATTTTTTATTTCAATAGTGAAATATGTGTTCTAATAGTGTTTTTAGCATTGTTGCCACGCATATATGTCTGTCAACATCTAAAAAAAAATGTGTTTTAGGGTTTCATGACTCTTAATATTCTGATGAATTCACATTTACTTGAAACATTTAATTTCATTTTTTGTAGCTCAGCAATTAAGCAAACAAACAAAGGGTTACGTAAAATTAGAAAAGACGATCTATTTTTGAGGGATTCAGCCCGACCTTCCCCATCATTTGTCCATCTCTTTTCTGATTTGTTGGCAGGCCAAATTAAAGGTTACCATGGGCCAACTTTGGAAAAATCTAATTTATTTTTCAAGTCAAGACACGATGAAATTGTTTATAGAAGATGCTGCATTGGACACACGAGACTCACGCATGAACATTTACTTAAAGGAGAAGAACCCCCAAAATGTCTATATTGCAACAGAAACCAAACAGATAAACATATTCTAGTGGAATATTTAAATGTGAATCTTTATCAAAAGGAAATCTTAAAAAACTGTTTTAGATTTTTATCTTGTATATTATCATTATTATTATTATTATATATGTATTTTACCTTGTACATTATTTATTGCTGTTGAATACTTTTATTTATTCGAATATTTTTATAATTATAGAAAATTGGTGTTTATAAAACGTGATAAACTTGATCTATTTTCTTTTTGCCATGACATAGCCATAGAGGCTGAAATGGCAATAAAATTAAAACTCTCTCTCTCTCTCTCTGGGCCAACTTTGGCCTGCGGGTCCTAGTTTTGGCCATCTCTGCTCTAGACAGACTGGTACTGTCTGTAAAAGATATATTTTATAGATTATGTACATTATATCTTGATAGTTTTTTTCCATTTATATTTATGAATGTATTGTCTTATAGTAACTGTCTGCATGTGGTGGAGCCCATGCCAGTGCCTGGTCATGATGTGGAGGCCTACTGTCTGCTGTGTGAGTGCAAGTATGAAGAACGAAGCAGCAACACCATCAAGGTGAGAAGAGACTTTTATTATCTAATCATGCATTTAAAGGAAATTGAGGAGTATTAATATTCTGATAAATTTCCCAGGTGACCATTATCATCTACTTGTCAGTGGTCGGAGCTCTTTTACTGTACATGCTATTCCTGCTTCTGATTGATCCTCTGATTCGCAAACATGATCCGTACACCATGCCACTGCAGAATGAGGAGGATTCAGAGGTATGTGGAAATTGTTTGAGAAAAGTTACACAAACGCAGAAATTACATTTTTATGTGGCCTCAAAATACAGTTTTTAGCAAAACATTTTTGTCCAAAATCAAAATATTATATAAATAATAAAAGTTCTCCACAAATCCTCTGCAAAAAAAATCAATTTCTTTTTTTCAAGATTGACCATTTCTATATTAGTCAATCACAAAATATCTAATCAGCCAGTTACATGACTGCACCTCATGCATTTATGCATGTAGATGTGGTCAGTATAATCTGCTGAAGTTCAATGTGAGTATCAAAATTAGGGAAGAAAGATGATTTAAATCACTTTGAATGTGCCATAATTGTTGGTCTGAGTATTTCAGAAAAGTATTTTCTACAGGTATTTTCACATACCACATAGGAATATGAAAAGCATCGACTTCGGTACCAGTCAGTACTGTAGTTTAAAAACATTTGAGCACTGTTGAGCAGGTCCTTAAACACTACTGATTGTATTTAGTGTTCATGTGCTCAGCAGATATTACTGTGATTGGCTCCAGTGATCATTGACTCAGTGTGTATCAGTGCAAGTGGTGGGTGAAGAGGGTCTTTGGAGCCAATCACATTCATGTCTGTTAACCAATGAGTGGCCAATCAGCGGTCTTCACATTTAAAATGCAAATAGGCAATGTGGATGTCACAGTTTTTAATATCAGCACTGATTAGCTCCATAGTCAGTCCTTTATACAAATCTAACACAACCATCTCTCTGACTGACAAAGAATGATCTAAAAAATAAAAAATATCCAGTAAGCTTGATTTCTATAGAAAAAACAATTCCTGTTAATGTCAGACGGAACAGGCACACTGAGCTGACATAAAGACTAGGGGACACTCAAATAAACAATCTTTATGTTTGAGGTCTGCAGTAGCTGACCAACATTGAAGCAGATAGGCTACAGCAGCAGAAGACAATAGTTGCCTCTTGACTAACTCTTGACCCTAAACATTTGGGTATTAATTGTACTCTGCAGGATGTGAGGCCACGTGTGGACGGTGCTCGTGGAAATACAGTGCTTGAGAGGGTGGAGGGAGCTCAGCAGCGCTGGAAGAAACAGGTCCAGGAGCAGCGCAAGACTGTGTTCGATCGCCACAAGTTGCTCAGCTAAGCCTTTAGACAGAGAAAACAACAAAATGGCTGCACTGTCTGAGAATACTTGCATGGTGGTCTTTCAGTTTCAGCTTTTATGACAATATAATTATCAGTGAATCTACTGCTTGTACAATATTATTAGACTTATAATCGTACCAAGGCTTACTTTGTTATATTAAATTCTTAAACTGAATTTGTGAAAGCATTAAGCTGGTAAAAGAATAGTTTATCCGAAAAATAATGTGATTTATTTATTTATTTTTAACTAAATATAGGACACTAATAGACATACTCAATGGAAAATACCTTGAGTGTTACTCGGGGTGCTGTATTGTAATCTGTCAATGAAGTTACAATATTTTTTCTTTTGCCCGAAAAAGGGTTAATTATGACCAGGCAATGCATGTGACTTCCATTCTTCAGCCAAAGCGTTTAGGAGATATTTTTTCTCCATCTATTGCAAGGTATATAATTTCTGATGGCCAAAACTCTATATTTAGGCAGCTTTGGTTTAATCCACCTGACCACATTGATAAATAAGGAGTACAACTAATGATTTTAGAAATTATTGCTTTATTTTCTTGGATTTGTGGAAATCTGCAAGGGTATTATTATTTTGCTGGGTGAGCTATTGCTTTAACGTATCAATGAAAAAAATAAGCTCTTGTTTGCATCATTCCAATGATTACCTTTATATTTTCACCCTGAAACTTGAATATTTAAGTGTTGTTGCTACATTGAAACTACATTGCAATGGAAGAGATTAAATGTAAATTTGGGAGCACTGATGTGGAGATGTACATAATCTAATATAAATCTGCTTATGAATGTTTAAACTGCAATTCAAACCGTTTTAGTTTTATTTTGTCACCAAATAATGTGATCATTCACTACCGTTATTTATTATTGTTATTTATTTATTAGTGTTTGCCAGTTGATTATATATTTAAGGCACATGTCACAAGCATATATTTTGCACATTTTAGTAACCTAATTAATAAAATGTGTATGTTCTTCAAAATAGTGAAGAATATAAGGCTTTAATTAGTTGGTTCTGTTAAACGGGATATCATACACTTTCTTTTGAAATGACTGATACTTTTGTTGGACACTTTGATTCATAGAAATTCAAACATACTGTTTTGTTCATCTCATCTCTTATTTGCTGCTTTAATAACTGATTTTCCAGTATGGATCCAAAACACTTGCAGCTGTTTTACCTGCTTCTGTAAAAATGCACTAAAATATTAAAAATACAAAACATTGCAAATTTTCTTTACAGAGCCTGCCTTTTTGTGTTCAAATTTACCAAGAATAGGAATGTATTTCTAGAGACACTTATTGTTGCTGATTATGAGTTAAAAGTTTGAGGATAAAATTCAATGGTGAGTTTTAGATTTACATTTAATCATTTGGCAGATGATTGTACCCAAATCAAAATCAAAACCAACAAAAGAGTGACAATATAGTATCGTGACAGTTTTCAGACCTAAAAATATTTTATTTAGAGGTTGTTTTTTGACGAATGGTTAAAATAACAAATGTTTTCGATTTGTTGTGACTGGAAAACAGCGTTATTCAACCAAATATTGGTTTGTTTCTCTTTCTAACATTAAAGCATTAATATAGTTGTCTAAAACTGAATACAATTGTTTAAATATATCACATTTTAGTTGTTATATTTAAACTTTTGAACAATTGTCATGTTATTTTGAGAAAAGATCATCAGCGCTTTTCAGAACAAAACTGAACTAAACTAATTAATTGTAAATCCAGAGATTTTGAGAATTTCCTAGTTGAGAATTTCCTATATTTGTAGTAGTTTTTGAAAGTAAAGTGCTGATGGGATTTTATTTAGTTAGGAGTCATCAACACTGGATCATCTAAACATTATTATCTGCTCCTTAATACACCAGAATTGCCTAGTACATAAACCTGTCAAACACCACATGTATTCCCTCTTGTCCCCATATTCCCTCTGCTTCGGTCTACTAACTAAACATATAAAAATAGTTGAATTTCTCTTTCATTTTGATTCTTCTGCACCTCAAGTCCACCCATCCCCTCCTCCACACCCCCGAGAATGGACACTGACTGCCTATACTGTCTATATTTAACCCTCAGTAGAGGCCAGCTGCGTCTAAATGCTCCCTGCCCCTCAGATGCCTCCTTGTCTGGTGTAGGTTTGCACAGGGGCCAAGAAGTTTGACTGTGCCTTCCACAGAGAGGGTGAGATAAGGGGTGGATGAAGCTTAGGACCAGACTGAAGATCTGACCTGGATTTAAGGAGGCCAAAGATTTGCTGAATACACTTTTTGGCCTAAAAAGAAAGCAATCATTCAGTTCTTTTTTTATTGGAATTTGGACAAATACATTTGGGAGATTGAGAATGGAGTCAGGCGGTGGTGGTGGTGGTGGAGGTCCTGGGGGTGGTGGAGTGGCAGGCTTGGCCTCGTTCATCATGAACGAAGAAGAACTGAAGAGAAAACAAAGGGAGAAGCTGAAGAAACTGCTGGCCACCGGAGGAAACCCTCGACCTCCACGTACATTGTTCTTCTTCAAGCTCAGAAACCCTTTCCGGAAGGCTTGCACCAACATTGTGGAATGGAAGTATCCTTCGCAATTACGCTTGTTCTGGTTTTTCCAGCAGCTTCGGAGTGTGTTTTGGTGTTCATTGGTTAGGGTATTGAATGGTACAGTATGCTGAGATGGGCATGTTTTAGAAAGGCATCCGAGAGCTGTTTTCGCAAGCCAGAAAAAGCACACAAGCACGGCTCCCTAACCATGATTGATCTGTCAAGTGAGGACCATGAAATCGCCACGTTTCTTTTGTAATACCCAGGTTTAGTGTCTCTCAAGGTGCTGAAATTTGTGTCACAGTTGTGCACCTAAGGTGTTAAGCTTTTGTTATGAATCACACTTGCCATGGTCAATTGCAAGCTGTTAGATCAGGTCTTTAGGTGACTATTTACAGCTGGTCAGCAAATAAGACTGGTGTTAATTGTCACAATTTTCACTTTTTATTGTTATAACATGGCTTTATACGTTTTTTAGATTGATGGTTTTGTTTATGCACAAAAGGTATTTGTTTAAATGCTTCAAACAGCTAGTTCACTCAAAAAAGGAAAAGTTATTCTCTATTTACCCACCCTCAAATGGTTCCAAACTCCACACTTTTGCTCAAAAAAATAATAATAATAGGATAAAGAAAGCTGACCTCCATAGTAGGAAAAACAAAAATTAGGTCAATGGTTTTCCATTTTCTTCAAAAAATCTTCTTTTGTGATTTAGATTTGGAAATCAAACAGATTTTAACAAGTAAAGGGTGAGTAAATATTGGAATTTTCATTTTTGGTGGAACCGCCCATTTAAGTTACAGTTCAGAAAGCAACTTTTTAACTTCCTTTTTGATACCACCTTTTGGTACCAACTGAATTCTTAGTAAATATTTGCAACTTTTAGTTCCTGTTTAGTTCAAAAAGGAAGAGGTGTTCAATGGAAGTCTGAATTAGAGAAGATCATTTAGGAGTTTTAGTATTTGTACCAATGCAACTGCGATTTAATTCTGGAGCTCTTTTTTTCCACACAGCTGTAATTATACAGTATATTAATATTCTGTCTGTGTACAGCTGTTATGTGAGATCATTAGTGGACATGATGCTGAGACGGCAGAGAATTTCCCAATACACTATCTAGTGACAGAAATGGGTTACAAATAGTTGCGGATGATAAGTCGAGGGAACTGAGAATATTTTATAAATATTTAAAACCGTATCCTATATTAATTATACACTACTGGTCGAAAGTTTGGGGTCAGTAGGATTTTTAAATGTTGTAAAATAAGCGTATTCTGCTTAACAAGACTGCATTCATTTAATCAAAACAACAGTACAAATTGTAAAATTGTGAAATGTTATTGCTCTATAAAATAACTGTTCAAAAGTAGCTTATAATTTAATTTAATCATTTATTTCAGCTTCATTACTACAGTCTTTAGAGTCACATGATCCTTCAGAAATCACTCTAATATGAATTATTATAGTTATTATTATTAATATTAATGGCATTAGTAATAAAAGCAATAATGACTTCAGTAATAATTTCATTACTTTTAATTAACAATTTCAATTTCATTTGAAGCTACATACAATAAGTAATAAACAAATATTTATTAAACAAGTATTTAACAATTTAACTTTTTTTACATTTAATAAATGCCGCCTTGAACTGCATAACTTTTTTTAAATTAATAAATAAAATGAATAATTAAAATAAAATAAAAAAACTGACCCCAAACATTTGACCAGTAGTGTATATTTTGAGTAGATGCTTATGCTGAAGATGTTTTTGATATAAAATGTACTAAGCAAGCAGCCATCAAACGTGTTTTTCAGTGATGGCTTTTATCATTTTGTACAGTGTTTTCCTGAGCAGACACCATCAGACCTTTTGAGATCATTATCCTGCTAACCATCTTCGCTAACTGTGTAGCTCTTGCTGTGTTTCTGCCTATGCCTGAAGAGGACACCAACAACACCAACTTAACATTGGTGAGATGCTGTGAAATTATATTTGTCGAATGAGAACATGCAGATTACAGTCAGTTGTTCAGTTATCATTTATCTCTCTCATTTTGTTCCAAACCCTCAAGACTTTCATCCATCTTCTAAAGCAATCTGTGAGATTTTTGTCCCTTTAATTGGTTTTTCTCCCTTTAATTGGAATTCTGTTCACCAAAAACTTTGACACTTCAAAGAGTTGATGTAATCCAAAAAAGAATTGGATTATGTAAACAGATTTGACTCATTGAAACATTAATGAGTGCACATATAAACAGAGGCTCAACCATAGATCTTTGGTACGCAAGAACAAACCTCATTGGGTTTTTACATCAAACAAGTTTCTGTGACCAAATTAATAGACTAGAAAATTAATTGGATAAAAACTCTAAATTAAATATGTACATTTTCTAAAGTGTTCACAGAATAATTTCTTATGGGTTTCGATGACACATACATGAGTAAATGGTGATAGAACATTCATTTTGGCAAGAACTAACTCTTTAAAGGATGAATCTCTGATTACTTTATAAGTCATTTGCGGTAATACAGTTTTGTAACAAACTGGTTTTGCAATTGCAAGGATGAACTGGATTAAAGTGATTGTAGATACATGTCTAAAACACCTTAGGTTGTGTTACCAGAGAATCTAAAATGTTTGAAACACATCCAAGATTAAGTGTTGTCCAGACTTTTGCCTACTCTAATCTCTGGCCATTGGGTTATGAGGTGGAGGACGTATGTGTTTTGAAACTGATATATCATGTGCGTTAACATTTTCGCCCAGCTGACGTTTGCACCAGACTTCATTGGATATTTACGTAAATGAGAACTGAACTGAAATGAATTGACAAGATTATATACTTCGAATGCCATTTAGAATGTTTCACAGATTTAAAATACACCATGCTAGCAGGTGCTGTGTTGTGTCGTGGGATTTATATTTAGCATAGGGTTGGTTTAAAATGTGCATCCAAAGGTACTAGTGTGACTTTAAAAATACACTCAAACCCTGGAAGGGGATTTTCATGACGCTTCTACAGAAAATTAATTTAGATTGTATGGACATGACTGTTCTGTCTCTCATTAGTGAGGGTCTATGATATCATTTCCCCCATGTAGAACAGAACTTTGCTACTGACAAAGTCTTAAAGTTCCCATTGGACACTAGTGAATATATAATCACTTAAAAATAAAGCCCAATCCTCTTTACGCAAGCTTATATCATGACTCAAGCTTCATTGGTGGTATGTAGGTCAAACACTCTTTCCACTAGCGTATGTAGTCATATTCTCTCGTCTCAGAACATAGGGCGTTATTACATTTCACATGGCACAAATCTGAGCCTCACTCACTTATTGACTGCCCGGGGTTTACAGTGACTTGCATTGGTGGGCCGTCCATTCCTCAGATTCTAAGCCATGAAACAGGAGCAGGGAGAAAATCTCAGGAGGCATATGCAGAATTAGGTTGATATGGCCTGTTAGCGTAGAAAGAGAGCCTGTGGGCAGAGTAAACACACAGATTGGATCATCGCTGCATGTCTTTTGGCTAAATGTTAAGGATTGGTAATTCATCCAAATAATGCCGTTGACAGCCGAGCAAAGCTGCTAAAACTCTCTTTCAAAGTCTTCTAGGCTGTGGAAACTGCAAAACGTAATTGTATTTTTGCTCAGAAAATTAAGAAAAATATTTAAAGTTGTTTTAAATAATAATAGTGTTTTAATTTACACCAATTAAATTTGATTAATTCACCTAAAAATAAAACTGCTATTATTAATTAATCACCCTCATGCCGTTTCAGTCCACTACACTGCAAAAAAAGCTTTTCTTACTTAGATTTTTTGTCTTGTTTCTAGTCCAAATATCTAAAAGTTCTTAAATCAATAGCATTTGATTTAATCAAGAAGCATCTAGACAAGCAAACATATTGTCTTGTTTTAAGAAATAATAAGCCAAAATGAAGTGAGTTTTTCCTTAAATCAAGCTAAATAATCTGCTAATGTGGTAAGCAAAATAATCTTATCACAAATCAAAAAACAAGATTATTTTGCTTGTAATAACAGCGAAACACATTCAGTATTAACCCACACAGTGGCAAAAATTGACCGCGCCGGGCGTGTGAGGAAGAGTTGATGGTGGCCATAGCAAAGACAAGCGGCAGAGGATTGTGAGTTCAGAAACGCATTTAAATCGGTAAATGAAGAAGCACATGTCACATTTTCAACGTGGTTTTGGACACAATATGTGAATAGACTCATAAAGACTTAACCTGAGAGATACAATACAAGCACTGATCTATAATATATACGTGATTACAAGCCGCAAAGAGCAATTACAAGTTACAACACACAATTAAATACATATTTTGCAAACTACATAAAAAGTGGCATCAATTTAAATCACACTTACATGTTATGATTTGGAGGAAAAAGAAACTGGTTCATATGAATTGTAAAATTTAGTGACAAAGTCCCTGTCAAAGTTCTATACATTAATAGTCTTTGCTGATCCTTCCTTTATTAACAAATGGCCAGCGAATCCTGTGTTGCAGCGTAGGTTATTGTATCATAAATCAGAAAAATAAGAGGCAAAAACACTATACTATACTGTGGTATTGTTGTAAAAATGAACTTTAACCCTTTATTCCCCACAGCCAAATCTCTATTTGTCAGTGATCGTCATCTTCATGTGATTCCCAACGTTTTCCGCTAGTTTACCGTTTACGTTTACAGGCACTTCATATTTGGTGATGTACCATATCTACGTCAATGCGTTCAAGCAAAAGATCCAAACCCAACACGATTCATTTATTCAACTATAAGTCGACTATTTTGTTAAAGAATCAATAGTTTTAAATACGGTGCACTTTCAGATTTAAACCTCAGCTTGATGCTTTCATTCACTTAGTGCTGTGTTGCACACTGCATGGAAGGTCATTTTAAAAAACCCATCATAGGGGCTCTTTTTCATCCTCTATAGACAGCAACGGTCATGAAACATTTAGTCCAGCAACCAAAAACATTGTTAAAACATTCTATGTGGCTTCAGTGGTTCAACTGTAATCATACGAAGCTTTAAGCACCAAAAACATTTTTATAAGCTATTTAAAAAGTCAAAAACCGCATCTGATTATGGTGCGTGTTTACTATAGGCAATATGATGATTATGTGTTCTGCACTGCACATTATGGCAACATGTCATATTGGCAAAAGTAAAACGCACACACTGACTTGACACAGAAAAAAAGATATAGGCGAACACAGTCATCTTTACAGTTTTTTTTTTTTTTTTGGTGCACAAAAGTGTTGATGGAGCTTTACATGATTACAGCTGAACCACTGAAGTCCCTTGGATGTTTTGACATCTTTTTGGACTCTGAATGTCTTGAAACTATCTATAGAGGATGAGGGAGCTCTTGGATTTCATCTTAAAGTAACTCAATTTGTGTTCAATCAATGGGCTCATGGGATTGGAATGAAGAAAGGCAAGTAATAAATTTTTGGTTGAACTAACACTTTATAATGAGTAATATGCTATTTTATTTGATCTTCTGAAAGTGCATTGACTTTAGTCTTAGACCTTTGAAAGCAGATATTTCATTGTCCAAACTCAAGGGGTCACATCTCAAATACCCCTTGGAATGTAATGATTGTGAACAAAATTTCAAAACGCCTGTTTATCATCGTGTTTTACCTAATACCCTCCAACACTGTGTTTTCTTTGCAGGAGAGTCTGGAGTACATCTTTCTGGTCATTTTCACTCTGGAGTGCTTCTTAAAGATAATAGCATACGGCCTCTTGTTCCATGAAGGAGCCTATTTACGAAATTGTTGGAATATATTGGACTTTGTCATTGTGTTCATGGGGTAAGATGAAATTTGATGCTTCCAAAAACACAAAACATGCACTGCTGTCCACTGAAATAACTGCTTAATCAGTCTTGAAATCAGTTTGATAGTAGAATTGTTGTGGTAAGAATGGAATAGCTTACACTAAAAAAATATTAAACTCACTTTGTCTTATTTTGTATATCTTTTTTTGTATTAGATCGTGTTTATATCATCATTGGGATGGAAGAATGTAGTATATTTGCTCTCAGCAGTGTATACAGTGTCTCAATGGTCATTATTAGTTTATTGCCACATTTTTTACTTCATGAGTGTTCATGAGTTCTCTATTATAAGATGGCTCTACTTCATTGAACTGTATAAATCTTAGCATTTTTATTAACTGTATTTGATATTTTTTCCAATAATCCTCTTTTTAAACGATTTCCAGGCTCTTCACACTTGTTGTAGACACCATCGACACAATAACAGGAGTTCAGAAAGAGAAAGGCGGAGGCTTCGACATGAAAGCTCTCAGAGCGTTTCGAGTCTTGAGACCTCTGCGCCTCGTCTCTGGAGTTCCTAGTAAGACTTTCTGGAAAAACTATGGACAAACTCTAAAAATCTCTGTATAATCTTAAAAATAAAGCTTTCAAAATTCACCAGTCCTCAAAGAAACATTCAGAGACCAGTTTTTGAAAGAAGAATTTACATTTTTTAAATAATTTGTAATAATAAATGTACAATGTTAATAATCTCAAGTAACTCTTTAAACCCTTTAAAGACTTTTGTACAATGGAAAGGTTCTATGTTAAAGGTCCTACATGGAGCCACCAATGAAAAAACATATCTTTATTTTTATTAAAGTAGCACCCCAAAAAGGGCCAAATTTTAAACTTTAGGTGAGATCCTAAATATACTCAGAGGATATAGGTGTTTTCTCAAATAATATTTCTCATACACTGAGCCAAAGTTGTACTAATACATGCCATTTAAGATAACACTATATTCAGTGTGTGAATTATACATTGATGATTGGGGGCTTAACTTTTTTGGTAATGCCGGCAGCTAACTCTCACATGGTTGCCCACTAAAGCTCAGCAGAGCTGTGCCTGGTCAGTACCTGGATGTGAAACTACAGGGAAAAGCTAGGTTGCTCTCGGAAATGGTGTTGGTGAGGTCAGCAGAGGGCACTCAACCTGCAGTCTGTGTGTATAGTAAAGGGGTCTCTATACTACTCAGTGAGCGCCACCATTTAGATGAGATGTTAAACCGAGGTTCTGACTCTCTGTGGTCATGAAAAATCCCCGGCATCCTGGCCAAACTTGCCCACTGGCCTCTGTCCATCATGGCCCCCTAACCATCCCCATATAATAATTGGTTTCATCTCTCTGTCTCCTCTCCACCAATCAGGTAGATGCTACACACTGGTGGTGGATGAGGAGACCCCCCCCCACCCTCCAATGCGTAAATTTAAGTGTCAAGAAAACCGCTAAATAAATGTAAGGAATTATTGCTATTATTATGTTAGTTTATGTAATTCATGCCTCAGTAAATTATATGTATGAATTTATTTAAATTAATCTAATTTATTAATATAATGTATTTAGGTTTTCAGTGTTGTGAGGGATAGGCTAGGCTATGCAAACAATGCATCCAATTTGACATTACTTTTCGGCAATATGTAGAAACAAACCTGTTTTATGAGAATAGAGTTTCAAAGGGCTATCCCCTCAACCCCTCTGAAATTCGCACCCTGTCTATAAAAATGTTTTTGCCAGATGTAAATAAAATTCTCATTAAAAGTGTTTTAAAAGTGTTTTTTTTTTGTCCTCCAGGCCTGCAGGTGGTGATGAGCTCTGTTCTGAAGTCCATGTTGCCCCTTTTCCACATTTTATTGCTGGTCTTTTTCATGGTCACCATTTATGCCATTATGGGTTTGGAGCTTTTCAAGTGTAAAATGCACAAGACTTGCTACTACCAGGGCACCAGTGAGTCTGTTTTTACAGTCTGCAAGCATATAACAACATTAATCTCTTAGCTGAACAGAAGTTTTGAATGACAAATCAATGCCAGTACTCTATATAGGTGTAAAGATCAATGTTTTGAACTTCTGCTTCAGACATTATTGCCCTCAGGGAGAATGAGAAGCCTTCACCCTGCGCTCAGGCTGGAAACGGGCGGCGCTGCACCATCAATGGCACTGAATGCCGTGACGGATGGCCTGGTCCCAATTTTGGCATAACCCACTTTGACAACTTTGGCTTTGCTATGCTCACGGTCTTTCAGTGCATCACCACAGAGAGCTGGACAGATGTGCTCTACTGGGTAATTACTTCTGCTCATAATAGTTGTCCTGTGCAGTAATATCTGCTAGAAATTACGCTGCCAAAAATAATCATCTAAATAATAGAGATAAATCAATGATATAGAAACATACAGATTAGAAACAAATCAAACTATCTGCCAGTGCAATAAAATATTCAGTCTTGGTAAGATTTCTTAAAATAGGACAACTTACATAAGCTGCAGTTATGCATAAACAGGAACATTCCTGCCTGGAACAAGGTTTTTGATTATTTACAATTGTATATATATATATATATATATATATATAATTATATATATATAATTATATTTTATAAATTACCAAAATCAAGTATAGAATCTTATGTAGATGATTTGATTTTTCAGATTAATGATGCCATGGGAAATGACTGGCCTTGGATCTACTTCTTGTCTCTGATAATGCTGGGCTCCTTCTTCATCCTTAACCTTGTCCTTGGAGTACTGAGCGGGTATTAGTTTTAGGTTTTTTTTTAAATATATCAACCAAATAATTCTTCATTTGTCAGAATAATTTATGGAACACAGACCTGTCATCTTAAAATGGCTCCCTTAAACTACTTAACTGAAATTGAAGAGCAAGAACATCACATGAAAATGCAGATATTTGGCCTCAAAGATGGCCTCATCTTTGAATCGTCAGTAGGAGTTTTTCTCTTCTGCAGGGAGTTTACTAAAGAGAGGGAAAAGTCACGGTCACGAGGAGAATGGCAAGTACTTCGAGAACGACAACAAATGGATGAAGATCTGAAGGGTTACATGGAATGGATCACTCATGCTGAAGTTATGGATGGAGACTCTGATGGTACTGTCTATCTGTGCGTCTCTCTCTCTGTCTGTTCATAACTTCTTTCTTCCTTACTGTCTGTCTGTCTGTCTGTCTGTCTGTCATCTTTCTGTCTATTTTAAGTGGTAATTTCAATGTATCAAAAAGCACGAGGACAGCATCACCCAAGTTTCTCATCACGCTGATTTCCTCTCCAGCTATGCTGCTTCTTAGAAAGGACACTGGCTCAGAGACTGATAGTTTATATAAGATGGAGGGGATCAACAAGGTGGTCTATTTCTAGTGAGTATTGCAATCAAAAACTAAAGTATGGATTATGCTTCAGAAGACTAAAACTAACCTTCATTTCCCCATTACATAATTCACAGCCGTCTGGCGCGCCGCTGGAACATTGTTATACGGAGAAAGTGTCATGGCTGGGTGAAATCAAAGTCCTTCAACTGGTGGGTTCTGATCGTTGTGTTGCTGAACACTCTGGTCATTGCCACAGAGCATCATAACCAGACAGAGGGCTTAACGAACTTTCAAGGTCTGTTTTAAGAAATACACAGATTCCTAACTTCCATTTAATGTTTAAATGTTTCTTGGAATTTTTTTTTTTTGTATATTCAAGATGAGAAGGTTGATGTGCCTTTTTTTGCAGACACCGCCAATGTAATCCTGCTCGCCTGTTTTACAATTGAGATGATTATGAAGATGTATGCATTCGGTCCGAGAAGCTACTTTATGTCCATCTTTAACCGGTTTGACTGTTTCGTGGTCACCATCGGAATACTGGAGATCATCCTGGTCGGGTCAGGCATCATGACACCACTGGGAATCTCTGTGATGAGATGCATTCGACTCCTGCGCTTATTCAAGCTCACAAAGTATGTCCACTTAAATTAAAGTAACAGAATTGTGCATTTGTTTTTTAACCAGGACCAAATAAATTATTTTCTTATTTAGTTCAGACTCATCAAGCAAAATAAAAGAAGTGTGAACACCCGTAAAAGTTTTATATGTTTATCTATTTCAAAATTTCCAAGCAATTATATTTATTACATTTACTTATTGCTATCTCTTTTAAACTCTGTATTGTCTAGTGTGAACTTTCTGTTTTGCAAAAGAAAAAAATATTATGAATGTATAATAATATATGTTCGCTTATTTCATCCTTCAAAATATAAATCATTTACGTCTTTCCCTCACACCTCATTCAACGGCCTTTCTTGTTCATAGTTTAGTCACATTGTGTTTAGACTACTGTAATTCCATTCTTTTTGGCCTCCCTAATAAAACGTATAAATCACAACTCGTACAAAATGCTGAAGCCCATATAATCACAAACACCCAACAGCTTCATTGGCTTCTAATCTTTTTCAAAATTGATTATAAAATGCTACTTCTCACTTTTAAAGCCATTCATAATCTTGCTCCTCCAAACCTTACTAGTCTTGTTCAAATTGCCACACCTTCTCGAACACTCATGTCTTCTTCTTCTATTCACCTCATGCATCCACCTGCTTCATGGGGAGCACAGCCTTCAGCCAATCTGCTCTTCAGTTTTGGATTTCACATCCTCCTGATCTCCGTGATGTAAACTCATTCACTCACTCATTTTTTTTGGCTTAGTACCTTCATTAATCAGTGGTTGTAACAGCGGAATGAACCGCCAACTTATCCAGCACATCTTTTACTTAGCGCAGCGGATACCCTTCCAGCCACAACCAAACACTGAGAAACAGCCACAACCCAACACTGGGAAACACCCATACACTCTTGCATTTACACACACTATGACCAATTTTAGCTTACCCAATTTAAATATACCACATGTCTTTGAACTTGTGGAGGAAACCGGAGCACCCGGAGGAAACCCACACGAACACAGGGAGAACATGCAAACTCCACACAGAACTGCCAACTGACCCAGCCAGGGCTCTAACCAGAGACCTTCCTGCAGTGAGGCAATTGTGCTACCCACCGTGCCGCCATAATCTAAACTCTCTTTCACAATTTAAATCTAAACTTAAAACACTGTTCAGAACGGCCTACTTTCTTTAACTCTTTTTTTTAAAGATGTATTATATTCTATTGACTTTTATGTTGTGTTTTTATTAGAAATGACTGTCCTTGCTGTCTTGTACAGTGACCTTGAGTGTCAAGAAAGGCGCCTTTAAATAAAATGCATTATTATTATTATTATTTATAATGATATTTAATATATATGTTGTGTATTATATAGCATTATAAACGATACATTATAAAAAGTGTTTTATAAAAATTCATCATTGTAAATGTTATATTTTTTATTAAATAAAACATTTTATTTCTTGATAAATTTACAATTTTAACATTAAAACCCCTGATTTGATCAATATTTTACTGTTAAAGTTACACATTGCCTAATTAAATATAATTGAAATTGTTATCATATATTTTTATAGAATTACACGCATTTTAACCAAATTTAAACCACACTGAACTGAACTAATCTATACTCTGAAATCTTGACTTTACTGGAACTTCTATGTTAAGCAGCTTTGGCACAATCTACATTGTAAAAGTGCTATATAAATAAAATTGAGTTGAATTTTCACTAATGCTTTTAGGGCTGGGAGATTAATCGAAAAATAATCGACATCAAAATTCAGAACCTATAATCAATCAAAATTTTCTTGGATGATTTTTACAATTACTTTTCCTATACTGCGTGTGGAGTCACGTGACCCAGCTCTGTTAAAGGCCGAGGCTGATTTATGCTTATGCGGCCACTTTGCAGCCACATCTGATCTTTGGTCAAGTAGGACAATGGACCCATTCTTGAGCCTTACTTTGCATTACATTGATGATGATTGGAAGCTGCGCCAGAGATGCCTTATTTTCCATTAAATTAAAATAATTATTTACATTAAAATATTTGTTTACGGAAGATGAAAAAAATACACTGTTTAAATATTATTTATATACCAGAGTTATTTTCTTTAGAAGAGAAACTGCTTATTTTCTACTTTTAACATGAAAAACATTGAAAATAAATAATTTTGTGTCCAAAAGTGCAAGTTATTTATTTTCCCTTTTTTTTTTTATAAGAAACAAAGTGACTGTTGATTTTTAGGCAGTGTGTGTTCTAATTTCAGTTGCTCAACTTTGATGTTCAATAAATATTCATTGATAGTAGATAGTGTGTGTTTACTTGAATTATTTTAAAACTAATTAATGCACCCTTCATTCAGAAATCTCTCACTTGTAATATGTGAGCACATGTACTGTACAAAACCTGTCAGTGAACGATGAGGGCAAAAAACTATAATAAAATAAATAAATAAATAAATAAATAATGGGGATAATATCTCCCATACATAAAGCACCAGCTTCCTTCTTTAAGCTATTTCATCTCATTGTTTTCCAGGTACTGGACATCTCTTAATAACTTAGTAGTATCTCTACTAAACTCAGTGAAATCCATTGCCTCCCTGCTCCTGCTCCTTTTTCTCTTCATCGTCATCTTCGCTCTGCTGGGGATGCAGGTGTTTGGTGGCAAATTCAACTTTCCTGACAGACCGATCCAGCGCAGCAACTTCGACAACTTCCCACAGGCCCTCATCAGTGTCTTCCAGGTACATCAACCGCTATTTCAAACTACAATCTCATTTATCACTGAGTAGTCAGATAATGTGAAGCTTCACCTTTGTTTTCAGGTCCTGACCGGAGAGGAATGGGACACAATCATGTATAATGGCATAATGGCTCATGGTGGACCCAAATCTCCAGGAATCCTCGTCAGCATTTACTTTATAATACTATATGTCTGTGGAAACTGTATCCTTTTGAATGACATGCTTTTGTGTATTTGTTAAGCATTCGGCAGAACTCTAAAAGCAAAACATTGAATATAATATGATAGTGGTGAATATGTGTGTGAATGAGAGTGTGTATGGGTGTTTCCCAGTACTGGATTGCAGCTGGAAGGGCATCTGCTGCATAAAACATATTGCTGGTTCATTCCGCTGATAAATCAGGGACTAAGCTGAAGGAAAATGAATGAAAGAATTGAAGTTTGTTGTTGTGAGAACATTTTGGGGCTTCTTCCTTAGCAATTTATTGGTCAGTTGTTCTCTTGAACGTGTTTTTGGCCATCGCTGTGGACAATCTTGCCGAAGCTGAGAGTCTGGCAGCCGCACAGAAAGAGAGAGCGGAGGAAAGAGCCAGAAAAAAGCTCATGAAGTAAGGCTTTTGTCACACCAAACATGTCACAAAACCTTGGACACTGAGATTGATTAATATGAATTAACAGTTAATTAATATAACAAAATCATTCAGTAGATTACAGCAGGGGTGTCCAAACTCGGTCCTGGAGGGCAGGTGTCCTGCATGGTTTAGCTCCAACTTCCTCCAACACACCTGCCTAGAAGTCCAGTATACCTAGAAAGAGCTTGATTAGTTGGTTCAGGTGTGTTTAATTGGGGTTGGAACTAAAATAGGCAGGAGATAGGCCCTCTAGGACCGAGTTTGGACACCACTGGATTACAGCAATCATTTGTTTTTATATTCCACTTTGTATTCAGCACTCAAATTCAAACACAGGCTCATTGGAAATATGTGCTTACATTATTTTGAAACCGCAAAAAAAGCATATACATTTATTGCAGTTTCTAGGTAAAATTAATGCATGTTGCCAACCACCTTTGTTCCTTTTCACACTAATGATATTTACAGGCACTTCAAGAGTTCACACTTAGATATTGCTTGACAACTGTAAGCAGGTTTGGCATGCTGTCCTGGGACAGAACCCTGAGCTCGGAGATAGTTGAGCCCAGGGCTCCCGCCAGGTCCATTGAGCATGTGAGGGGAGTACGAGATCAGGTGGTTCTCGAAAGCTCCCCTTTTTGTAAAGGAGGAAAGGAGGAGAAAGGGGGTGGATCGGGGGTTTCTTCGGAAAACGAAGATTAGAGAGTAATATCTAGCTAGGCTACTTATAGTGAGTTAAGATAAATCTGATTGGCTAACTAATGAGTGTAGATAAGCAGCCAGCTGCAGTCAATTATATCACATGCTCCTCTCGAAATTAGTTTGAAAAACTTCACATATTATTGAACAACAAGGCATTTTTTTCGAACATTTCTTTGCACAACATAAAAAATATCACAAAACAACTTCAAGAGTTCACATAGCTGATGATTGATTATAAGCCTGTTTGTCATGATGTCCCGGGAGAGAGCCCTGAGCTCAAAAGATCCCCAGCCCTGGGCTCCCTCCCATTTGTAGGGCGAGAGGGGAGATTGAGTTCAGGTAGATTTCTAGAACTCCCCTGCTAATTTGTGGCTGACAAATTGCTTTATAAAAGGAAAAATACTGATGGCTAAGAACTTGACTATGGTGCAAATTTGATTTAGTCAATTTACTTATGTCTTTGGTTTGTGGGAGGAAACTGGGGGAAACCCACACAAGCACAGGGAGAACATGTAAACTCTGCACAGAAACATTGATTGGCCTAGTAAGGATTAAACCAGTGATTTTCTTGCTGTGAGACAACAGTGCTAACCACTGGGCTACCATGCCACCCAATCTAGGAAGCATAGGGAGGAATTGGGGTGAAAGGGGGGATTCCTCAAGAAGATGACTGTGCTAGGAAGACTATGGTTGTTTATAGTGACCTAAGAAACATCTGATTGGAGGATCATTAATGAGGGTCCAGCCGTGGTCAATCATAAGCATGTGAAATTAGTTTAAAAATAAACTTCACTTAACGTTGTCTATGATTTGTAGTCAAAAATGTTTGCCTTACCTATCTATCTACAGTATCTCCATGTGGACTTTTTTGGCGTGGATGGAGTACTCAGTAGCTTACTTTGTAGTTTGTACTCATGCTGTTGTACTTGTCTTCAAGACTAGTGAAGCACAATTCCACAAAAAAGATGAACATAATGTGAAATCAAGGTAAAACTATGTGGTCACAGTGCACATTTCTCTTACACTTGCTTTTGAAAACACTATTGGTTGGGTTTAGGGTAAGGTTTAGGTTAAACTTTGACTAAGTGATCTGTACAATAAGTCCTGCGTATAAGAAGGATATGTCTCTAAAATGTACAACAAAACATGCCCTAAGTATCGTATTTTACATTCGCAATAAAGTGTAGACAATGCCGTTTGGTGAATTTGACATCTAAAACGCAAAATGAAATGTAACTGGAGAAGATTATTTTACATATCGCAAAAATGTAGGCTGAAATGTATTTCCAGTGAGCCTGGGCTGATCAAATCAGATGCTATTTGGATATTGCCGTTCACTTGTATGGTGGCTCTGAATTGCCAAACATCTCTTAAAATGGTTATTATTGTCATTAGCATTTGAACTATTATTATTATCAGTAGTAGTAGTAGTAGTATTTTAAAAATTACAGTTCAGTATTGTTATACTGGTATTTATTTATTTTATGTATAATTTGATCGAAAATAATTATAATAAACTAAATATTAAAATAACAATTATTTAATTGAATCAGAAAATGTTGTTAAAATTATTTATGGTTATTGCATTTTATCAAGTCAATAGTCACCGGCAAGTTGTCAATATGTTAATTTCAGACCTTGTATTTATTATTGAACAACATTTTCGTTTTCATAAGACCATTGCCAGAGAAAACTGAGGAGGAGAAAGCCCTGATGGCCAAGAGACTAATGGAGTCCAGGCAAAAAACTGAAGGAATGCCCACCACAGCGAAGGTATGACTAATATCTCTCTTTTTAGATCCGCTGGTCACCCTTTTAGCAAGCACTATAACGATTATCCAAGATATTGTGTCCTCAAATTCAAGACACTGATGCTAGCTTAGTGTCTGCTTAATGAACAGTGTATACTTTGGTCTCCAGCTCAAGATTGACGAGTTTGAATCAAATGTGAATGAAGTGAAGGACCCCTTTCCTCCTGCTGACTTTCCAGGTAAGGCTGAAAGCCTCCGACACAAGGGCTTAAATATCATCAGAGGGCTCTACACTTCACAAAAATGCTGGCTCAGACCTCATGGTACAGCACTAAACATGTAAAGGATGAAGTTCAAAGATAGCTGAACTATTATAAGTCCATTTTATTATTAGCTCCAGCCTCCAAGCTCATTTATGGGGCACATTTTAAACCACACTGCTGGCAATTTCCACGTGGTTATAAAAGAGACAAGCTTTACAGTGTAAACTCTTCATGATCAATGCTAATACAAAAAAAAAAAAACTAATACTTTAATACATTATGGCTTTAATTGTTTATTAATTAGAGTAAAATTAGAATAAAACAACTTTCCATTTAAAAGATGTATTAACACCATGATGTATCAGTACCACTGACTATGATTAATAAATGCTGTAGAAGTCTTGTTAGCTCAAGTTAAATAATGTACTATTAAAATGCTGACAAATGAAAGCTTGTCAGAAAGGGTTAGCATTAAACCTGATTACAGTTTTTCTCAGTCACTTTGGTCCATTTCTTAGATCAGAATTAAAATTCTCAAATGTTCAATTCGTATCAGTGTGTAACAGTACTTGTGCACATCACAAAAGCAGTTTCTCATTCCTTTGAACAAGTAGCAAATGCTTTTGTACATCCATGCAAATGGTTTCCTGCATTATCAATTGCTCATGTCATGTTAATCAAAAATGTAGTATACATATACACATAAAAATACCCCACAACATTTAATATCTTATTCATGGCATAAGTCTTTACATGCAAAATGGCTGAACAAGTTGTCATAATATTTGGTCATAACACATTTTTCAATACATTTTTATTAGATTTTTTTCTAAATCTGTCTACAATTGGTACATTTCACCCAGGTGATTCTTGACTTTTTCTAATGAGGGTGCATCTCAAAGCAGATTGTCCGATGTTCAAGTTTATATTTTTGTTTTTTTTTTGTGCAATGCGGTGCTGCCTATTCCTTTCTGTATCACAATGTCAACAAATTACAGTACAAACAGCAAAAACAAAGCCATAGTTACATCAGAACACCTCTAAAGAGTACACTGGTATATTGACAACAGGACTAGGTTTTTGACTCTTTTGACTCTTATCCGTACACCATGACACAAGGATTTGTCCTTCTGACGGCACTGACACATTCATTGATTTTGAGAGATGAACTAACGATTTTGAGCAAGAGACATGCACTTACTGTTTTGCAAATTTCCATTCTGATCTGAGAAATGTACAAAAGCGACTGAGAAAACTAAGCTAAACAATTAGACCACAAATATACAGATAGATCTATTCTGACTTTATTACTCACAAGTCTGAGCTTATATTTTACAGTTTTGCCTGTTTTCCTGGAATTCAAAGAAACCTGTCAGAATATAAAAGACAGTGAGCATGTAGAGTCATACAAACTAGTAGTTCCAAGAAGGTAAAATAATAAAAAAAGATAAAATCTTGAATTCTGGTTTTATACAAACTAAGAATTCTGAGGAGAAAAAAGATATCTCTGAGGAAGAAAAAAAATCAGACTTCTAAGAGAAAAAAAAACTTAATTGCAAGATGTAAACTCAGAAATCTGAAGTAACAATTAAACAATAAAAATTACTATTACTATTGTTATTAGAAGTAGTAGTAATAGTAGTTTTAATAAGCAATTTACAGTTCAGTAGTATTATACTGGTATTTCTTTATTGATTTATTCTATGTATAATTTGTTGTGAATGTGAATCTTGTAGGCTAAATTGTCCATAGTGTGTGTGTGTGTGTGTGTGTGAATGTCTGTGGATGTTTCCCAGAGATGGGTTGCGGCTGGAAGGGCATCTACTGTGTAAAAACTTGCTGGATAAGTTGGCGGTTAATTCCGCTGTGGCGTCCCCGGATTAATAAAGGGACTAAGCCGACAAGAAAATGAAAATGAATAATAATAATAAAAAGAAGTAGAAGAAGAAGCACTCTGGTTTTATACAAACTAAGAATTCTGAGAAAAAAAGACACAATTCAAAGAAAAATGTGATACAAATGCATCTCTGAGAAAAAAAAAACTGATTTCTGAGAGAAAAAAAGCATAATTGCAAGATGTAAACTCCAAAATCAGAAGTAACAAGTAAACATTGCAAGATTAAAAATTAATTGCATGAAAATATTTTCTAAGAATTATTTCTAAGAGTTTTTATCTCTCGCCATATTGACTTTTTCAGAATTGTGAGGTGATATCTTACGCTCCTGAAAGACAAAAATTATAATTATGAAATGTTAACTCACGTTGAACTAAATCTGTGTATGCCAAAGTCCTTTGACCAAGCTGTATTCCTTCTCTTCCGCTCAGGTGATGATGAAGAAGAGGAACCAGAGATCCCGATCAGCCCCAGACCCAGACCCATGGCTGACCTGCAGTTAAAAGAGACTGTGGTGCCCATGCCTGAAGCCAGCTCCTTCTTCATCTTCGGCCCTCAGAACAAGTCAGTTTCTGCAACACAATATTGAACACAGAAAAAACTAAATTAAGACTAGATTCAAACTCAAAATAGTAACTCATGATGTTTTTTAAAAGGTTCCGGAAGCTTTGCCACAGGATCATCAACCACACAACCTTCACCAACATCATCCTCCTCTTCATCCTCCTCAGCAGTATCTCCCTCGCTGCTGAAGACCCCATCGACCCCCACTCATTCAGAAACAAGGTCACACATTTTGATTACTGGATGTGACCCTGAGGCACAATTTTAAGAAGAGACACTAATAATATTTCCATTGATTTATGGCTTGGATTGGACAATATTCAGCTCTGATACAACTTTTTAAATATCTGGAGTCTGAGGGTGCAAAAAAAAAAACTGAATATTGAAAAAACTCACCTTTAAAGTTGTTCAAGTTTTTAGCAAAGCACATTGCTAATCAAAAAAATAAGTTTTAATAAATTTACACAATACATTTACAAAAAAAATCTTCATAAAAGACGATCTTCCTTTTATATTCTAATGACTTTATGCATAAAAGAAATCCATAATTTTGACGCGTACAGTGTATTTTATAACATAACATCAGGTTTGTGGTCCAGAGTCACATATACAGTATTGCCTTGACTAAACTTTTGACTAAATCTACACATTCATAAATATATGCTTTGATTCATTGATTTCAGGTCTTGGCTTACGCAGACATCGTCTTCACAACGGTCTTCACCATTGAGATTGTGCTGAAGGTAATGCACTTGTCAGCTTTATTTAACCTTCAGATTTGTGATTTGGCTGACATTTACTTGAGCGCTGACTCGTGTATTTTTAGATGACGGTGTATGGAGCGTTCCTGCATCCCGGCTCCTTCTGCCGAAACTCCTTCAACATTCTAGATCTCATTGTTGTGGCCGTTTCTCTCCTGTCTATGGGAATGGAGTAAGTTTTGTCATATTATATGTTTTTTTCAGTGTTTCCCTCCCACTCATTCTGGTATTGCTTTGACAAATACATTTCTATAATAACTTTTAACAGCTGCTGTTTTGAGATGGTGTCCTATTAGCAAACATTAATTTATTCATATATTCAATTTCCATCGGCTTAGTCTCTGATTTATCAGAGTTTGCCACAGCAGAATGAACCGCTGATTATTTTGGCATATGTTTTACGCAACGGATGCCCTTCCAGCAGCAACCTAGTACTGGAAAACACCCATACACTTATTCACACACACACTACGGCCAATTTATTTCATCCAATTCACCTATTTCGCATGTTTTGGACTGTGGGGAAAACCGGAGCACCCAAAAAAAAAAAACACGCGAACGTGGGGAAAACATGCAAACTTCACACAAAAATGCCAACTGGCCCAGCTGGGATTTAAACCAGCGACCTTCTTGCTGTGAGGTGACAGTGCTAACCACTGAGCCACCATGGCACCCTATTAGCAAACAAAATCCTATGAATCCAAACAATTGTTGAACAAATGACTCTAGTTAGCTAAACTCTTGTTTAATTAATCAAAAACACACAGATCAACAATCTCCAGTTTTAAAATGTATGATTTTTTTGTGCCAGTTCCTTTCAATGAATCAAACAAGCAGTGTGACTGAACTAGTTAAAAGATTCTTGAATAAACGACACCAGTTCAGAGCAGTTCTTTTCAGCGAAAAATACACAAAGTGCAACCAATTTAGCCTAAATGATTCTCTAATGAATTACTTTTATTAATCGGCTCTTGTGACACCTGTGTAGACCAATTTCAAAATTAACCTCTGTGCATGTACATGTTCTGCCCTAACTTTTTTTTTTCATTCATTGGCATACTGAAAGCAGCAGCAGATAGTTTATCATAGTTAATCTGAGTTTATGAAAGTTAAATAACTAACTAATTTAAATACAGTTTAAATAAGAATGTTAGAGCGGTGCAAACCAGCAACATCAGTCATGCAGCATGTACTTTTAATAATTTTAATGAGTTTAATATTGAATAATTAGATTTTAAACCTTAGATTTTATTGGGAGTCCATTGCAATATTCTGTGCTTCTGAATAGCTGTCATATCATGTCTTTTGCGAACAACCAAATTGCTTGTTGCCAAATTCTTGTCTAAAATTCTTGTATAGTGTTCCCTCCTCTGTAAAGGGTTAAATTGTTGGGTAAGGGGTTGTTCTGGAAAAAATAAATTAAAAATCATAAAGTAAACAAAAAAAATCTTGTATAATAAGTGCAACTAGTTTACTTTGGTGATTCTTAAATGATCAAACCTTATGAGGTAGTTTCTTTCAAGTTAAACAAAAAAAACAATGTGCAGCCTATATTGTCTAAGCAATCCTCAAATATTTTTCTAAACTCATTTATGCATATAAATCTTTTTTTGTGAAATATATATTTGTGAAATATTTGAATGCTTAAGTCGGTTGAAGAAGGTTGGATGTTGGCAAGTGACCGGATTGTATTATTGTATTTCAGGTCTAGTACCATCTCAGTAGTGAAGATTCTCAGGGTGTTGAGGGTACTCAGACCTCTAAGAGCCATCAACAGAGCCAAAGGATTGAAGGTGTGTATATATTCAGCATCCCAACTTAAGCTGCACTGATGGTTTGTGCAGTGGCATTAATGTCTGTTTATATTCGAAATACCGCCACTAAAATTGTGCTTGGCCTTGTGTTCTACCAAAGCATTTTTTTTCCTAACGTTAGCATTGTTTTTAAAAGGAGTGCTGAAATTTTTAAATGTTGCATATAGGATGAGGTGCTGAGCATCTATTTACACTTGAAGCTGAAGTGTGTTTAACATTGATTAAAATGCTTTGCTCAAGACTGTCAATGTTTAATTATTCTCCCAATTGACATGCCACTTAAGACCTCGTATCCTTCCAGTAAATCATGTCATATCCATGACATTGGCGTGACTCAATGACTGCATTTCGACTTTGTGATTTGTGGGGGAAAAAGTATTTGTAGAATCATATAAAATGCTGCCTCCACCTTAAAAACAGACCACCAAAAGCAGACATTAAAGTATTGATTTATAAAGTGAACATCTAATGTTAACATTTAACCTAATGTGTTTTACAGTGTGTTTTGACATAAAGAAACTTATATAAACAAAGTACCTTTTTTGCATTCTATAGTCTTTAATATAAAGGAGCAAGAGTTTCCACCATCTTGGAAGTGATGTCAAATGACACTTTTTGCTTTAGGTCAGGGTAGATCAATTGTTTTGGTCTGATTTATATATGAATTTTTTACATCAAAATGTAATTTTGATATTGATTTTTCAATGTGTGACATAATTTGTTACTTTTCTCATGACAAACATTTATTTAATATTTATATATTATATTTATAGGGAATTTTAATGGGTAAATATATTCACAAATGGTAATCATTAACTAATTTGCATAATTTTCTTTGTGACTTAAATAGTTTAATTATTACATTAAAAATGGTTTATAGTAAAAAAAAAATGTAAAAATTGTGAAATTGTATAAGGACTAAATATTGTTTATTTGACCATTTTGCCTCTGTACCCTGTTTTTATTATTATTTTATTTTGTTATTATTCATTTTCTTTTATTTACAATTTTTTCCTTGTTTATTATTGTACTTGATATCACCCATTGTCATGGTTATTAACATGATTGTATTGTTATACAATTGTTATATTGCCATCAACTGGCCCAGAGTTCACACAACAGATCTCTAATTTTGAGTGGCCTTCCAATAGATAAAACAGAAAAAATAATAGATAAAATATTTGCAAATTCTGTCCTAATAAATCTTTAATGCAGTGAAATACTTTAATGATCACTTGTCTGAACATTCTAGTCATAGTATTTACCACTTGTTATATTCTCAAGTAAAGTCAAGTCAAGTCAACTTTATTGTCAATCCAATCATGCAACAGTACATTACACAGTAGACTGAAATTATGTTTCTCCCATACTCCAATGTGCAATTTAAAAACAAAAATATGACACACACTAGACATAAACTAAACATTTAACTAATATAGTACAAGATAAATTAAATAATAGACACTAATAAACTGTGACCAGTTATTATATATCCTATTTTTCCAGAATATGACCAAATTACTAGAGATTCTGTCTCTGGAACTGTCATCAGTGTGAACCAATGCTAAACAGGTCTATTTGACTTTGTGAAAGAACGGTATGCTTACAATTTAGAAGATCCAAGCCATCTAATATAAGAAAAGCTAAGAAAAGTGGAGGGAGGATGTAGTGGTAGGATTTGCTGTATATTCTTCTGGTTATTGCAAAGTGTTCACTTTAAAAAAACATTCTGGTTATAAATTGCACAATGCCACAGTATCTGCAATCTTGCAGCGAGTGACAACATGTCAACTCTTGCATGCGGACGTGGTGTGTCAAATGTGTATGTATATATATGGCTAAAAATGCTTAATTGGACACACAGCCTTAAGAACACTTTGAATATGTTATATATGTGGGGAAAATGGAAATTATTTTTATTACTTTTGTCTTTATTTTTTATTAGAAAAATGTTTAGACTAACAACAGATTAATTAATCTTTCTCTCTTGTATTATACCACATATTGACCAGACACACTTCTCCTATTTTACTGTGCCGCATACTTTTTAGAAGGAACATGCTGACAAGAGCGAAATAGCAGAATAAGAATAAATATATTGCGGAGACCCTTGTTCCAGACTGCTGTTTAATACAAAGTCTAGACATGTCACAAGTAACGTAACCCAGAGCTCTGTCATCAAATTATTCATTTGTATCTAATAAATTACTAATATTTTTGGCATTGAAGAAAACACTCTCCAGACCTTTTCTTATTGAACATGCATGGAATTGGCTTGATATTCCAACATATGGTTGCTTTAGTATTTTTGCAGTCTGTAATATTACTAGCTACTAAATATACTTCCATTGTCCACTCCAGCACGTGGTCCAGTGTATGTTTGTGGCCATAAAAACCATTGGCAATATTGTCTTGGTCACCATGCTCTTGGACTTCATGTTCTCCTGCATAGGAGTGCAGCTCTTCAAGGTTAGACACTTTACTGTATTACAACACTGGATTCTGAACTTCAGAAATTGAACGTTTTTCTTTTTAATTTAAGTTAATATATTCCGTCATTGTGTTACTTTTATTTAGGGTACATTGTTCTACTGTACAGACCCCCTGCAAAAAACAGCAGAGCAGTGTCAGTGAGTATTTTTTTATCTCATTTATTTGGCTTTTGTCTATTTATTTTCTCTTTGTGTATTCATAATATCACCTTTGCTTTTTATTTTCAGGGGAACATTTTTAAAGCATGTGCAAAATTCCCTTCACGACACAGAGATCCATCAGCGCAGATGGGTCAACAGCGACTTCAACTTTGACAATGTGCTAAATGGCATGCTGGCTCTTTTCACTATCTCCACATTTGAAGGATGGCCAGAGTAAGTGTGCGAACATCTTTCTTCATATGATCATGTGACTATATCTTGTTACACTAAAATCACTTTGATTCATCTGCCACAGGATCCTATATAAGGCCATAGACTCATATGACGTGGACACAGGCCCTCTGTACAATAACCGTGTGGGAATCTCCATATTCTTCATCATCTACATCATCATCATCGCCTTCTTTATGATGAATATTTTTGTGGGCTTCGTCATTGTCACTTTCCAAAGACAAGGAGAGCAGGAGTACAAGAACTGTGAGCTGGATAAAAACCAGGTAACTACCATAAGATGGTCAATCTCTGATATCTGTATGTAATTATCCAGCTTGTAGGAGCAGTGCACGTAAACCTCACTCCTTAAGTGTCCTTGTTAATGCAAACAGCTTTAAAGACAGAGAGGGGCATTCAAATCTATTTTGGTTGAGTGCAAGTAGAACGAGTAGAGTTCAGTTGGTGCTGTGACCCGGATGAGAGTGGGGTTCAAAGCCCTGATATAATTAGAATAGTTTGGGGGTAAAAAGACGTGTGAAAAGGCTAAGCGACAGTAAATAGTTTTAGAACATTCTGACACCCCTGCACTGCTGAATGCAGACGCTGAAATTGCATAGTTCCGTACTTATTAAAATAGTATGTGAAAAACAGTATATGAGCCGAGAAGTATGTGCAAATTCATAGTAACCCAGAAATACCCAGATGACCTACTACTTCCGGCAAGATTCTGTAGTGCGCATCCAATGGATGATACACTATCCCATGATGCCACGTGAGGGAATTTCTGAATAGGAATGTGATAATGACAAATAGTGAACGAAGTATGTCCAATTTCCATTCATATTACTCACATTTATACTATATAAAACATACTTTTCTAATGAACATGTAGTAAATGACAATCAAATATAGATCCCCTTCACAGACAGCATGCAGGAGTAGAGTATCTGTCACGCTGTTTGTGCATATCCCTAAACACAACAACCATGGTGGCTAAAATCTCACATCAAACAAAGTTCCAGAATCACCACAGACCAATGGAGAAATTTACAGGAAACCAGAATGTTTGCTATGAGGAACTGTTTCAAACTGTTAACACAAAATTACAAACTTTGTAATACAAATTACATCATATCAGTTCTTTCTTTAATTTATTTTGAAGAATTTTGGGGCCTTTAGGGAAGCGAGTGTAACAGAGTTAGTAGGAGTAGTGCAAGTAAACTTCCCTTGGCCTTAAGTAGTGCGCTGCTAACTGAGGTTGAGGTCTTCATAACCATCTTTCCTTGTTTTCTCTCTTACCAGCGTCAGTGTGTGCAATATGCTCTGAAAGCACGACCCCTCAAATGCTACATCCCGGAGAACCCGCATCAGTACCGTGTGTGGTACCTTGTGACTTCCTGCTACTTTGAGTATCTCATGTTCTTTCTCATCATGCTCAATACTCTGAGTCTTGGAATGCAGGTTAGCAATAAAATGACTGCTTCATTCATTTTCAACAATTTTTTTTACAGTGTTTTTCAATAAATTAATAATTTCCACCAAATATGTATTAAACTGATTGCAAAGTCATATATCATTTTACAAAACATTTCAAACGTTTATGTTTGTACCAAAATATTCAGTAGCACAACTGTTTTCACTGATAATAATAATACTAATAATACAAAACAACAAAAAGAGAATGATTTCATAAAGTTATCTGACATTTTGAAGTTATCATTTTCAGCATTTATTTATTTTTTATTCATTTTTGCTCAACTGTAAGACATTTAGATGTTTACATGATTTATTTTATAGTAAATTTCCATACTTAGAAAAATAAAATGAAGCTGTCACATAGAATTTAAATATTTGTTAGCAAATGTATTTTTCTGCATTTTTTAGAAGTATTTGTTTTAATATCAAATGACATTTTCAAATAGATAATTTTTTTTAAAAAGATTCTCACTTACAAGTACACCTACAAGTAGATAATTTGATTGGCACATAATTTTTTTTTAAAAATCATTTAAAAAAGCCTTTAAAAAATAATATAAAATTTATAACCACAAACAAAGAAAAGTTTAATCCCGTTCTGTGAGTATTTTGGTCAGTGCAGTGTCATACATTACAGTCCAAAGACACTTTAAAATGGCTGCATTTGGTAACTAATCTGTTGTTTCTCTTTCGCCTGTATTCCAGTACTGTAACCAGCCTTTTTATATAACCAAACTCTCTGACAATCTGAACGTCATCTTTACGGTTCTGTTCACTGGTGAGATGATTGTCAAACTCATCGCGTTCAAAGCAAAGGTACTCAAGCTTCCAAAACATCAACTTCTCTATATAATCTCTATTTATAATGACATTGTTGGTGTTCTGTGTGTTATGAAACAGGGCTACTTTGGAGACCCTTGGAATGTGTTTGATTTCGTCATTGTCATCGGCAGTATCGTTGATGTGGTCCTGAGTGAGGTTGATGTGAGTACGACGACAGTTTGACATAAAAAAAATATTGCCAGTGTGATTTCTGTTTTGTAAATGCCTCTACAAAGGCTAAAGCATTTACAAATGCCCACCAACAATGGCTTGTATTTTAAACCTGTATTTAGCGATACATGAAGCACAGACCGCAGCAAGCAGTCAATATCAGCATTAGTGCACAGGAGGTACCAATTTCATCAGCTCCAGCTCAGTTTTCCTCTCATCCAACCAACCAACTTCACTCATCAGTGGCCATTGATGGGCTCACTTTCATGATTCATTTCACTTGTGTTACTGAACCACTCTCTTCCCATCTCTCACAGCTGCTTAAAGCCCTAAGTATACTTCGGTTTCATGCACATGCTACAGTCGGTGTACAGTTTTGTCATCAGGACTGTACACTTGTCGGCCAATTGTCTTCCACATTCTCTTTGAACTTTTTATGCTGTTTAAGTATTTAGTTGATGTCAACTCTGTTGGAAAAGAGACATGAAAGATTGGACAAAAAACAAACTACTAAAGATAACCAACTTGACAATATCTTGTGTTAGAGGATTAAAATATATTTACAGTTTTATATATATATATATATATATATATATATATATATATATATATATATATATATATATATATATATATATATATATATATATATATATATATAAAATGACATAATTACAATTTGTAAATTTTACCCAAAAACTTTTTTACTAGTCATTTTTAGAGATTTATCATTACTAATCACATGCAAAATAAAAGTTTGTATGTACATAATATGTTATATATCTAATATGTGTATATAAATGCATACACATACAAGCATTTACTTAAAAAAATGCATTTACAGATTAATATTTATATATTTTTTGCTATATTTTAAAAAAGATATATAGACATTTATCTAAGCATTTACATATACATGAATATAGACCATTTCAACATGGTCCTGTTATTGGCCCATGAACATTTCCTGCTTGTTCTCAAACTATTTCATAACTGTAACAAGAGGCAATTCAATCATAACTTGTAAACAACTTATAAACTTATAACTTATAAACAAATATTTGGCTCTTTTTGGATTCTCAGAAGCTATAGAAATTAAAAACGTAAAACAGGACATACTATGGGGCCATTGTTTTTGTTTACATCCCTATAATGGTCTATAAATGTGTATGAATATGTGTATTTATTTATCCATTGTAACTATACACAGAATACACCGAAATATTATGTAAATGCCAACTTTAATTTTGTGTATGGTTAGTTTTCAACATCACTAAACCACTCAAGTTAAAATCGTTTTGGTGTGCAAATGTTTTGAGTGCCTATGTCTATGCATCTGTTGAAAAAACAAAAGTATACTCTGGGCTTAATACACAAGGCTGCACATCTCCAAGAGTGATGTGATGCACTGTTTATTGTCTATAACCACTTTAGGAAGTGTGATCCATAATTATGCTGTTTGTCTCTGATCCTCAAGATGCATTGCCGTTTAGCTTATTATTACGCTGTATTAACACCTATTATACCTCATTTTGACTTCTCATTTCTCTGTTTTCATCAGAGAACACTGGAGGCCAGTGGAGGACTGTGGTGTCTACATGGTTGTAGTGTAAATATCACTCTGCGCTGCATGTGACTGCTGTGAAAACACACACTATACACTTTAGATATAAAAGTAGACAGCCATTAATAATGTTGGGTTTAGTGTCAACATTTAATTTAATTAAACATTAAATATCTCAGAATTGTAACTAAGAATTGTCACAATTGTACTTTTTAATATTTAATAACTGAAACAAGCTTCCTTATCCTTTTGAGTTTTTGAATTCCTTTTTTAAATATGCACTATACATGCTGCCACATTAAAGTGTTTTGATATATTACATTTTATTTTATTATATATATATTTTTTATTTTTTTTATTTTTTATTTATTTATTATTTATTATTTATTTATTTTATTTTTTTTTTTCAGGAGGTGGATCCGATGCAGGCAATTGCGGTAAGCATCTTTGCCTGGTTTGTTAAACTCTTTTTAAACATCTAAAAAGTCAGAGTTTAATATTTAATGTGTTTATAAGGTGGGACTAAATGTGTCCCATACAATTTTGCTCAATTATAGGAGGCAGAAAATGTTAAATTGTCCATCACATTCTTCCGTCTCTTCCGTGTGCTGCGTCTCATTAAACTGCTCAATCGCTCAGAGGGCATCAGGAACCTGCTGTGGACCTTCATTAAGTCCTTCCAGGTCAGAGCCATTTATTGAAACAAAGAAGAAATCAGTAACATTTTTGTACATAATGTTTATCACAGGAGTATAAATTAAACATTTAAAATTGCTATAGGTGATCTGCCTAAATGCTAACCAGAGAAACACAGTTCCTCCCCTGCCGTATATAGCCACGCTTCCTGAAATCACACAATAAAAATGAGCCTGTTACGTGAATGAGTTGGCAGAGATGCTGACTTAAACTTGTCCAGTGAAACGCTGCTGCTGTCAAACATTGTTTACTTCACTAAGTCAGTTTAATGGTGATAGGATTGATCCAACAGCCTTATTGGTGGAAGGTTTGCGAAGAAATGTCATGCTCCCTTGCAAAAGAAGTTTGTAGTATTTTCAAAATACAAAATACAGTATTTTTTATACATTTGTGGCTGATGTATTTTGTAGATCATATTAACACATTTAAAATTGAGGTATATGGTATTTTATTTTATTTTTTAATTGGCCCAATAGTTTTTTATTGGATGCATATTTTTTAGTCCTATGTCTTACCCAGAATATAAAAATACATATAAATACATTTAGATCATTTACTTTAATCAGTATTGTTGGAATGTGTAGAGACTTTCAACAAGCACAACAAAAAATGTTTCTGAAGACAATCACCTACTGCATCTTTAATGTCGCAAAAGATAGATTTCTATTTCTAATAAATACTGTACTTTTATGATATTACTTAATACCTTGTTATAACTTTTTTATATATTTATACTGTTTCGTTTACCTAGGGATGGGCAGTATTTATGATACAAGTGTTTTAGATATGTATTTTAAATACAAAACAGTATTTTGTAATTTGTATTTGATAGAGTTTATAAAAATTGGTTAATGTGTATCAAAATATTTTATTTTTTAAAATACTGTAAAATATTTAGTAAGATGTCTACATTAGGGTTTTCTCAGTTATTTGCCAAGGCTTGAGATAAGACTAGAAAATTGAAGAATACTGAAGAAGTTGATCAATGCTTGGAGTATGGATGGAAATGATGCATCACATATAAAGAAAGTAACAGACAGATGGTAGGGGTAGATACAGGTGCAAGTCAAAATACGACAGGAAAATAAGACAAACAACATAAAAAAAGTCCTACAGTGGTGATACCTGTAAATCTTTATTGGCTGTTTTAAATGGCAGTAGCTGAAGTGCAAGTGCTCTTAGTTAATTACAAACCTTTACATAGTTAATAAGTATGAAACAAAAATATTGAATAATACTCCAGTATATATATTTATTTTTTCACCATAGAATTATAAGATTATATCTGAGATTTTTGTCAAAACTGAGTCAATCACATCTTCTTATTAAATGACAACTTATTCACATTGTGTGATGTTTTTTGTAAGTTGTTTACATTTTAAGACTTTTTATTTAAAAAACAAAAAAGGTTTTATCTACAAAGTTGAACTCTAGCTTGGCTCTGTAAGGTTTTTTCTGTGAGCCAATCAGCATTTCTAATGTACACACGTAGGCCAATCAGGATCAGCCTACTTTAACATTCCACCGGACTGCTCCGTGTACAGCAAAAAAAGAAAAGAAACAAACCTAGTCTAAAATCAGAAGTGGCCAAAATTGAGCAAAAACCTGAAACTGAAAAGATGTGTGCAAATGTGATGCATTTAGAAGTTAGAACCATTATTGACATTGAGATAAAATGTTACATTTGACATGTTTGAAAAAGGATAAGTTATTAAAAAATATATAAAATGTGAATTTTTCATTTGTGTATATATGATCAGTGAAACATTTTTCAGTGTTCATTAAACTCATTTGCTCATTTTCTGTTTTCTTTTAAAGTCTTTAAATTTGCCTTGAAGGGCAAATACTTAATTTATGGGGCATATAATTCAATAAATATAATTCAATAATTCAAATAAAGTGTATAATTCATGTTGATTACATAAAATTAACAGCTGCACTGGACAAAATGTTTAGCAAGAAAAGTAAAATATTCATCCTAAAACATCAACTAAAGGTTATAGAAAGCAAAAATAAATAAATAAATAAAATAAAAAAATTAAGTTTCTCAAACATCAACATATTGTTACAACAGCATTTTTTAATTAAATGAATAAGCAGACTAATTGTATTTCTTGAAAAGTCATGTTTCAAATTATTGATCTGTCAGATAGAACTTAAGGATTAGAAGGTCCAATCTGCATTTATGTTACCCCAATTTGCAAATTTAAGAGATTTTTGATAATTTGCATTTAGAGTACATTTAGGGTCTCTGTCATGTTAATGTATAACAGAAAACTACACCCATATTGTTTGCTATATGTAATGCAAATCCTTGAAGCTCAATATCTTAAAATCATTTAGATCGCAGATAGAACCTTATAATTTCAACACTGTGTAATTACAAACTTTGATTTAGGATGTAATGACATTTTAATTACATTGTTATAACATGTTATCTACACCTGAGATGTAATATTTAATTACCATAGACTGTAAAATATATGGACGTAGTGTCCGTGACGTCACCCATAGGTTTCTGAAGAGCGCAAAAGAAGCCACAAGTAGGCACGGCCAACCGTCGCCATTTTGTTCGCGCGTCTTCACACCCACGGCGGGATACCATACAAGGACAAAATGTTTCTTCGTATGTTGCATGTACAGTGTTTGGTTATTTATAGTTGTATATAAATATACATAGTACATATGTAAATACAAACTTAGTAAGTCTTTACATTGTTACTACATTGTATGTACATCCAAGATAATATTTATATACTTAAATGTTTATTTGTATTTTTCCTGTACAATATTTGTGTATTTATGCATTAACATATGCAGTACATATATAATTAAAAAGTTTTAGTTTGTATGTAATTACTATGTCATTGCATTATAAATACTATGTAATAACATTATTACAACATTGTAACTACAATGTTATAACATTGTTAGCCAATTGAAATTTTATTGTTATAACATTATAATTACTATGTATTAGCATGTTTTAGCATTGTCATTACATTTGCTAGTATGGTAAATGTGTTTTGTATATTTCATGTACAGTATTTGTGTATTTATATATTGTATATATTGTATTTATATGCAACATATGCAGTATATATGCAATTGCAAACTTAATTTGGATGATTTTACTTTGCATTACAATAACTATGTAACAACATTGTTATAACATAGTAATAACATTGTTATAACAGCGTGTAAATTATGTAAAAACATAATTACATTTTTATAATCTTGTAAATACATTGTTATAACATTATAATTACATTGTATTAACATTGTAATTACATCTGATAGGATTGTAAATGTGATTTTCTATATTTTATGTACAGTATGTGTATTTATATGTAAACATGCAGTGCATATGAAATTATAAACTTTGGATGGACAATTATTATATAATAACATTGTTAGGACATAGTAATAACATTGTTACAATATAGTAATAACATTGTTGTAACATGGTAATAACATTGTTATAACATAGTAATATCATTGTCAGTACATTGTTATATCAGTGCAATTACATTGTCATACATTGTTATAGCAATGTAGTTACTTTGTCATTACATTATAGCATTTAGATTACATAGTTTTTAACGTTATAATTACTATGTGTTAACATTGTAACTACATTTGATACTGTTATAAATGTGTTTTTGTACATTTCAATGTAAACTTTTAACTGGATGTAATTACTACGTCAGGTCATTACAATTACAATGTAATAACATTGTTACGCCATGGTAATACCATTGTCATTACATTGTTATAACATTGTAGTTTTATTGTTATAACATTGTAATTACTATGTATTAAAATTGAAACTACATCTGATAGTATTGTAAATGTGTTTTGTATATTTTATGTACAGCATGTGTATTTATATGTAAACATATGCAGTACATGCAATTTTACATTTTTAATTTGGATGTAATTACGACATAGTAATAACATTGTTATAACATAGTAAAAACATTGTCATTACATTAAAACATTATAAATACTATGTTGTAACTACATCTGATAGTATTATAAATGTGTTTTTGTACATTTCATGTACAGTATTTGTGTACACACGTAATATGTAATTACAAACGTTTATCTTGAATGTAATACTATGTTGCTACATTGTAATTATATTGCAATTACATCCAAGATTTACAAAATATGAATATTTAATGTACAGTGTGTATTTATACTTAAATATGCACAGTACATATGTATGTAATATGTAATAACCAACTTTAATCTAGACTTATAAACATGTTTGTATGTGTGTGCAATTACTGCTGTTAATTACATTGTCATTATATTGTGATTACATTGTAAATATATAGTAGTTGAATCCAAGATGATATTTATAAATGTAATTGTTTCATTGTATACTTAATGTACAGTATTAATGTATTTATGATTATTTATGTAAATATACACAATACACTTGTAATATGTAGTTACAAACTTTTATCTTGATTGTAGTTATTATGTTGTTAGAATGTTACTGCTGTGTCATTACATTGTAATTACATTGTGGTTACATTGTAAATATGCAGTAGTCACAGCCAAGTCAATATGTATATATGCAAACGTGTTTTTGTATACTTGTAATTACAAGAAGTTTGCATGTTTTATGTAATTACAAACTTCAATTTTGGATGTAATGTCATTGTAATTACATCAAAGGTAATATACTAGTTTTGTCTTGTGTGCAATTACTGCGTTGTTACATGGTAAATACTATGTAATTATATTGTAGTTACATTGTAGTTACATCCAAGATAATGTTTAGAAATGTAAAAATTTCCTTGTATATTGTACGTACAGTATTTTATTTACAGGTGCATATGTAAATATACACAGTACATAGGTAATTCCAACCTAATTATTACGTCATTACATTGTAATTACATTGCTATTACATTGTATTTACATCCAAGGTAATATTTATAAACTTAAATTTTGTATTTTTCATGTACAGTATTTGGTTATTTATTCATAAATATATGCAGTACATATGCAATTATAACCTTTTTAGTTTGGTTATAATTACTATGTAATAACATTGTAATTACATTAATAATAGTATTGTACAGTACAGTATGCTCTATATTGTGTATTGAATAGTACAATTGCAAATATATATATATATATATATATATATATATATATATATATATATATATATATATATATATATATATATATATATATATATATATATACATTGAATATTTTTAGTGAATAAAAGGATCATATTCAAGACAATAGTTTCTGTATAAAATTTATACAAAATCTTTACTAAAATCAAGTGAGTGCGTTGACAGAAGCTGACCCAAACTTGCTCAGAGAAACACTGTTGCTATCAAACATTGTTTTCTTCACTAAGCCAGTTTAATGGTGAAGGATTGATCCTCCCTTGTAAAAGTATTTTGTAGTATTTTCAAAATACAAAAATACAGCATTTTAAATTTATACATCTGAGGCTGATATATTTTGTAGTTTATTTTAAAATACTTAAAATTGAGATATTTGGTATTTTATTTTAAAAATACATCTTTAATGTATTTTTGCCCATCCCTGAATTTACCTAGGTTTGTTTATCACATATTTTAAACAGAATCAATGTATAAAATGTTGTGTTTTCTCCATTAGGCTCTGCCTCATGTGGGTCTCCTCATAGTCATGCTTTTCTTCATCTATGCTGTCATAGGGATGCAGGTGAGATAATGTCCAGTAGTTTCTCTCGTTCTTGTTATATTAGCTTTTTCCAATTTTCCTCCTCTCTTCTCTCTATAGATGTTTGGTAAAATTGCACTGGTTGATGGTACAGAAATCAACCGCAACAACAACTTCCAAACTTTCCCTCAAGCTGTTTTGCTATTGTTCCGGTGAGTGAAAACATCTGTGATTTGTGTGTTCTCTAATTCAAGTGACTCTTTACAAAAATTTCGCAACTGTTTACCTGTTGTTGCAACTCTATTTTTAGTTGAATTATCAGTGAACTGATCTTTGTTTGTGTGCACAGGGTTGCCACTGGAGAGCAGTGGCCTAAAATCATGCTGGCCTCAATGTACGGAAAGCTCTGTGACCCTAAATCAGACTACGGCCCTGGGGAGGAGTATACCTGCGGCTCCAGCATCGCTGTCTGTTACTTCCTCAGCTTTTATATGCTGTGTGCATTTTTGGTAAGCAAATGAGAGGTTCTCAAATTATTATATGATTGTATTGATGTTTATCAGAGATTCTTGTATACTGGAGTGTTATGGTATACATTATCATACTGGAATTTTGTACAGAACTTAATTCAAATCTTCTAGTTTAATATAACTTCTATTTTTAAATGCTAAAATCTAAATTTTATTCTATACTGTTTCAGGTAATATGTAAATAAAAATGTTCTAGACATTATATAGCTCAACTCCAGCTCTATAGAAGAGTATTAATCTACCTTATTTTTGTCTGTTTATCCATTATATCAGATTAACACTAGATATAGATATTATGTTCATGAATGTGCTTTTGGGTGTTGATTCTTAGAAGTAATATAAAGTTTAAATATATTTATAAAATCATTCAAATATAAAGTTATCCTAAGCTGGGACTTGTATTGTACATGGTATAGCTAGCATACAATATCCAGCACTTTTGAAATCACTGTCTTCCTGGTAGGTGATCAACTTGTTTGTGGCTATCATAATGGACAATTTTGACTACCTCACCCATGATTGGTCAATCCTTGGGCCGCATCACCTGGATGAATTCAAGAAGATCTGGGGAGAGTATGACCCTGAAGCGACGTGAGTTCAGTCACATGAGGATCCAATGCAAATTTCATCTTATTCTTTTATTGGCCAGCTTTTCCCTAAGACAAACTTACTTATTGTCTTCTGGTCTTGCAAAGGGGGCGAATCAAACATTTGGATGTTGTCACTCTTCTGCGAAGGATTCAGCCACCATTGGGTTTTGGTAAATTCTGTCCACATCACGCAGCTTGTAAGGTAAGACGACATTATTGTGTGGGTTTATGTTGAGGCTATATTGTTAAAATGTGGACGATTGGTAACCATATTTTTATGTCTATATACAGTTGAAGTCAGAATTATTTAACCCTCTGAAATATTAGCCCCTTGTTTAGTTTTTCCCCCAATTTCTGTTAAACGGAGAGAAGATTTTTTTCAACAAATTTCTAAACATAATAGTTTTAATAACTCATTTCTAATAACTGATTTGTTTTATTTTTGCCATGATGACAGTAAATAAGATTTTAATAGATTTTTTCAAGACACTTCTATACAGCTTAAAGTGACATTTAAAGGCTTAACTAGGTTAATTAGGTTAACTAGACAGGTTAGAGTAATTAGGCAAATTATTGTATAATGATGGTTTGTTCTGTTGATTATCGAAAAATATATAGCTTAAAGGGGCTAATAATATTGACCATAAAATGGCTTTTAAAAAATTAAAAAACTGCTTATATTCTAGCTGGAATAAAACAAATAAGACTTTCTTCAGAGGAAAAAATATTATCAGACATACTGTGAAAATTTCCTTGCTCTGTTAAATGTAAAATTTTATGGAAAATTATGTTTTTTACGGGGTCTTTCCCTGTTTATTAAATGTCGTTTTAAATCTATATGTTGTTATGGAGTTGATTTTAATTCAGTATTTGTGAACTTCCATCTCAGCGACTGATTTCCATGAACATGCCACTAAACAGTGATGGCACAGTGACCTTCAATGCCACACTTTTTGCTCTGGTCAGAACAGCTTTGAAAATCAAGACTGAAGGTGTGTAATGGAAATCAAATTTAGATGTTTGTTTTGGAGCATATAAAATAATGGACAATTTCTTTCTGTTAGGAAACTTTGAGCAGGCCAATGAGGAGCTGAGAGCCATCATCAAGTCGATCTGGAAACGGACCAGTATGAAGTTGTTGGACCAGGTCATTCCACCAATTGGAGGTGAGACAGCTATGATGAGAATAAAATGCTGTTGTATTTGTAGAAACGATAGTTTGTAGTTTGATCTGAGATTAATTTCATTTATTTTATACAGTGAAGACTATGTAGTGTTATTTCACATTGGATTATTTAATGTCTATACCTGAATACTGTTGGACTGCTCCTATTAATAGACTTAAATCACTATTTGATTTGTATCTTTGTATTGTATTTATCTATACTCTAAATATATATTATATTTAATGAACTTGCACTTCTCTACAGAATCACCTCAAGCATTCTAAAATAACCAATTATTCTAGTCATGTCTAGTCAAGTTGGATGGTGGAACTGGTTTCATATCAAAACATCAATTTAAAATATATACTTTTTTTAACAGTAAAAAAAATATATATATAAATTTTGCACATTTCTGACTGTGATGTAAATATTCTATTGGCTACAGAGGATGAAGTCACGGTTGGAAAATTCTACGCTACCTTCCTGATTCAGGAACATTTCCGCAAGTTTATGCAGCGACAGGAGGAGTTATATGGTTACAGGCCCACCAAGAAGAACGCTGATGAGATTAAGGTGCACTTTATGAAAAACGTCTACCATAAAAGATCAATTTAGGATTAAAATACCTCACTAAAAAAGTTTGCTAGGTTACAAATAATAAAACAAGACATATTCTTAATTCTATTCTCACCTTGTTATGTAGGCCGGTTTGCGCAGCATCGAGGAGGAAGCGGCACCAGAGCTGCACAGGGCAATATCAGGTGACCTGATAGCAGAGGATGAGATGGAGCGAGCCATGGAGAGCGGAGAGGAGGGCATCTACAGGGTACTCTGAGACCAATCATCTTTAGCATGAAAGTAGATAAAGACATCTGTATTTACAGCCTCTGTTTCTCCATTCATGCAGCGGACAGGTGGTCTCTTTGGACTCAACGCGGACCCCTTTTCCTCTGAGCCCAGCAGCCCTCTGTCCACACAGGTCACCAGCCAGAGGCCCCTGCAGTTTGCGGAGAATCGGCCGGAGGATGCAGGGTCTCCTCCAGACTCTGTCTTCCTCCCAAACACAGAGTTTTTCCCTGATAACATGCCAACAACAAGCAACACCAATAACAATGCTAACTTCATTGAAGAGTGAGCACATAATTATAATAAAATGTACTTATTTGTGTATCTGTAAGGGTCATGATGCTCATATGAGGCTGTTTTTTTGTCATCCAGGTTTACATTTGAGAGCGAGTCACTGTCAGCAAGCAGAAACTATTCATATGAAGACATAAGTAAGTAAAAACAGTGGGCGATAGAAGAAAAAAGGTCAAAAACTAAGGGACTAACAAAATAATTTTGAATTAAGAAAATGTACTTTTATGAACCCATACAGTTTATTTATTTTTTTATTCTATACCTTAATGGTTTGGTAACACAGTTAACTATACTGTTTTATGTTGTATTAAATGTTATTAAGAAAGTGAAACAAATACCACAATATAATATTTTTAGAACAAACATATTATTCTCCAAGAGTGTGCTAAATTAATCAAAAATGACATTATTTAGAGATATTTATGTTGCTTAAGATTTTCCAATTGTAAATAACCAGGTTAATCTATTAATAAATGTAATTTAATAATTTAAAATGTATTGAATTAACTTGTGGCGACGCAGTGGGTAGCACGTTCGCCTCACAGCAAGAAGGTCGCTGATTCGATCCTTGGCTCAGTTGGCGTTTCTGTGTGGAGTTTGCATGTTCTCCCTGTTCATGTTCGTGTGGGTTTCCTCCGGATGCTCCGGTTTCCCCCACAGTCCAAAGACATGTGGTACAGGTGATTTGGGTAGGCTAAATAGTCCGGTGTGTGTGTGTGTTTCCCAGAGATGGGTTGCGGCTGGAAAGGCATCTGCTGCATAAAAACTTGCTGGATAAGTTCATTCCGCTGTGGCCACCCCGGATTAATAAAGGGACCAAGCCGACAAGAAAATGAATGAATAAATGAATGAATTAATATGTAAAATATTTGTAATGTTACAAAAAAAATTTGGGGTGGGAGGGGGGGTGGGTGGCTTGGTGATTTCCAAAAATAATATAGATGTTATTAAACAATTAGAATGACTATTAGAATATTTTATTTACAACCTACAGGAGATAAAAATAATATTTAATAGTTACATAAAAAAACACATACAAATAAAAAAGCCATCAGCCTTTCAATTATTTTTCCATTGGATTGTGACCCCTGGGGTTATTAAGCTAGATTAACAAGGCAATAGGGAAAATTGCAGCAGATTGATTTTAAAGTTAAATATTGACACCTTTATGGCACTCACATACATTAAAAACAAAGGTCACAACTGAACATAGAGGATAATCTCCAGGTTGTTTGCTGTAAACATTTTCAGTTAAGTCCATTTAATAATCTAGGGTCGCCACAGCGGAATGAACCACCAACTTATAGAGCAAATGTTTTACACAGCGGATACCCTTCCAGCTGCAACTCCCTACTAGAAAACATCAATACACCCTCATTCACACACAGTACAGACAATTTAGCTAACCCAATTCACCTATACCACATGTCTTTGGACTTGTGGGGGAAACCGGAGCACTCAGAGGAAACCCACGCGAACACAGGGAGAACATGCAAACTCCACACTGAAACACCAACTGATCCAGCCAGGGTTTGAACCAGAGACCTTCTTGCTGTGAAGCAATTGTGCTACCCACTGCGGCACTGTGCTGCCGCTGTAAACATTGTTCTCACTATTTTCATTAAGTGAGGTTATTATTAAATTAAACAAATTAATAATGTCAATATGCTTGTTTGTATAGTTACTATTGGTGTGTGAGCACCGTTGTGTGCAATGTTTTTATGTTTAAAACCCACCTCTGATCATAGTGGGGGTCGCGAGTCACTGGAAATGTTAATTTGGGGGTCGCAAGCTAAAAAGTTTGGGAACCCCTGATCTACAGTATTGTTTAAATGACATTATTTTCTTGTGCAACCAATAGGAGACTCCAGCTTGTATGTGGGCGGAGCCTCAAATGTTAATGACAGGCGGCTGTCAGATTTCAACGTGAAGACTAATTCTACACAGGTTTGAACACAAAACACATCATTATAATAAGCTTAGCAACTGATTTTCTTTTCTGACTCATTTGTTTGCATGTGACTCTCACAGTTCCCTTATAATCCCTCATGTGAAGAATCAAAGAACCAGAGATCAGCAGCAGAAGCCTCACCAGCCACCGACAAACTCATTCAGCAGGTAAACAATATGCATGTCCTCTTCATATTCATTCCAGACTTTCCTCTGAACTTTGATTAATCTGTATTTTGCCATGAATTCTCAGGCACTGAGAGATGGTGGTCTGGAGTCGTTGGCTGAAGACCCACAGTTTGTATCTGTGACCAGAAAGGAGCTGGCAGAAGCCGTTAATATTGGCTTGCAGGATATAGAGAGCGTGGCTCAGGGTATTGTCAATGGGCAGAGCGGCAAGGTAACCAAACGCAAGCGACGTCCTATCCCTGTTCCTCCCAGCAAAACCAAGGAAGCCACAAGTGCAGTGTAAACACATACTGAGAGACTTTTAACAAAACCATGAGACACCATCGCCCTGAGGCTTCAGCCATTGTTTAAAATCACAGACGTAACAGTTTACGAGCAGGTAGTGATTAAGCTGTGCTGTTTTTAAAGATGGTATTTTGGTTTAGAGAAATAATGTTTCCAAAGGACACGTACCATAATGCTGTTTCAATGAGGTCTTGTGATTTTGATTTCTGATGGCTACTCTGATTCAGGTTTGTTTTTTGGTAAGCGATTATACCAAACGTCCTCAATAAAGTGTTCACACTTCTGTTCTGTGAACATCTATAATTGACTGTGTGACAATACAGACAATCATCTGAAGCGTTGTAATCTGTGGACATGTCTAAAAGGCAAGTCTTTTTATTTCTTTACTTTGTTTAAACTGCGCAGAATGGTTTACCACCGCAGTTACAAATATTTTGTTATTGAATCGGAGAGAGGGTGGGAGGGAATAAATAAAGTGGTAAATAAAGTGAATTCAAAAGAAATATATAGTACACAACAGCATTTTTAGGAGTTTTCAGCTATAAACTCGTTTTGGCCATTCATTTACATGACAGCAGCTTTTTGGGGTCCTGAAAATGCATACTTGAAAGTACAATCGGTTAGTGAGTGGAGGTTTGTGAAAACAATACTATTATCATGTCAGTGTAAACTAAAAAAATGCAATTTTGTGAAAACGCTCACATCATACATAAGCAGTTTATCTTTGAGCGAGTTAAACAACAATGGCGGACTAGAGGACTTTTGATGATAGCATTGTGCTACATTGCCAACTATTGGCCTGGTATGCACAATACAGAATTTTTAGGCAGTTTTGAAAATGTTGTTGTTTCAATGAGAAAAGCTTCAAAAAACACACTTTTTTTGGTTTGTTAAGTACATCTTCAAGTAAACTGGCCTGTGTTTTTTATTATTTAAATAGTTATTTTGTGTTTGTACTCTGCACTTAAAGCCTCTATTTGTTTGAACATTTATTTTATTTACAAAATTACTTAAAGATGAGACAAGAAGGTGTATAGGATCTTACAATGTCTAATTGAAAGCATAATAACATTTTTATTTCACTTAAGATTATATTTTTCAAAAGAATCTTTCTCGTTGCTTAAAGTGGGACTGAAAATAATAAGTCGGCTAAAATTGGCTAGCTTATGGAGAGAACTGCTATTTTTTTCCCCTAGAATAGGTGTAGTGGTTTTCTTGGTTTTTCTCTTACTAAATCAAACTCAGTCTGGAGGTTATGAATATCAGAAGAATATACTTTATTGTCGACAACAAAGGAGAACTTTCAGGAGACCCCCAGTAGCATCTCTGTCTGAAAAATTCTGCCTCCCTAATCTCCTGGCCTGTTTAAATACACTTTGACAACAATTATTTTCCTTTGTTCTCCATACATTACACAAGATCCCTCCCCTAACCCCAAATTCCACCTCTGACATCTGTTTCCTGAGACACCTCAGGCTCTTTTACCACTCTCTTTTCATCCCTTCTTTTATGACCCCTAGTTGTTTCCTCAAGCCATTTCCCATGTCCAATTGTTTTAATGGTATGCAAGTCTACAAGCAGATTATACACATATAACCTGAATATATAGATTAACTTCACACTCCAAAGAGCACAAAATCCACCTCATAGGCAAACTATTTTTTATTAATATACTTTAGTGGCTTATACAGTATGTTGTATAGTGCAGGTGAGATGGATATAGGACAATGGAGTAAAAAGAAAGAGAGTGGGATCAGTACGTAACGCAGGCCGGATTTAAACTGTCCCTGTCAGAAGAACCATTTTTCTTTGTGCAATACCTACTGGCACTGACATCTTTTTTCTTAAAAATGTTTTTAATAGGCTAGAGGAGTGTTCCAGGGACATCAGGTGTACATTGATATGTGTTTCTTCCTTTTAACTGTATGAAAATAATAGTGAAATAATCATTACTGAAAACACAATGTTGCTTTAGAAGTTTATCATCTCAGTTCAAATTATTTTGCTCACGATGACCTCACTTTTGAAGTGCTGCAATGTTTATACGTAAAGTTGAAATTTAAAGACAAAAGAATGTGTTGATGCCTTTGGCTGAAGTCTTAAAGCTGTTTACTCTTAATATGTTTCCCTGTATTTTCTCTTAAACAACATTTGACTTTGTTCAGCACATCCGTGTATTTTATTCATTGCAAAGTGCAATTATTTTGCTATTGGATTTTCACTGCGCATATACATACATATCCACTTCAGCCTGTGCCTTGTCATTGAATATGAAATGAGGTTTAATTTTTAATAAATTGAAGAAAGGAGAAAAGCTAACATTTTTAACCTTTTGTAAATAGATAAATGCTCTTTAACCATTCAGATTATATCACATATTTTACCATATCTTGTAAAATTTGCTAATCATTTGAGGGCAACTTTAACATATAATTCCACTTTTTCTCAAATATACTTTAGGCTACTGCTTTTGATCACTGAACAAAATGAAGTATATCAGTGGTTCTCAAACTATGGTACGTGTACCACTAGTGGTACTTGGGCTTCCTTCTAGTGGTACGCGGAGGAATCAAATATGTCATTTGTACAAAAATGATTTAAATATGTTAAAAAATGATTTAAATATGAATATGATGACATATAGCCTATGTTTCCAGGTGTTGATAAATAGGCTACTATGTTAATACTTTACAGGAGTTTTTTTTTTTTTTTTTTTTTACTTTTTAACAACAGTAACCTTTAATTTTTACCTTTTAAAAGCACATTTTAATTAAAATGTTGACGTTTTTAGTCAGTAGTTATGCTACTGTATTTCAATACTGGTCATTTTGGAGGTACTTGTTGAGACAATTTTTTTCTGAGGTGGTACTTGATCGATGAAAAAACTTTGAGATCCACTGAAGTATATTATGCCGTTTCTGCTCAACTAGTGCCTCCTAGTGGGATTACAAAAAATAAACTATATACAATCCTTGCAAATGCTGCTGACATTTTGTCTTATTACTATCGTATACTGACACGGCTTAACAATTGAAATGGGGTTTGGCGGTAAAGTGGCAACATGTAATGCTTTGTAACAAAGAGTTTAGCTTACCTGTGAAAAAGTCTCAAATGAAACACAGTTCAAATTCTTCTGTCTTGTAAAGCACCACCACTATTCATGTATTTTTGTATATCTTTGCGTAGTTTGGCAAGTAACTTAGTACATTTTATATCGCACTTTTAATCTCTTTTCCCAGATAACGCCTCAGACTCCGACTAGCTAATCATCCTCAGGCCCACCTGCTGCTATAGCCACGCCCCAAACTTTCGCTATTAGTCAAACTGAACAGTGATTGACAGACCCAAGTGAACAGCTTCGATATCTTGACCCATATATGACTTACTTATAATCACCGAACAATAAACCGGGATAAAATTATTTGTTTTAGCAACTTAAAAAAAATCTAGCATACTTCTTATGAATCCCCATCACCCTTTTTGTGACCTACATTGAATTCGCCTGAGAGCACATAGAGCAACTGAAAGAAGCAAAGTCAAGATCGATTCTATTCTAATAATATTCTTATATTTATATAATGTTTTCTCTGAAGACATGATGATTGGTCTCAGCTGTATTAGACTGTTGCGAGAAACTTGAGCAGGTCCTTCAGGTACTATTAATACTGCAGCACGTTACAGCTCCAGCTCCTTATGGCATGAAACTAAACCCATAAAGCGAAGATGAGAAGATCATACATGTAGTGTATGAACTTACATCACAAGCCTTACAGTGGTTAATTTAAGACTTCTTTTTACAGTATTTGATTGATTGATTTACAGTGATTGATGACCAAAACAGGAATTGTATTGTAATGAATTTATTTATACAAGATTTTTTACTGGCATCAACTAAGTCATGTGGCATAATATAACTCAGTCAGGCTTAACAAAAATACAAAAAAGCTGCTAAATCCCTAAAAGCAAGTGGGCTGATGTTTCTCATCTTGACAATTAGCACATTTCCAGCAGTCCATTAGAATGAAGCTCTCAGATGAAATAATGAGGCTTTTTAACATTTATGCCGTACTCTGCCAAAGCCGGTGTCAGATCTTCCATCGTCAGAGTGTACTTCTTGTCCTGGAAAGTGAGATGATTATAACATGTGAGATTTAAAGATCAAGTTTTTTTTTATATTGTACATATAGTCATTCTAAAATGCATTGTGCGCACAAACCTTGGCCTTGTTTCGGGAGCTTCCAGAGGCTGTGCCCTTCATTTTGCAGTGTTGTAGTGCATCGTTTGCAATATCAGAGATGAACTTCTGAGATGCCAGAGATATGAGACGAATTCTGGCAAAGAAACAAGGACATGATGTAAAGGCAGATTCATGAGGGGTTTATGAAGATATAAAAGCATGTTTTTTTATGATTAAAAAATTAACACCAACCTTTTATATTAAGATAGCATTTTCAATATTAGCTTGTTACCGACTAACAAAAATGCAATACTTTACATTAGACAAATGTGATATTTATTTCCTGTTCATACTAAGAATAATAACCATTTATTCATTTTCTTTTCGGCTAAGTCTCTTTATTAATCTGGGGTCGCCACAGCGGAATGAACTGCTAACTTATCCAGCACATGATTTACACAGTGGATGCCCTTCCAGCTACAACCCATCACTGGGAAACGTCCATACACACACATACACTCCAGACAATTTACCTTACTGAATTCACCTACAGCACATGTTTTTGGACTTATGGGGAAAACCGGAGCATAATAACCATTTAAAGGTTTACAAATTGTATAATGATGATGATGAAAACAGCCTGCCACATACACTTTTACATGCAGTGAAGTTGGACCACCCCGACCATAAACAAACATCACATAATTCAGGAGAAGACAGGTTAATGGAAGGTAGCTTTTAGAAAGAGGAAATAAAATATATTAGGGAAAAGGGAGGTGAAAAAAAAAAACCCTCTCCGACTGCCGTTGAAGTAGGGCAGTGTAAGATCAGGGGAAAGAAAGCCCCAGCACGAGCACAAAAACACATAGACATAACATCGCAACAGGTGATGGGAACAGGGGATGTGGATATAGTCCGATAAAGGCGGCAGCCATCTGGTCCTGCCCCCAGAGAGCCCCGATCAAAGACCCGTCCAACAACCCAGAAAAACGTTGGAACAACTTTTGGATAGTTTTAATTTTCCAGCTGATGAACATGACACCTAAATCGCATCTTTAAACAATTTAAGCAAAAATTCTGAGAAAATCTGAAATTATAAAATTATTACATGTT